ATAATTGATTAATTCTTTTTTTAATTTTGTAATTTTCTAATCCGTTTGAATAAGGTTTCGTTATATTTAATTGAAGGAATAAATGGAATCCTAAATATTATTATTGATCTAAATACTTATATAAGTATTATGTGGAATTTGAAAAAAGATTACATTATTATAGAATTTATTATTATTATAATTTTCAATTAATAATTCTTTTCCTTTTGATTTTATAAAGATTATTATTAATTCAAAATTATTGAATGTAAATCTTATATAATTATAATAAAGAATTAAAATTATCAATTGAAGTATTAAAAGTTATAATTATATATATTAATATTTTCTTTTTATCAATCTTTCTTTGATTAATAATAATATTGTTTAATTCTATATCTTTTATATTTTCTTTGAAAACTAATTGAAATAATTAAAGAAGATAAAAAGGTTTCTCAAAATAAATTTATAAAGATTATTCAAATTATATAAAGGAAAAGATTCGATATATAATAAAGATATCGATAGATTTTTAAAAGAAGTTTTATTATTAGCTTATCGATATTATAATTTTGTTGTATATGAGATTTATCTAATAAGTAATAGAAAATAAGAAACTCGCTTAAATGAATCGCAATTCTAATAATCTGATTAGTCTAAAATACCCTAGTAAATAATCTAACAAAAAGTTTAGTATAAACCTTACAATTTCAGACAAATCTGATTTAGAACTTTTTTCAATTCTATTGAAATCATTCAACTCATTCAACTCGTTCAAATCATTCAACTTTATTCATTCAATTCAATTTTATTCATTCAATTTAATTTTATTCATTGAATTCAACTCATTCAACTTATAATAATAATGATGATAATAATAATAATAATAATAATAATAATAATAATAATAATAATAATAATAATAATAATAATAATAATAATAATAATAATAATAATAATAATAATAATAATAATAATAATAATAATAATAATAATAATAATAATAATAATAATAATAATAATAATAATAATATAAATAATATAAAATATTGTTACTATTTTAAATAATAATATAATAATATTAAATAGTATTTTTATAAATAATATAAAATATTATTATTATAAATAATAGTATTAAATAGTATTAAATCATATTATAATTATTATTTTTAAATAAAATAATTTAATTTTTAATTATTAAAAACAAGCCGATATTCTGCCTGCACCCTGATATATATTCAATATTTAAATTTATTATAAACTTTTTAAAACTTAAATTCTCATTAGACTTTCTCGAAAAGCCAGGGGTCCGGGGGGCGCAGGCTGTGACGTACAAGAGCCTCATAAGAGCTGAATCAACAGGGTCAATTATATTCCTTAGAATCTACAACTGAAGAACTATGGCTCATAGGAGCATCCTTATATATATACAAAATACCTATACGGTAGCTGCATGGTTGTGCGCAATCTGCCTTAAGGTGACCATAATGCCATACTAAAAAGGGTAAATTTGGAAAAGTGTGCACAGACTATCAGCTCACCGATAGGAATTGTCGATCAATTGGAATCACGTGATAGTCATTTATACGAGGTCCGTGACACAGGCCCCTGGTAAAATATATTTGTAAATTATATGAATATTCCTTGAAGTATTTTTGAATATTTAGATTATTCAAAATCGAATTAATGAATTGATTATTATTATTATAAGAATCTTCTTTATATTCAAATTGAAAACAAAATTAGAAATTTAATAAAACTTTTATAAAAGAAAATCTAAAGATTATTTTGTAACGATCTGGTCGAGGCAGCGGCTGCCTGAGGTTTCATATGGTTGGTAGTTATAGGTTAAGGCTAATAATCACTAGTTATCCACTTGAAAATGAATTCGTTACTAGATTAATTAAAATGTAGGTAAACTAATTGATAACTAAGTTGAACACGAAGCTCCTAAACTATGAAACTATTCTGACTATATACTAATCTCTTTCCTTGCATACTAGCTATACTAGCTGACTAGCATAGCTAGCATTTCTGTGATACTAGCTTTGCTAGCTGGCTAGCAGAGCTAGCACATCACATGATTGATCCTGAGGCCTCTCCTATCCTAAGGCCTTTCCTTTCCTAGAACACTTGTCCCAGGAGCTTTCCCTCCAGGAACTATAGCCCTAGGATACGATATCCTCTAGGGTGATTATCCTATTTCAACCAATTAGATAGAACACTTGTCCTATTCTACTATGATTGCCTAGAATACTTATCCTAGGAATCCTGGGGTCCTAGGCTTAAGTAATCAGGACCCCCGAAAGCAACGGTTAAATCACACCCCCCCTGTAGTCGGCATATAAATCACCGACATCAATAATACTACTATAATGAAAACCATAAATCGTGACATATTTAAATCATAAACCTTGACCTTAAATTGATTATAATTTAAAAAAATATAAAACAAATTTCAATATATAAATAAATTATTTCAATAAATAATAATGATTATAAAATATCTTTATAAATTAATATTATAAAGAAATTAATATAAATTAGAAAAAAGATATTTAATTTAAAAAAATACATATATATAAATAAAGATAATAATAATAAAAATTTATAATTAATATTAATTCGATATATAAATATTCAAAGTTTTATTTATAAATTAATTATAATAATTTTGAAAATAAAGATAATAAATATATATTTTATAATTATAATAAAAATAAAAATTTATAAAAGATATAAATTTTTTATAAACAATAAAAATAATTTCAATAATTATTTTAATAGATAAAGATTATAAGATTAATAAATTAAATAAGGATATATAGAATATTGATAATAAATATTGAATTATTATTATTATTATGATAAGTTGAATGAGATGAACTGAATGAATAGAGTTAAATTGAATTGAATTGAAAAAAATTCTAAGTCAGATTTGCCTCAAGTTATAAGGCTTATATTAAGCTTTTTGTTAGATTATAGTATCGGCAAACCGATAATAAAAATTCAATTTTCAATTTTTTTATAATAAATTTAAAAATTAAATATATATTAAAATACAAATAGAATATCGGTTTGTTTTTAATAATTAAATTTATTATAAACTTTTTAAAACTTAAATTTTCATTAGATTTTTTCAAAAAGCTAGGAATTCGGGAGATACAGGCTTTTGGTAAATATTTTAATCTTATATTTTTATTTTGAAATTTTAAATATATAATTTCTATTTTTTATTTAATAAATCCCCTACCTTATATTCAATCATCTTTTTATTTCAAATATTTCCTTCATCAAAATAACAAAATCAACATTTATAACTTTTTATTTATAAATATAATTTCTTGAAATCTTAAATATAAATTTATTATTTATACAATATTAAATCCTAAACATATTAGATTTTTTATAATTTTATTAATTAAAATATTAATAATTGAAATTTGAAATTTTATTTATATAAAAATCTTATATAAATTTAAAATCTTGAAAATTTTGAATAACTTTTCAACAAAAATTACAAAAAAATAAAATAAATTTTAAAATTGATCATTATAACAAAAAATAATTTTTAATTAATAATTTACTAAAGTTTTCCAATTTCTTATACAATTGTTTTATTAATAAAATCCAAAAATTTCATCAAATCATGAATTACAAATTATTTTTGTTATAATATTAAATTTCTGAATAATATTTATTTAAACATTCTAAAATCCTTTCAAAATTTTCAATTTATATATAAATTCTATATAAAATAAAATCAACATTTTAATTTTTTATATTTTAATCAATAAAATTATCAAAAATCTGAAATTTTTAAAATCTATTTATATTTATCTAAATTAATAGTAAATAAAAATTATAGTTTTTGATATAAATAATAATTAGAATAAAAGAATAATCGGAATATAAGATAAGGGATTTGTTTAATATATCAAATATCTTTTTGATAATAAACAATTTTTACTAATCCTTTTTGAGAATAAATTATTATTTCTTTGTATAATTTTTTTTATATATAATATAATATATATATATTACTCTATAATAATTAATTCATAACATAAAATTTTAATCTTTTTTATTAAAATGATATATTAATAAAAGAATCTTTATTTAATATAAAAGATTATTTAAATAAAAATATGTAAATATTAGTAATATAAAATTAAATTATTTTCAATATCTTTAAATAAAGTATCATAATTAATTTTTGTTTATTAATATTATGATATAATATATCAAAACCCTATGCCCTCAGACTCCTAGCTTTTCGAGAAAGTCTAATAAAAATTTAAGTTTTGAAAAGTTTATAATAAAATTTAAATATTAAATATATATCAAAGTATAAACAAAACATCAATTTGTTTTTGATAATTAAAAATTAAATTTTTTTTTTAAAAAATAATAATTATTATCGACTTGCCGACACCAAAACCTTGCTGTATGTATAGTGTACTACAACTTACCCGGTGTAGATTATAGAAAATAAGAAACTCGCTTAAGTGAATCACGATCCTGATAATCTGGTTGGTATAAAATACCGGTAAATAAATCTAAAAAAAAAGCTTGGCATAAGCCTTACAGCCTCAGGCAAATCTGACTTGGAGCTTTTTTCAATTCAACTTAATTGAAATCATTCAATTCAACTTTATTCATTCAATTCATCTATATTCATTCAATTTCAACTTATTCAACTTATAATAATAATAATAATAATAATAATAATAATAATAATAATAATAATAATAATAATAATAATAAAATTGAATGATTTTAATTGAATTGAATTGAAAAAAACTTTAAATCAAATTTGTTTGAGATTATAAAGTTTATGTTAAGCTTTTTGTTAGATTATTTACCGGGGTATTTTAACCCAATCAGATTATCAAGATCGCAATTTACTTAAATGAATTTCTCATTTTTTATTATCTATATTAAATAAACCTTATGTACAATAAGGTTTTGATGTCGATAAGCCGACAATAATTAAAATTTCCATTAATTTGATTTATTTGTTATAAAGTTGTTAATAAATGAAAAATCATAAGTTTTGATATAAAAGAATGATCCGAAGTAAAAGTGGCCCGAAAGTGGGGTACTAGACTTAGAATCTATTCGAGATCTCATACACACATGGAAAATCCATGATAATAACATCTGATGAACGAACAGATTCGGAGCAGTCATTGGCATTTGCTAAACTAATATCATTCTCTGGGAGTGAATCGAAACTGGCTCAGCGTGTACCGAGGTATCCTACAAAAGTATATCACAGTTCATATTTCATTAATAGGCCACCAATGTCTGATGCACATTTGATAATTAAGTCGACCGACCTATTGCTGAAACAAGAAGTGAATCCCGGATCCGAAATTACGAATCCGTAACCGACGGTTGCCTGGCACTTCAAGAGGTGTACAGTAGATACTAATAGTTCACTTATAAGCTCCGCCTCAAGTGCAACATACTTCCAATTACATATTTCTCCACAATATCAAACCCACCCCAAAAGATAAAATCTATCCAATATAAGACATGACAGCCTCCTCCAAGTTGCACGATGATTTGCTTCATAAAATGTCCGAACAGGTATGCTAGCCCCCCCACTGACATGGAGCAGTTCCCCAACGACTGGTATGGGCAGTTGGGTTTGATTATCTGGGCAATAGAGTAGTTACTCCAGTGCCCTAGGTCTGAATTGCCCATTCAAAAGGATTAAAATCAAAATTACATAGGATACCATTACATACACACAGAAGCTAACTTCAAATCAGAAGAACATGAATGGGGCGGCTGCCGGTGACTTGACTTTTGGGGATTCAGAAACAATTTCTGCTGTCTGGAATGGTGTTTCCAAATGGCTTCCTCGACGCAATGAGGATTGCGACTTTTGGTGGCACTCAACCGGTCCTCAACTTTGTGCTCTCCTCCACGAAGCCGGGTACAGTATTGGCCAACAGTATGAGGGTCTACTCTTCCACTATCATGTGGTTGTACCACGTCTTGGTCCACGGCCAGTATCATCTTCCTCTCCCGATGGGTCGGCACAAATATGGAAGTCATTCGTGCAGGACGACTTCAAAACCATTGAATTCAGCTGGAAGTGGGATACTGGCAAAAAGTTATCAAATGGAAGAATGTCAAAACCTGATCTCAGAATGGCTATTGAAGCAATCGGTCCCCTTGCAGGAACAGCACGAGATCCTTTCAATCAGATTGCCACGAAAGAAGTTCTCCACGAGCTAGACTTCGTAAATTCGAAAGTTGATCTGACATGGTTTTATCAAATTTATCATGCTATATTCGGGGAATCGGATGCCACTGAAGTAAGCAAGCATATTGAAGCAGCAAGCATGGCGGATGTGGGTACTTCATCCTTGTTTCTTGCGTTTCAATTTCTGAGAGGCGACCCCAAGAGCGATTCTCCCATTAAGTCTTACTTCATTCCACCGCGGTCACCACAACCTGATGGAGCTATCATTGAACCTCATGAAAGAATCATTGCAGCCATTCGAAGCATAGGACAAGAAGGAAAGAGGGAATGGACTGCGTTAGATCAAATGCTATCATTCTTGAGTGACAACGAGAATGGAAGACAATTGTCTACTCCTTTCATGGTCTCGACTGATTGTATGATTTCTTCAGCATGCCGATTAAAGATATACTTTCGCACACCTAGATCGAGCTTTGATTCGGTAGTAGATATTCTTAGTATGGGAGGAAAGCGAAACGGATTTGAGAAGAACTTCCAGGAGTTAAAGGATCTTTGGCGTTTGGCCCTCGACCTTCCAGTTGAATTCTCGACATCTGAGGACCTGCCTCTACGAAAGCATACTACTAGTGGTATGTGCTACCATTTTGAAATTCATCAAGCAAGCGCGCTTCCAGATATCAAATTGTACATACCAACCAAGCACTATGGAAAGTCGGACATGAAGGTTGCTGAAGGACTCACCAAATTTCTTGAACTGTATAGAAGAGGAAATTATGCAAGCGGGTACATCAGAGCACTCAAACGATTGGCGCCCCTCCATCAGCTCGAGTCATCTTCCGGCGTTCAATCATACATATCTTGTGCATTTGACAAAGAAAGTCTAAGTATCACGACCTATTTTAATCCTTACGTCCCCCTTGCCGATTGAAACGTCTGTTATTAGCAAGCTCTCGGATGATAGAACTCGTGGAATTAGTAGGGTCATGGTGGCCAAGTAGACATTTGGTCTGGAGGGATCTATCGTGGTTGGATATTTGACATATGGTTACCTACGCTTGTATCATAAGTTCTCTTTGTCAGCACAGCAAACAGAAGTTCCTTCAGAGCAGGACTCTTATCAGGAAACTTCTCCTTTTCATTTAAGGTTATCGATCGATATCTATTCTACGTCCTATGGTTGTGTGATGATAGTAGTGTTATATTATGATTGATACCATAGCCGTGTATTAATGTGAACTTATGGAAGCATCTCCGTAAATTGAAAGCCTAGAATGCATGATCTTTTGATGAATAAAGATAGAAGTAAGTGTAATCTAGGGCATGAAGTAAGCGAGGCATCTGTAGTGATTTGGTTATCAGCCACAGCTATATAGTCAATCAGTGGTTTGTGTATATAGATTGATTACAATTGATTATAATTATAGACAATACAGATTTAAGAATTCGTTTAATCATTAATTGTAAATTGATTATAGATTTTAGATCTGATAAATTATAATTTAATTGATTTAAATATTTATATATATATATAATAAATATTGATTTTTTAATTAATAATTTTGTTTTTAAAAAAAAAATAAAGATATTGATTTTCTTCCTCTTTTCATTTTGATAATGAAAATATAAATAATATATAAATAGTATAATAATAATTAAAACTATAAGTCTAATAATTTAATATATATCATCTTTTTATATCAAAAATCGTCATTTTCAATTATTAATAATTCAATAACAAATGAATAAAATTAATCGAAATGCTAATTATAGATTTACTATATAATTATTGATGGATTCTGAAATTTCAGATTTTTCATAATTTTCATAATTACGAAATTGAGAGTTGCAATTACGATTTTCAATTTATATTAAATTTATATACAAATTTAAAAATATTGAAAATCTTAACCAACTTTTCAACAGAAAGTGTTAAAAATAAATTATATTTTTGGGGGGACTTTTAAATTAAATATTATATAATAGATTAATATTTTGAATTTTAAATAATATAAATAAATCTTTATTGATATTTTTAGATTTTGTAAAGATTAAAAATCATAACATTTTGATTAAAAGGATTTTTGTAAAATATTTTTTAAAATAAATTGATTTATTTAATTATTTATGATATAAATATTCGAAAAAATTTTATAATTTATTTTTCATTATTTTTGTTCAAAAGTTATTTAAGATTTTAAAGATTTTCTAAATTTGTATATACATTGTTAGTGTTACGATGGATGCGATCTAGATCATATGGAAATGGCTTGGATTCTCGAATGGTTTATAACTAAGCGTTAAGCAAGGCTTTAAGATAATATTAATAATTACAATTTGTAACTAATAATAAAATATACTAAATAATTAATCTTGAATATAAAGTTTTATAAAAGGAATCCTTTTTAATTATATAAATCTTTGTATCTAAAAGTTATAAAATTTTTAAATCTTCAAAATTTTTTTAAAGTATAAAAGTTTTTGAATCTTTAATTTTTTTTAAAAATATGAAAGTTTTCAAATCTTCAATGCTTTATTATATAATCCTATAATTATTATAAATTCAAATTTAATAAGATTTATATATATTTGTTTTTTATATTATTTTAATCTTATATTAGATCGTTTAAATTGTATTTTATAAATATATAATTAGTTAGTGTAAAATCTGTGATTATAATATTATTTTCTTTTTTAAATTAAATCTATTTTAGATTCTATAAAATAAAGTTTTATATAAATAAAATAAAAAATTAATAATTTTTTTCCTTCATTATATTGATTTGTAAAATTATTACTAAATATTTCAAACAGATTTTTTTTATTCAGATTACCAATAATTGTAAAATTGAAATATAAAATTTTATTATATAAAAGATATCGATAATTCCTTATGTTTTTATTATTTTGAATATATATTTATTTATAAAATTTATAATATAAATGAAAGAAAGATTAAGATCGAAAAGTATTTTGTATTTTCGATTGGATTTTCTTGAATTGTTGAAAAAAAAAGTTGGATTAAGAATAAAAGGAAATTCTTTTTAAAATTTTATATTTGGAAAAGTAATATAACTTTCTTTATAATTGTATAAACAGATGATTGATTATAATTTTAAATATTTTAATAAATTAGATATTTTGAAAGAAAAAGAAAGATTGAAAAAAGAATATTTGGAAAAAGAAAAGATGAAATTAGATTTTGTTTTTATTAAGATTAATTCGAATATATTAAACCATTTCGATTTTTTTTTCTTTTTGAATAATCCAGATATTATTAATAAAATATCTTTAATTTTTTAAAATAATTAAAATTCTTTTTGAAATTCTAAATATTTTTTGAATATAGAAAATCTAGTTATTTAATTAAATATTTAATTTTGTTTTTAATATATTTACAATTTAATATTATTTCGATATTATATATAATGTTTGAATTGATTAATTCAATTTCTATTATAAATATCTTAAATGCTGTTAACAATATTGATTTAAATAAAGATATATAGAATATTAAATAAACATTTATAATATATAATAGTTTCAATTTATAATTAATTAATCTAATTACTTTATTGGTTTTAAATAATCTTAATTTCTTATAATATAGTTTATTATTAAATTGTTTTGTTTATATATTTCTTAATAAAAGATAAACTTTATTCTTTTTTTTTTTAAATATAAGTGTCGGTATCACTTCGGTGATACAATGAAAAGTATAGTATTATCTTGTATTTGTTTATAGATAATTATTATCTATTTAAAGGAGAAAGATCTATTTTATTGAAAGTGGTATAGGTTAAAATGTATTAGTTGTACAACTCTCTTTGTACACAACTCCTTTTCGAAATTGATTATCTAATATATCAATATTAACAATTCTCTTTTTAAGAAAATGAATTATTGTCAACTTGCCGACACTATAACCTTGCTGTATATGAGGTTTACTCGATGGGTGATGGAAAATGAGAAACTTGCTTAAATGAGTCGCGATCCTGACAATCTGATTGGTCTAAAATACCCTGATAAATACTCTGGTAAATAATCTAACAAAAAGCTTAACATAAATCTTACAATCTTAAGCAAATCTGACTTAGCGCTTTTTTTAACTCAACTCAATTGAAATCATTTAACTCTACTGAAATCATTCAATTTAACTTATAATAATAATAATAATATTAATAAATAATAGTAATATAAATAATATAAAATATTATTATTAATAATAATAATAATAATATAAAATTATATTATAATTATTATTTTTAAATAAAATATTTTAATTTTCAATTATTAAAAACAAGCTGATGTTCTGTTTATATCTTGATATATATTTGATATTTAAATTTATTATAAACTTTTTAAAACTTAAATTTTCATTAAACTTTCTCAAAAAGCCAGAGGTCCGAGGGGTGCAGGCCTTTGGTATAATTAATATTAGAATTTCTTCATTATTTTCATTTTATTTATTCTATTATTTCAATATCAATCTTATTAATATTAATAAGATCTATAAATATTTGATAAAGTTTATCCTTAATCATAATATCAATTGAATTGAATTTGTTAACAATCTATCGAATTTCAATTATTCCTTTTTATTTATATAGTTATTATAAAGTTATAATATCAATTATCAAATTTTTTTTGATTATAAAATTTAATTTAATCAATAAATTATAAAATGATTTAGAATTGATATAAATACTTAATAATATTGAATTCTTAAATTTAAGAATAATATTAATTATATCCTTTATTATTAAAATTATATTAAAATTCTATATTAAATTATATATTTCTAAAATTAATATATTATGTATAATTCTTTTATATTTGATTGAAAATCAATAAAGAATATTGTTATTCTTATTTTTATCGATCGATAAAATTACAAATCTAATTTATAATATATAATTTTTATTATTAATAGACAATATATCAATAAAAATAATGATTTTTAATAAATCTATATAAATTTTTTTTTCCAATTCTCTTTTTGAATTATTTTTTGAATACTTTAATATCCTTTTTGGTAAAATAAATCATTTAAATAATAATAGAAAAATCATACAAAGTTTTTGATTAATATATTATTATAATATATACTCTTTTAATTTGTTAAATAATATATTAATCCTTTGAAATGATTGATTTCTAAATCTTATTTTGAGTTTCTTATATATCAATTGATATAATTTTAATCAATTTAAAATTACTAGAGGTTTGCGCCCCCTAAACCCTTAGTTTTTCGAGATAATCTAATGAAAATTTCAAATTTGAAAATATATCAGGATACAAACAGAACATCAACTTGTTTTTGATAATTGAAAATTGAAATATTTTATTTAAAAATAATAATTATAATATAATCTAATATTGTTATTATTACTATTATTATTATTATTATTATTATTGTCAAAAGTTGATTTCAGTAGAGTTAAATTATTTTAACAGAATTAAAAAAAAGTTTTAAATCAGATTTGTTTAAAATTATAAGATTTATATTAAGCTTTTTGTTAGATTAATCAGATTATCAAGATTGCAATTCATTTAAGTAAGTTTCTTATCTTTAATTATCTGCTAGATAAACCTTATATATAATAGGGTTATAATATTAACAAACCAATAATAATAAATTGATAATATATAAAAATTTTAAAAAGTTTATAATAAATTGAATATTAAATATATATCACAGTGCAGACAGAATATCAATTTGTTTTTAATAATTGAAAATGAAATTATTTTATTTAAAAATAATAATTATAATATGATTTAATACTATTATTTATAAAAGTTATAAAAATTATAAAAAAAATGGAATTCCTTTAATAATTATCAAAAAAATCCAATTCTCAATTATTTCAATTTCTTTAGAATTCATTTTTATATTTTTAATAAAAATAAAAATATTTAAATATTTAGTTTATATAATATTGAATTTATATTTCTTAAGATTTATTTATAATTTAAGAATTTTTAATTATTCAAAAATTAATTTGATACAAATTTGATATTTTTTTTATTTATAAAATAAATTAAAATACTATCAAAATATATTACACAAAAGATATTTAGATAATTAAAAAGAATATTGTTTATATAATATTGATAAATTATAGATTTATTTATTTATCTAAAAGATATAATTTTATATTTATATAATTTATAATAGATTGGAAAAATAATGTATTTTCCGAAATAGAATTTATTTATATATAATAAAAAGTTTAATAAATATCGAATTTGATATAAATCTTTATATTAAATAATCGAATTAATATTTTATTAATCAAAAATAAAGGATATTGATCTTTGTATATTATTAAAAACCTACACCCTTCAAACTTTTGGCTTTTCGAGAAAGTGTAATGAAAATTTAAGGTTTAAAAATTTATAAAAATTTCAATATTAAACATATATTAGGGTGCAAACAGAATTTCGATTTGTTTTTGATAATTGAAAATTAAAATTTTTTATTTGAAAATAATAATTATAATAATAATAATAATTATAATATTAATAATAATAATAATAATAATACATTATATTATTTATATTATTTATATTATTTATATTATTTATATTATTTATAATAGTATATTATTATTATTATTATTATTATTATTATTATTATTATTATTATTATTAATAGAGTCGAATTGAATAATTTCAAAGTTGAATGATCTCAATTGAATTGTGAATTGAATTAATGATTTCAATAGAATTAAATGATTTCAATAAAGTTGAATGATTTTAGTAGAATTGAATAATTTCAATTGAATTATAAATTGAATTGATGATTTCAATTGAATTGAATTAAAAAAAGGTTTAAATTAAATTTGTTTAAAGTTGTATGGTTTCTTTATATTAAGTTTTTTGTTAGATTTATTTATTGAAGTATTTTAGATCAATTAGATTATTAGAATTGTGATTTATTTAAATGAGTTTTTTATTTTCTACTATTTATATTGAGTAAATTTTATATATAATAAAGTTATAGTATTGATAAATCGATAATTAAATTTAATAAAATCTTTCTTGAAATTATTTTTAATATACTCTTTGATAATTTTCAATTATTCAAAAGATATTTTATAAAATAAATTGTATTATAAGATTTCTTTTTTTTTATTTTCTAATATAATTTTATAATTGTAAAATCGATAAAAAGAAATATTTGATTTCTATTTGAAAAAAATTGATGATACTTTTGATATTTTGAAGAGATATTAAATTCTGAATTAGTTTTTATTAATATTCAATCGAATTATTTTTCAATTTTGTAAATTTTAAATTTGATTAAAATAATTAATATTTGTTTTCATATATAATGTTTTTTATATTGAATTTTCAATATATTATTGATTTTTTTTTATAAATTAATAATAATAATATAATTAATTGAATAAAAAATGATTTAAATTTTTTAAAAATTATCATTTTCTTTTCGATAATAATTTATAATAATAAAGATTGTCTTTGTAAAATATTAATTTTATTTGATTAATTTAATTGTTTATTTTTTCGAATTCAATTTTTTTTAAATTAATGATTTTGTTGTTTCATACTTTATTAAATAAATTAATCGATTTTTTGTTTTTGAAAAGATAATTAAATAAAAAGAATTGAATTGAAATAAAAGATAATATAAAATTGTTTTATAAATTATTCAAAATATCCCTCAAAATAGTCTTATTTCATTTGGATTTCTATTAATCAAAGTTTATCTAAAATAATATTATAAATATTTAGTTTTATAATAAGGAAAAATATAAATAATTGTTTATAATTATCGATTATTAAATTGAAAAATATATAATATATAATAATATAATTTTATACATTATTATAATTTTTGGTTTCAATTAAAATCTGAAAAGATATAATTTTGAATTTAAATATAAAAATAAATAAGTAAAAAATATATTATCAATAAAAATGAATCTATTTATTTCTAAATCAATAAATATTTTCGATTTATAAATATAATCATTTTTGAAAAAAATATATAAAAAAATTAATTTTTTTTATTTTATTAATTTTATCAAATCAAAAAATCTTATATTTTGTATAATATTTAAAATGAAAACAAAGTTTAAATATTTTGTTTTAAATATTCTTTTTTTATTTATTTAATTTTCTTTATAATTTTAAGATTGAAATTATTATTAATATTATGGTATTTTTTTTAAAAAAATTTTGATTTCATTAAAATTTTTAAAATGAAATATTTGTATATATTTTATTTCAAAAAAAAGATAAAAAGTTTGAATAATTCAAATAATTATTAAATATAAATATTAATCAAAAAGGATTTATATAATTGATAAATAGATTTCGAAGTAAAAGTAATTTTAAGAATATTGAATTTTCAAACATAAAGTTATTAAAATTTTAAAAAGATAATTATATAATAATATTATTAAAAGCAGATTTATAAATAAATATGAAGATTTTATATTTTAAATAATATCGATTTTGTTTTTATATAAAAATCTCGAATTTATTTATTTCAATAAGTTTTATTGTAAGATATTTATAATTTGATAATTTTTATAATATAAAGTTACAATTTGTAAAAAAAAATCCGAAATTTTTCATTCAAAATTTTAAAATAAAGTTTTATTATTTGTAGTCTTTATTTGAGTAATTAATAATCAAAATTTCTTATATTATTTTAAAAAGTTTTTATAATAAATTATATTAAATATAATTTATAATTTGTATTAAATATAAATATAATCGATTTTAATTAAATTTTGATAGATTATAATAAATTATTCAATCTATTCGAAAGTAATAAATTGATATATTTGAATATAAAAAATATAATAATATATTTATATTTTCGATTTTATTTGATCGATTATCTATATATATTATTGAATTTTATATATAAATAATATAATATATAATTTGAATCGATTTTAAATCAATAATTATTATAAATTAGCTTTAGATTCGATATTATTATTTAATTTGATAATTAAATTAATAATATAGAAATATAATTTAGATTAATTAAATCGATTTTTTAAAAAAATGAAAATCTTGATTCTTATATAGATCTTTATTTTTGGAAACAAAAAAAGAATTATTTGAAAAATCTAATTTATTATATTAAATAATTGATTGATGTTTTCTTTGATTTTATAATTATTTAGTTTGTTTGAATAAGATTTTGTTATATTCAATTAAAGAAATAAAGAGAATTCTAAATATTATTATTAATTTAAATATTTATATAATTATTATTCAAAATTCCAAAAAAAATTGTATTATTATAAAGTTTATTATTATTATTATCAGCTTGCCAACACTATAACCTTGCTATACACAAGGTTTACTCAGTAGGTAATAGAAAATGAGAAACTCGTTTAAATGAGTCGGGATCCTGATAATCTAATTGGTCTAAAATACCCCAGTAAATAATCTAACAAAAAGCTTAACAAACCTTAAACAAATCTAACTTAGAATTTTTTTCAACTCTATTGAAATCATTCAACTCTAAAATCATTAATTCAATTCTATTCATTCAATTCAACTCATTCAACTTATAATAATAATAATAATAATAAGTTGAATGAAATGAATTGATGTTACAAGGTAACAATCAACCTATCCACATGAGCTTAGGCCTCATCGAAAAGCAAAGCAATTTGTATACAAATTTGTATAATAATCGACTCATATAGCCTCCCCGCCCTTAACAAGCTTGAACTTATAGTGTAATCCAAAAATTACATAATGAACCCTACATATACAAGGATACGAATCGTAGGTCTATACGAATTGTAGACCCATACGAATCGTAAATCCATACGAATCGTAGGTCTATAAAGATTCTACAGGATACGAAGATCTATATAAACAAAATGGATTTCCTATATATAAAAGTTTTCGTGCTCAAAATCAATCATTTAGTATACTCCACTATTAGTTACGAATCGCAACTATTGATATTATTTAAAACCCCTACTTGACGCCTAGTTATAAACCATTCGAGGATCCAAACCACTTCCACATGATCTAAATCGCATCCCTCGTAACAATTGAATGAATAAAATTGAATTGAATAAATAGAATTGAATTGAATGAATAGAGTGGAATTGAATAAATGGAATTGAATTGAATGATTTTAGAATTGAATGATTGATTTCAATTGAATTGAATTGAAAAAAACTTTAAATCAGATTTGTTTAAGATTGTAAGATTTATATCAAGTTTTTTATTAGATTTTTTATCAAAGTATTTTAGATCAATCAGATTATCAAGATTGTGATTCATTTCTCGATCAATTATATCACAATCTTAAACGAACTCCATTTTCTATAATCTATATTAGATAAACCTTATATATAACAAAGTTATGATATCAACAAGCTGATAATTATTTAAAATTTAAAATATTGATTTATTATATAATATTTAATCTAAAAATCTTAAAAAAATTTATAATTTATTTTTAACAATTTTTATTAAAAAGTTATTTAAGATTTTCAATATTTTCAAATTTGTATATAAATCTAATACAAATTGAAAATTATAATTTCAACTTTCAATTTCTCGATCAATAAAATCATCAAAAATCTGAAATTTTCAAAATCTACTAATAATTATATAATATATATATGATTCAAATTTCATCAAATCCTAATGATTAATTGTGAAGTTATTAATAGGTGAAAATGATGATTTTTGGTGTAAAAAGGTGTCCGGAAAGAGGGGTGACCGGAAAGTAGGGTACTAGACTTATGTGCCCCACGAGCTTCTCCATGCCAGCTTACATATCCCGTTGGTAACTGTTAGTTTTTCTGTACAAACAAACCATCTAACGTTTCAAGTTGCTTAAGAATTGTTTCACAGGCAGTAGGTATCTGTAGAGAAAGCAGTATCCGCATACTCGAACAATTTATGATGATATTGGCTGGGAACTTCAATCCCAAGTCAATCTTAAGCAACCATGTACTGCTATTTTCCTATACTGAAGAACTTGAATAGCGGAACAACTGTCATCAGTTATACCAGGCAATCTTGTTTAGACTCTTGGTTTGAGACTTGGCATGGAGTAATGTAATAATCCTCGTGGACTCTTAAAAAAAAACATTCTGGTACGGGTTTCGAATGCTAATGGAGAGCGAAGAGGCCATGGGGAAGAGTAAAACCACTTGGAAAGTTAGAATGAGGGTATGCGGGAAGGCAGCTGGAGACTGTGTCTAAATTGTATCTCTTGTCCGAAATGCGCAACCAGATTGACTCCACTTTGCTGATGTGATGTGCATATAGTGGAAGTCGAAGCTATTAGCATTTGTTTCCTGATCGCATTGTACTTGATGTAGTTTTATATAAGAGGAATAAGCACAAAGTTGAACAACAAACAGCGAAGGGCACATACCACGTATAAAGTACAAAGGGGAAGACGCTCTTCCAGCTCAGAGGGGATATTATATGTTCCTAATTCCTAATAGTACACAGAAGGTTCATTTCCGCTTTTTTTCATTTAATTCCATTCCGCATTGGTCCCAATAGTCATAATCATCTCAAGCCAAGCAAAAACTTTCCACCACCCTCTTTACCACCCTCACCACCACCGGGCAGGTAAGTGACGTTAGGATTGCTTGCCAACGTCTGCGCAATCTCTCTACTAGCCTCAATTCTTCTGATCATGATCAAGCCATCCCCTGCCTTTGCAACAGCCTTGCTAATAGTGTCTGCACTCTCAGCTTCACCCTCTGCACGGATGACATTTGCCTGTCTTTCCTGTTCTGCCTTCTCGACTATGAATCTCGCTCTTTCGGCATCCTGTTGAGCGATCTGCTTTTGCTCGACGGCACGAGTAAACTCTTTACCGAATGTCATGTGGGTAATTGAGACATCTTCAAGAGCGATGTTGAATTCTTGGGCACGTTTTAGGAGATCCGATCGAATACGGTTGCTGACTGCTTCACGCTGGGTGATAAGTTCGGCCGCATCGAACTGAGCGACGATGGACTTGAGGACTTCGTTTCCGATGGATGGGAGAACTCTCTCATCATAATCTTGACCCAAGTTCTACTGCATATTTAGTATTAAACTACCTACAAACATAAAAAGACCGGCAACAAACCTGGTAGATTTTAGGTAGTTGTTGAACCTCAGGTCTATGTAGAACTCTCAATGTCAAGCTGACCATTTGCATATCCTTACTTCCAGTTGTCGTTGAGATATTTCTTGGCTTTGTGCGCACATCATAGATGATACTTCTTTGCAACCAAGGAATCAGAAAATGTGTACCCTCATTGACGACTGTTTCCTTGACTCCGGACAAACGATCAAAGATAACTGCTCGAGAGCCACCCTTAACATCATACATAGAGGACTGAACGGCAGCAGCACCGATTCCTAAGGGAACGATGAGCTTGTAGAGGTTATTCAAAGATTGCGCCATTTTGTATATTGTCTTGTGGATGGTGGAAATGGAGATGTGCGGGATGTACTTTTCGAAGGCGGGATATCTAGAAGCTCAGTGCGGAGTTGAGGCTCTCCTCACTGCAGCTTGACATTTTTGGAGGAATTTCGCGCTAGTAGCGACAAGGATAATTGGATGATTGCTTGGCGATAATGACCCGATGTCCGACTTCTTGAATCAGAACTTCTGTTTTTACGAATAATACCTTCTCATTGAATCTTCAGTTGGCATTCAGACTTTCAAAATGAAACCTACTTCAATTCTCAGATCTGGTGGTGACGGAGAGATTGGAAAGTATGGAAAGTGAGTATTCACCTGTGTCTCCGTTGTGAATGAGAAAGGATCTTCACGGGTGTTCACGGGTCTTCACAGTATGGCTTTCAACATATATGGCATGCTAATGTTTATCTCTACAGATACTTAGGTGGATGGGGTAACTTGGGTGAGTCTAGATATTTATTCCCTATGATTGCTCGACATTTCTGTCTTTTTTCCCCAGCACCATTTGGCGCACAAAGTCGACACATACGAACCCAGAAAGACGCAAACGGGGGTTTGACGAGGTCAAGGAGCAGATGAACATCGGATCGCTGGGCGAGAATTGACAGCATGAGATGAATTGCGGGACCGAGAAATGACCAGGAACCGTTGACTGATAGTGGGATAACCAGGCTCCCAACCCCAGAAGGGTGTCGCATCATACGCACTCAGCGCCAATCGACAACGCCCTTTTGCCGGCGCTTTCAACGCAGCTATCTTCAACACCTGGAGACGATTCCGTGGCCAGGTTCTTTACGTTGCACCGCCATTTATTATTGCATACACTGCCATGGAATGGGCTATTGAGAGGTTTGTCTAGTTGTTGGCAATACAACCTATGCTACGTTCTAACTAGTTTTGGTAGAAACGAATACCTGAACTCTAAGCCGGGAAGATTGGAATATGGTGGTGTGGAGGAATAGAGCCTGGAAAGTTCATGGCCACATACTAAGCAGTATTTGGTGTTGCTCCTTCGCTGATCCCGCGAAATTGAAGAAGTTTGGTGGCTATGGGAAAGTTGAGGAACAAAATTGGGGTGTACAGTATTAGACCGGGATTTTGCAATGCATCATGGTTTATAGAAACTAGCTCTATTCAAGTAGACTGTGTAATTTGTTGCTATCTGTGAAGTCATTCCCATGTGGTAAACGACGTGAATGAGGTCAAGTGTGAAGCAAGATATGATGTAAATCTGCATACCACCAGTGAAGGTGAAAGAAGAAAGCAAAAATCTTATGCGAAATTTCTGATACTAATTGTTAAAATCTTAAAATACCCAGGCCATTATATCAATTTCGTCTGGCCATGCATGCCCAAGTTGCATTTTATAAGTTTTCGTAGCAGTTCCCAATCTAGCCTAGTGCGAATTGACCCGCCGAACATTTTGTAAAAAAGTTCTGAACCTCAAGCTCGAATTTCATCGCAAAACAACAAAATTATCCAATTCCCACCACCAACAATTTCGCATTACACATTAAATATTCTTTCGAAAGTAAAAATTTAAGATTATTCATAATGGGCAAAGATAAATCCGAAAAGCGCGACAAGAAGGAGAAGAAGGAGAAGAGAAGTGAGGTCGACGGTGTCAAGAAATCTTCCAAGAAGGACAAGAAGGTTAAGCTTAGTGAAGACAATGTAGCTGCTGCCATTGCCGAAGTCACCAAGGAGCCCGAGGCCGTCGAAGTCATGGACATTCTAATTGGGGAGGATAAGGAAGGCGCAGCTCCCGAAATCAAACCAGTAGGAGCTTTGGTTCCATTCGCAAACCCACTGGCCGATGAAAAGGTTGCAAAGAAGGTGCTTAAAAGTGTTAAGAAAGGTAAAGTAATTTGCTCTTCGCTCTTCCCTCTTTCCAATTTTTGCGCCGTTCGCAATGTGGACGCATTCTTCTCGATAAGGGTAAAAGTACTAATTGGTGTGTCTGGTCGTAGCTGCCAAAAACAAAACTCTCAAGCGCGGTGTAAAGGAAGTAGTCAAAGCTCTACGCAAATCTCCCCAAGGTGCTAGCAATACAGCTTTCCCTGGTGTCGTTATCCTCGCCGCAGATATTTCGCCAATGGATGTCATCTCTCACATCCCAATCTTGTGCGAAGATCACAACGTACCATACATCTTCGTAACCAGTAGAGCCGAGTTAGGAGCAGCAGGCAACACAAAGAGACCTACGAGTGTGGTAATGGTCACAGAAGCGAGGTCGGGCGCAAAGAAGGCCGAGAAGATTGAGGGCGAAGAAGAATTCAAGGATGTCTATAAGGACTTGGTTAAGGTTGTGGAGAAGGAGGGTAGGAATGTTAGAGTATAAGGGGAGAGAGATGGAAAAAAAAATTCTGCTTATGGGTTGGCTGCACTTTTCGGCTGTATCATATCAAGAGCATGTCTTACCGTGCTTGGACATTACAATGGCGTTGGTGAGTAAGGGTAGGGCTAGGAATAAAGAAAACATTCGATTTTAATTCAACCTTTGTGCAGAACAAATGCATGGTGTTCCTTCAGGTTTTGTCCTTCTTCTATTGGCTAAAGTCCCGCAGGCATTCTATTTCTGCAGCGCTAATGTACAACGTTTGCGTGCTCAAAACTTTCAAATTCTCATATTCACGCTCCACCCCCGTCTTCGCTATAGATTAATTGCACGTAGGTGGCGAGAAAATCTCAAATTCTTCTGCTGTACAGGCTTCTGTGGCATTTTTGTCTTTGGTTGGTGAATATGGCCCAACACCGGTATAGTCACTAGTGTCCGAGCCAGTTACACTACAGCTACTGCAATTTTCTAATCGTAGTTTTTGGACTGCTCGAGCTGCTGTGAGGTATATCATGACGCCTGTATCTGTCTCCTCTGTCTTCGCGTGTAAACTTGCCTGGGCTCCCTGCGCTTCGTCCTCGACGCTCCCTTCCTTTACGTGCAATTTAGTTAAGGCTTTGCTGATGATCTGTTCATTATCTTCTGCTTGCGATAATGTCATTTTTGTACTTGTCTCTAATATGTCCTGTTCATGGGCATGCGCCTCTTCGCTTGGTGTTTCCTCCTCACCGTCTCCAATATAACCACGATCAAGATCCGCCTCCGCTTCCCGAAGTTCTTTTGTCCAACCTTTTACCTTCTCAGTCTCCTCTCCCACCGCATCGAAGAATATTTCCAGCGCCTCAAACTTTGAAGTTAATGGTGTATCACTTTCTAGCTTCTCCAAGAGACTCTCCTTCATACCCGCAGAATGCTTCAGTTCTTCTTCCAGTTGCCTTTCCCTCTCTGGGAGATGCAATAGAGTCTGCTCGGCTAGACTTCGACTCTCCTGTTGCTTTCTCTCTTCCATTGCCCCTAATTCTGCAGTGTCTAAGACTGCCACCTTCTCTTCCACGTCAGCCATGTCAATATGAATACAGGGTCGATTATCGTTCGTGTTCTGAGTAGAATTGGTGTCTTCAGCGACATCTCCGTCTTTGATAAGATCACCCTGTTTGCTCGGAAACATGCTGGTATCGCGGTCAATAGCTTGGCCTTCTGTTTCCTGCCTCTGAAGCACTTCGTTGGACAATGCTTCCATTTCGCATTCACACAGTGGTCTTTCCCCTTCCAAATCAGATTTACTGTCTTTTACAGGATAAGCATCTCTTTCTTGATTTTTGTGCTTGGATAACACCGCTTCTGCATAGTAATCGATGATTAAATTGGATCGTTCTTTAGGGCTGAGCCCTTTAGTTCTAGTAGTCCACTTGTTTTCATCTCTGGCTGGTGCAAGAGAAGGAAGTGGCGCCATGAGTGGTGCTGTTGCCGTGGTAATGAATCTCTCCGACTTTGGACGTATGTGCTTAACGAGAACCAAAAAGGAGTTATCGCCAATGTTAGAATTGTTTCCATCCATATTTATAAAGTTGCCTGGGTGGAAAGTAATGATAGTATCGTATATACAAGCTGTAGTCTTTGGATGTGTTTTGAGATATATTTTACAGAGTGAGGTTTTGTGGGTATTTGTTTAGGACATAAGTGGTGTGGAAAAAAGAGAAGTGCAATTAAGTACTATGATAAATACCATACACAAATCTCCGCAGACACAACTGTGATTGCTCGACCAAAATATTATAATCATGGCAATATTCTATCTTCAAAATTGTGAATAATTAACCTTTCCCTTGCTACAAACTGTTCCATTAGTGAATGCTCCTGTCACTATGCTCATTAACCTCCTAACACAATAGTTTCAAGCCTGATATCCATTTCACTAATTTTGACCCGAACCCAAGGTTAGAGAAGCCCTTTTTCTTATGGTACCCAACTGAGGCCAGTCTTCTCTGCTAGCCTTGCCGCCATCCATTGTCCTTGCCAAGCTCAAGTCCAGGCCCAATTCCAATTCCAGTTCGAGTTCCACTTCCACCTTCAATTCCCATTCCATTTGTGTTTGTGCATTGCAGTGTCCTATTTTGCTGCCATCCCGGTCCCCACACCTACACGAGCTTCAAACTCTAGACTCCATATAAACCGAAAGGAGACTTGCAATGCGGCTGGACAAGGTATACTGTACTCCCTGGTAGGTATGAAGGTTGATCCAGACTCATCCCGTACTAAGCATTCATTAGCAATTCATCAGAATTAGAATAGACAATTAAAAAAAAGTAGTGACCCTGCTCGTAAGTATGAATAGCTTCATGTGGTTGGTACCGAAGAATTGCTTCCGGACACAGTGGGAGACATCGTTGCAACTTTGAATGCCCTAGTTTCACTAAGGTAAATCAGCACTTTTGGATCTCACAGCTCAGTAAAAGAATCCAGGAGTTTTGATTTGTCCTTATTTAGAAGAGCAGCCTAAGGAATAAGAAAAATAACGAATTGAACGAAGTGGAGGTGAAAACGGAGTAAAGAATTGCTGAAGCGCAAGAGGTAGTAAGCTCAAATACTGCCAAAAAGATTGTATAAAATATGTATTAAAAGTTGTTATAGTGATTTAAAGAAGAAGAGAAGAGGAAAAGAAAACGAGGTGAGTTATTGTAGACAAATGTACGTAGAACGCTCTTTGAGTGTTTGAGTGGGCTGTTCCTCACAGACTTATTGGTTTGGTATTCTCTTATTGAGAAAGCACGTATGGTGTGTAATTTTCATTGACTAGAGTAGGATGGGTATTGCTTGGGATTGACGCCTGCTATGTGCGCTCTTATTATTGTCTCCTATGCCCATGCCAGCTTCGCCCTAGCTTTTTTCGATTTTTCAAATCCCTTCATACTGCGCCTAGGCCTGGCTTTAACTTTTTTCTGCTTCTTTACGTTGTGCATCCATGCATTCATAGGTTTCCTAGCAGCGATAAATTTGCCTTCAGGAGTAAATACCTCTACTGATGGCCATGGTACGTCATCCGCTACCTCATTTTCATCTCCCCATCTCCAGGTTATATCCTGTGCTTTATCATTCTTGATTGTGTCTTGCTTCATGAGACGCCTTTTGCTAACTTGTGCTACAAGTTCAATCCATCCACACCCTTCAACCAAAATGTCTGTAGAAAGGATGTGGAAGGGGAGTTGATCTAATTTGGTCTTATGGAACAATGACTTTGTGGCTGGGCCTAGACGTGCCTTCGTGACATCCCACTTTAGAGGAAAAACTCCAGCTGAAGTGATCTTCTCTTCGCTTCCAGGAATCGTAATGTTATCAATGAACGGCTCTTTACCTCTTCTTTGCATAGCAATAGCTTTTTCAGTTGATGTCAAATGAGGGTCAGGCTCGATAGATGTGAAAGCATAAGCCATCAAAACAACATCTGGATCTAAGGGTGTAATCCTGATGAGACCACCACCCAGTACCAATGACTGACCAGGCTTCATCACTTTTTGTTCCGGTTTAATTCGAGATTTCATTACAAGCGAATTTCGATACTCTGGCTGTACGTGAAGCTCGAGTTCGCCCCTTGATAGCCCAGGAAGATCGATAAGCTCTCCTTTTCCATTACCAAATGGTACTCGAATTGGCGATGCGGTTGTGCCAGGAAGGGACGACACAAGCGGCATTGAGGGATATGTTGTTTCTTGTTGTGCCGGAGGAAGAAGTGGCATTGTGTTATGTGAATCATCCTCTGGTAATTGCTTAACTTCGGATTCCTCCTCCACGTCCGCTGATTCTATTACCGTTGGTGTGTAAGAGACCGTAGGCGGAGTAACCTCATTTGTAACACTTTTATTAGTGTCTGCATCCACCAGCATAGACTCGGATTCCCCAATAGCCCTTAGCTCTGGCCCCCCTTCATCCTTCGGGGCATGTACTAAAAGAGGCTTCCCAATAACCACCTCATTCCTGCCCCTCCCCTTTGGAAACACTTCATGAAAAAGCCGACTCTTTCCCACATTAACCTTTCCCACCATCCAATTACCTCCGCCCCTCTCAAAAACATCCTCCTTCATCTGCTTTGTCCACCAACCCCTTTCCGCACTAACACACCTAACATTTCCCAAGCGAACCCCCTTTCCCGCCCTCCCCAGCGCATCTCTCAGCACGGCCGTCAAATACGGCATCATTCCATCAACCAGCGCTTTCGTTGGCGCCAGAAGATCCGACCGCGTGATCACAAAATCAACCTCAGTCTTCTTATCACTATAAAATTTCGCTGCTCTCGAACGCCGATTGTGTGATCTTTGGGGCGTCACGTTTAATGTTTTGGTCAGAGCGGGGATAAAAGACATGGGGAAGTCTGCGGCATCTATGACATGATATATGTGATTGTATTTATAAGGAGATTCAGATATCGTTCGTTGAAGTGCTTCTACGGAAGGATGATATATAGAAACACCCGTTTGATGATTCTTGAGATTGTGACATCGATCGCACACGGGCGGTTCCATGGATGTGGATGTAGATGTAGTTGTAGCTGCAGATTTCTCCATCCCCAGGGTCTCGAGAATCGTACTGTCGACATTTTTCAGGGCTCTCTTTACTATTTCGTCTTCTGCTGTGGCCTTTGCATTCTTCGCCGCGTATGGAGCCCCCAAGTATTCCTTAATAGACCTCCTTGTCAACGAAAAATAGCCCGCTTCATCTTTGACGGTTGTCTGTGATAATGCACCGCATCCGGCGCATTGGGACGGCAATTTGGGTAAAGCTTGCGCTGGGACATCAGAAGTTAATTCCGCTATCTCCAGGACTTGAGCTTGTGGTTGAGCCTGCGACTGGACATATCTACGCTGTAACTGAACATTCCTTCGTGGTTGGTTGTGTACCAGTTTAGAGAATTGCGAACTTCGTGCAAGTAGGGGACAAAGGAAAGTGGGTATCTCAGCAACCGCACATTCCGCTTGCCTTGAGAATCTTAAGGCAAATCTGCCAGAAGTAGAGAGTGGCATGTTAAAAGAACGTAGTATGCATCGTTGTCGAATTGCGCGCAAACAGATTCGACAGATAGATAGATATTGCGTCCCTCCAAAAGAAAATTAATTTGGTCGGAGGTCGGAGCTTTAAATTGACAAGGGTCAAAATACTTAGTCGCAAAACCTCAGAAATATATTCACAAGTCAAGCTCCTCCAAAACCTCACCCCCACGATCCTGTACAGTATATCCAATTTACTTTATCGACCTTCACATATTCAAGATGGTGAATCTATTAAAGCGGATGGCGAAGCTTAACTCTGTAAGTACTCTCATGTTCATTCCGCAATGGCGCAAATGCTAATACAATTCGCAACGTAGAGGGTAAAGAATTCCCCATAGTGATACTATTATATGAAGATTCGAAATTGACTTTTCTGCTTTTGCTCAGTTACTCAGCATACGATTAGGACCCGGTGCAGCAATTCTCCCACCAGAAGTTACGAGGATACATATGGACTTCGCCTATGGCCTGGCTGGGCATCTCGGTCCGAAGTATATATCCCCTCTCCCTCCATCTACTTTCCCTCATTTGCCCTCTACCCCTCAATCCTCCCTCCTCCCCAACTCAAACCCAACAGCTAACCCCCATTCCACATAGACAGTTCTGGCACAAATGTCTTCCCCGCCTCAAATACCACAACCCCGCAGTCCCCATGACGGTAAACCGAACGAATGACACGTCCGTCCCGGCAAGCCTAACCATCCACTTCACCAACCCCGACCTAGCAGCCTCCTCTCCGCCCCCCATAAACAGCACCGCCTCCAACCCCGCTACACCCTCCGCCTCCGGCGCTCCAACAACCCACACCAAAACCATTGATTGTAAACATCGGAACGCTAATGCCATCCTCTTTGACTTGATGGAACTAACGAAAGCCAAAAAGGTTCTGCCTACCGAAGCTGAAAAACAGATGATGAAGAATCTGGCGGCAATGAAATTGAAGAGTGAACAGGATTCGAAATTGAGTGCGATTGTTAATGAAAAGATCCGAGCCGAGAAGGCAATTCTGGATCATGCGAGAGGCGAGGTTGCTGCTGCTTCTGCTGAAACATAGAGAATGGAGGGGTTGAAAGAGAATGATTAAATATTGGGTGTAGAATATGTTATATATACCAGGCGTTGAGGAGGAATACTCACTATGATGGGATAACGAAAACCAAAAGAATACATCAATGTATCCAGCAAAAGGTGACTTTAGTAATGGTCACGCACGTAAGGAACGAGGGAAGCGATGTATGAATGATCATAACGAAAAAAGATATTGTCTCGTCTCATCTAATTCCGGTGAATGACTCTGCTTCTTATGTAAAAGGTATGCGATCTCTGCATCTGGTCCAATTCAGCCCAATTCCAAGAAGCTCGTGCACGCCCTCAATTGTCCACTTCCCATAAGACAATCAAGATGCAACGCCAATACCAACACCAAAACCCTTAGCGCTCCACTGAATACAAAATAAAGACGCCGTCTCCACCAAACATAAATATCACCGGCACTCTATCTAAAATGCTTCCTTTCTCTTTCTATCTTGATCAATGGCCCCATCAACACATACCACTTCATCTTCCATGTCATCCTAACCTCTATTTCAGCCCAAAGCCCTCACTCTCATGTACCGCTCTCCAAAGTCTCCCTTCCAGCTTCTCTCTAGACGCATATCTCCACAAACTCAACATATTAAAGCACGTTCTCGCCACGGGGAACCTTTCGCTATCATCCCCCAGACAACTCAACTTAATAACCAAACTCGTTGCGCCCATGGCTGGAATACAAGAACTGCCTGTAACAAAGCTCAAAAGTTTTCTTTGATCCTTCGGATCTGCTTTCTGGAAGGATTCCCAAAACCACTGAATCACTGGTTCGCGTTCTGCAGCATTTGGTGCGCCCCAATTCTCACACACGGACACTGCGCGGAGAGAAGTAATATCCAGAGGCTCGTCGGAACCTCTGATCAAAAGTTCGATTTCTTCGGGCCGGAAGAGTGATAATGCGTTTCCTCCACAGACGGTGAAGAATCCACGTTTGAAAGGCTCGAATTGTCGAGCTACGGCATTGTCTAAAAGGTACCGGACATAAAGATCTACAAACTCTCTTCGGTTAGAGTTCGTCACCGGTTTCTTGTCACCGTCAGGGCAAAGGGGCACCTGTATTGTTTGTCCATATCGATCGACATCTGCTACAAAATCCCGACAGAACGTTGCCTCGACATCTCCATCAAACTCGAGCAGTTGCCTCAGACCATGAGCTAGAGCTGGTCGGAACTCGGCTAAATCTTCAAGAGAATATGTCATAGAGGGTTTCGCATGTGATGTTGCACCGGGAGCTGCAGCCGGAGCGGCAGCGAGCAATTTTCGAAAAGCGAAAGGCGGTAGCGCCACATCGAGAATTGTTGAATTATAGATGGCCAAGCCAAGCACCACTCCGACAAGGAAGTACTGATCGGTCGTCTCAAAGCTATTAGGGTTGAAGTAGCAAAAATGAGAGTCCTCGTCGTACGAGAACATGCCTGCTTATGATTAATTACATTTCTGAACCGCATCAAAGAGGGGGCATACCATGATCGGGGTTGAAAACGTCCCTTACAAGCAGAAGAAACCATTCTTTCCTCAAGCCACCAGCATCAATACCCTCTTCGCCCTTAAACTCTATTCTCAACCCCTTTTTGATTTCTTCACCACCAGTTCCCACAACCTCACTAACCCCCTTTAAGCTATCTTCTACCAAGCACTCTCGTCTGACTTTCAAAAGAAGATACTGATTGACATTCTTACGTGTCATGATACTATTAAAGAATGCTTCTCTCGCCTTCACTTCCATTTGACGACGAGCATCATGCTCCATGATCTGAATCTTTGCCCAAATGCTAAGAAAGAATGGATACTGGCAAAAAGCAAATTTGCTACGCTTACTTTCCCAAGCCTCAAAATCAGCAACCAGATCGGAATAATCAAGTAAGGTATTGTAAAAGTGGCTAGTCGGCAGCATCTGTCCATGGGCAGCCAGAGCCCTGATGGGAGTTCCCATACTAGGCTCCGTACTTTTCGACAAATACTCGCTTGGCGATTGAACGCTACTCAGTAGTTTCCCTTTCTTGTGTAACCCACTATTATTAGCCGAGAAGAGAAGTGCCATCACCCTAGCAGCTGCCTTGATCTGCCAATCATCACTGTATACAACAGGTTTCGGCTTCGTATCCTTTTTCTTATTGGTACTCTGCCCAGCTTGAAGAGCCGCATGAAAAGCTGCTACATTATTATGGGATGCACTGGTACTAATCTGGGGAACCAAGCCAGAAGTAAGATCAGGTTTATCAACCTCACGAGGCTTCCCATGCTGCCGAGTAAGCCTGTAAGTGACAAAGCTGCCAACCAATTCTGTGGTTCGCTGAAAGTGACCTTCCGGATACCTAGCGAACCATGAAACTATATGATGATGACATTCATTCGGGGTGTTTGAAAGTAATCCCACAATGCGTTTGATGATTCCCGAATGTTGACCAGAGGCTCCTTTTGTTGCATTCGACGGTGGCCTAGAAGAAGGCGGCTGTCCTCTAGTTTTAGGAACATTGAGATCACTAGCTTCTGGCCTCTGCTCATTTGGTAGCACTCTCGATCCTGCATGTCTCGAAGGCGTACCATTTCCAGGGTACAGAAGGGGATTGGCTAGGATAATCAAAAGAAATCGGAGATCATCAGGTTCTTTCAGAGGACGTCCCGGACGTTTCAATAGTCCCTCCGTAGCTTTCAATAACGTCCTTTGAAGATGTGATTGGGCTTCGGTGATTGTTTCCTCAATCTCGGCAAGCTCTCCAACAGCGGGCGCTTGTACGACCGGGCTGGGTCGACGTGATGTCAATTCCTCCAATTTGCGATGCCAAATCCTTCCCGGATTCGACACGACATGATACCATTCATTGAGGTCAGGCCAGTCGATACGCGGCGATTTAACTGTAGTTAAATCACAGTGAGGATTCGTACGTATTGTGTCTCCAGACCGTTGAGAACGGTTCTTCTCGGGTGTTTCTTTCTGGTTCCCAGTCCACCAAGAACCATTCTCTGCTATATCTCCCAGCATTAACATTCTGGGATCGAGTTCTTCCAAAGGAGTTTCTGATTGTGGATCATTCTCGTCCGGGATAGTGGCCATAAAAGTCTTTAAATTGCTCTGACTTCCTGCCCTGGGATTGGGATTTTGACGAATAGTACTGAATGAAGTATTGATACAATCAAATTGGCTAAATGATGCTATAATATATTCTTCTAAAGGCCTAAATAGATTTTTGGCCACGTTATCTTGTCTTCCGTGCAAAGTTTCGTCAAATTTGCCTGGCGGGTTTGGAGGACTTCTACTTGGTGGTTGAATAGCCAATGGTTTAGTGTAGGTACCAGAGCCCATTCGACCATGTTTTTCCATATGCGAACCGAGAAAGCTTCCAGGGGATGAAGTTGAGTATGGAATTGAGCGTGAGCCTGGCCGTTTGTCACTGTCCATGCTAGGGCGGTCCCCAGGGCCGTTTCCGTAGCCTGGGGGAGGGCGTCTGATTGGAACTGCTTGCGAACCAGGTTGATTTGTAAAATGCCTGGGGTGCTCATATTCTTGGGGGAATTCTGTTGTTTCACATGTAGGGGATCTTGGCGAACTTGACAACGTATTCGAGGTATCAGCTTCGTCGTGCTTTAGTCGATTGATCAGGTAGGTAGTTACACATCTTTCAGCAAGTCTCCGAGTCTTTTCAACAGACAATGGCGCAACTGTAAAAGTCAGACATGAGACCTACAAAAAAGCCATCTCACTAATCGCGTACCTCTAGAAACTTGAGGTTTGTTCAACCCGGAATAAGTCGTAGATTTACCAGGCCCAGACATTTTGCGCCCATCGATGGGGGTAGGTGTGTATGGCTGAAGATCATTCACAGTCGTACAAACTTTGCATCTAAATGCCTGGATTTCCTTCGGCCAACTCACGTTCGAATTGCAAGTCATGCACTTTCCCGTCAAGAAATCCTTATCTGGCACCCTCGAAGACCTAGCCCCAGTATTCTTCTCTGGCGATATATCGTCATCATCAAAAAATCCAACGTCTGGCGGTTGCAGCGCAGTCGCCTTCTTCTTACTACTGAATAACGATGGAAAAGGATGGCTCATAGATCTCCCATGGCTCGACGTCGGTTTTGACGAACTCGAAGTATTAGAACTCGAGGGGCCTGGTCGACCATGCTGAGCAGCCGTCGTTAAAGTCGGAATACCATAAGCATTATCCAAGATATCTGCCTCCGTAACCCTAGCTCTCCCCCGATTTTTGTTCGGCGATTCTGGCGCTGGAGCGACGGTAGCAATGCTTGAGCCAGATTCTACCCGCGAGCTGGAATTAAGTAGGCGACTAGACCAAGGTGCCATTTTATATTCTCAAATTGTCTGCGAATTGCAGGCGTTCTAGTTCGACCATCCGGCCCTCCAAAAGTAGCTGCGAGTTTGTTGTAATGTTGTACGAGGGGAGCAGTTCCCTTCTCGTGTATATCCAAGCTTTCTTTCGTTCTCGTAATCGGTAGTCCGTCCGCCGCTCGTTCGTACTTGAACTCTAGGGGAAGAAAGGTCTCGGGCTCCTTCCTAAAACTTCCTTCATGGAAATTAAAGATGTAATTAGTGAATGGAGGCAGGTAATGTTGAAGTATATTTCGACCTTTGCTTCAAAATTCCAAAGTTCCAAAGGGGGGGTTTGTTGGGTGGGTTTTATCATAATGAACATGGATTTGTTTATTTACCATTGTCTTATAAAATGGTCGTGTAATCTTGCAGGTTCATCTCAATCCATATTGAGATTGATATGTACCTAGTTATCCCCACAGAAATGCGTGGGCTTGGAGTACTAATTTATGCATAATTGGCAGTTTGAATGTCTCTGTTCGTCTTATGAAAGCGATGAATATCATTATTCGTCCCAGGAATGGTCTAAAAGCGGAAGCGCCGTCCCTTTGCCAAGACACCCAGAAAATCTTTCTAGTTTAGTAGCAGAAGTAATAGAGAAAGAATGAATACGAGATATGTTGATACGAGCTTGAAAAGTTAGAAATTTGGACTTGGTTACAAATGTTCGTGGGGGTCTTTTAAATTTGTTATGAAATATATATGGGGAAGGGATTGATGCTCAGGGAAAATAATCACATCTTGGCTTTTGACAGAACAAAATTGGCCCGAAACTTGATCAAACGCATTCGCATTTTCACTTATCACCGAAAGGTATTTAGGGGTCCATGATACTTTCACATTGTGGAAGATTCGTAAATTCATAAAAGTTTTGGGTATGATGGAAAAGCTATGCATTTTTGCATTAACTACCAGTGCGCCACGAGGCCATAAAACAATCCACTCAACCCATTGCTCAAGTAAGCAATAACACACATCCAACCCCTGATTACATTTATCTGTATCTTTGCAATTTGAGGGTGTTGTGCTTCTTCCAGGTCTTTCTGCGGCCAGCAGTGGTCTTATTGAATCCGTGACCCTTTCCGAGACCACGGGACTTCTTTCCAGTGGCGGTCAATCCACGAGATTCTCTGTGCTTGTGGACTGGGTTGACGATCCAGTTGATACGGGGATCGCGGCGGATGGCCTTGTGTTGAGGGTCAACGAGGATGATCTCGAAGTACTTGTAGGTGGAGTCTTGGTTGATCCAGTAGGAGTTCAAAACTCTCAAGTTGGCACAACGACGACCGACACGCTCCTCAGCGGTGGACTTGAGGGATCTTTGGTACTTAAGTTGGTTGACACCCTGGTTGGTTGGCTTTCCTACAACGCGAAAACGGGGTTAGTAAATCCGCTTTCCTTAAATCTCTCCTCCAACAAATACGGGGTTCAACATACCGTAGGTGGCACCCTTTGGAACTGGGCGCTTGCGACCACCACGACGAACACGGACACGGTAGATCACGTATCCTTGCTTGGCCTTGTAACCGAGACGGCGGGCCTTGTCTGGGCGAGATGGGCGGGAAGCACGGTGGACGACGTTCAATTGTCGGAGCTATATTATGCACTCTCAGCTAAGTTCAACGAGTGTATAGCAGAGACATCAAAGATGTCCACAATATTCCAATTTGCTTGTCCAAAAACGACCAAATCTTCGAATAATTGAAGTCGATCGAGATCGTCTCTTGGGGTCGTAGTTTTATCTTACCTCCCAGCATCGTACACGGAGAAGGAATCGAAGCACATCAGATTGCTTCTTCTTCTGGATTTCCTCGAGATATTTAAGAGCACCCATCTGTTTGGGGAGCAGAGCACGTTAGCATTGGTTCTTTGGAAGCCTGCAAGTTGAAGCTGCGATGAAGCTGCGATGAAGCTGTGAGGTAAAGTCGTAAGACACTCAATTCCGACAAACATCTGCAATTCTAGAAATCCATTCCTTGTCGCAGATGTTCAATCTAACATGTGTCTTTCCAATGAACTCGATTTACTAACCTTGAATGAATTTGGGAGTTGTCGTGGCTCGGAAGTTGTCGATTGGCGTTGTCGTGAAAAAATGTTCGAGAGTTTTTTCATTTTCCAAATAGAACCGTGGGAATCTTTTTTAGTGCGCTCGGGTAAGTTTAAGCCTAAGGCATCAAAGACATCAACAATTTTCTCCACCTGCATCACCTGCATATTCCTCCCTTCCTTCATTGTTTGATCATCATATTTTAGCTCTGTGAAATATATAAGATAATTTTTAGAATCAATTCCTCAAATGATAGTCCCAGAGAGATATGTAGTGGTAAACCCAAATGCTCCACCAGGTTTTATAACTATAAATTTCCCCAATTAAGTAAGTTCCATGTATTCTATTTCAAATGTCAAATATGTACCTAATAATTATATCTATCATCCCATGAGAACTTATCATCACATGGTCTAATTATCAATAGTCACTATGATCCGAATTCGTGTGACAATAAAATCAGTTTCCCCCTAGGAATTTGCAGTTCTGCAGATGTAATGCTTAGCCAAGTTCACTACATGTGTATAGTATTCATTTTATAGCTAGTGGTAGCATCTTGAAGAATATGAAAGACAGTACAATAGCACAGCTAGGATGTATGTGCCGATAGCAAACATACCGAAGCCTAAAATAGTTACAAGCAAAATCTGTAAGTCTCCCTTTGCTCTCTATGGCATTCCTCTCATCATCTTTTAGACCTTGCTTTCAAAAGCCTTGAGCAATTTCCTATTTGCCCTCTGATGTTTCTTTGCCTCCTTTCCCCATCCAATAGAATTCCCCTCCTCAACAACCGGGAAGATTTGGTTCGAGACTTCGATCGCATCCGTATCCAAGGTCTCTTCCGGCTTTGAAGCATTGATGATACACTCGAACTTATTCAACCCTACAGTCTTTCCCAGTTCGAGCATCTTCGCAATCTGGTCATCCTCTTTACCCCATTCATTACCAAGTAATCCTTCAAACTCCTTCGTAACATTCTTCCTAGCCAGCTTGTCGAATTGAGAAATTATTTCCAAAGCCCGTGCAATCATATCTTTGCCCCTTCCATGATTCAAGGCAAAATCATGAATGTCATTCTCATGTTTCGCACCTTTCTTCTCGATTCTGAATGGCGATGCAAAAGCATAAGTAGCATGGAAGCTGGTTATGAACTTGTTCTGTTCGATCATCCTATTCCAGTCAGTACGCAGGCAAGTATTTCCAAATATAAAGTATACTCACCATTCCTTTTCCAATTCCGCCGCCGATTTCTTGAAACCTTCTGCGTCTCTCTCCACGGACCCAACAAAATTCTCCATAAACAGCGCTTTCGCTCTTTCAGCACTCTTCTTTTTCTTCCTCTCAAGATTGTTCAGCTCCAGAAATTCACTTTGAATCAATAAGTCAGTACACATTCCCCAATGGAATACACCTTGTAGTAAAATTATCATCACAGGAAGTCGATCAAATCACATACTTGCTCTCCTCCCGTCCCTGATCCTCATAATTTTCATCCCCAACCTCATCCTCTCCCAACCTTCCTGATTCTCTGAACCTATTGCGGACAGGCTCCGAGCTTCTTCCTTTCTTTCTCTCCTTCCCCTTCTCTTTGCCATCTCTCCTCAGACTCTTTGTGTCATAATGGTCTGTAAAACCACTGGACTCTTCATCATGATCCGTCTTTTTCTCTTCGTTCTTATCTTTACCACATCCTTTCACCTTCTTCCTGTCAAACTGGTCCGAACTAGAATCCTCCTCATGACCCGGATCCTTCATTTTATCCACTACATACTTGAACGAATCATTCTTACGAGTCCTAGACTTAGAATTCGGCAAATCACCTTTTGAATGCAACAAAAATAAATGTTAGAATATTTCCCATTCCCATCAAAGTAAATGGTTGGATTGGAATAAAACAAAGACATCAATATTTGAAGGCTTACCTTCGGACTTGCGTTTTGATTTATTGACCATGGTAGCGATGATCAGAATGAATGAGGGGATGGGATGATTTCAGGTAGATATGATTTCAAAGACAAGATGACATGGAAGAAGATTCCAAATAATGAAACGAGGTATCAAATCTGAGAAGAGATGATATTGGAATGTATGAATATCAAAGACAAATTCCGAAAGGAAAGAAGGTGAACGACAGTGTGAAGTTTAAGTTTAAGTTTAAGTTGAAAGTGAAAGTGAGAGTGAACGGAAGTGGGTTGTCGTCTCCATCATCCCTCAGAGATAAAAAGTGACAAAAATCACGAAAGGGAGGACGGACCCTCAACACGCTCCTTCCCAACACTCTCTTCCACCTCACCCACCACAATCAAACATCGATTAACGAGACGAGGTAGAAAGATCTTGACCTCATCTATATTATTTGGTGCCGCGTAGAAATATACTCACCATCACCATCACATCATACACACATCAAACATCACGCATCAGAATAAGTAACCAGTGTACGAATTTCATTCTTGCTACCGATTCCACATCCATATCCCTAAACCTATAAACATGCATCAAATATGATTCCATTCCATTCAATTCCATCCACCATATTTGATACCCAACGACCTTAAATCGCAGATGAAGAGAAAGACACAAAAAAGGTAACAAATCAATCAGGTCAGAAAAGAATCAGAGTTCAGAAAGAAAAAAAGTAATGAAACATGCATCCATCCATTATCCTTTGCAAATTTACCCAATTTCTTTTTTCCCACTTGACACCGCCGGATTTGAAAAGATCTATCTATCAATGGGAGTTCTTGGAAACTTATTTTTTTTTTCGTGAAGTCGTGGTAACGCGTCAGGCCGCTGCAATCAGAAGATGCAAAAAGGTGTAGTCTTCCTAACTAACCGAGAAACAAAAAAAAGTTATCAACGAAGAGTAAGACGAAAAGAAGAGTATGTCCAGTGTGCTGTGTACGAATCCTGTGCCTGTCTCCGATTATGTAGTAAATCCAGAAGAATCCCTATTCTGAATGAAACCTTCTCAATTATCCTCTATGATCAAATTGTAAAGAAATTGTAGCGTTTCCGAAAAGGTCATTCCAATATGTCTTCATAGCATTGAGGTTCTCCTGACCCATAAACAGCGCGCCGCCTGGCGCAAACGCAATACGAAAATAAATTTAACGAATGTGTAGACGAACATGCTCGTCAAGAACATGCAAGGAATTAACAGGGTCGGTGGGGAAGGGCGTCTGTGATATATTACAAAAGCAAAATGTATTTAGTCTCCAGTTCTGTAGGAGTATCCCGTGGCTAAACTTACCAGCTGGAAATGAAAAAGATTAGATCAAGACCAGAGGTAAAGTTTGTGATTCGGCGAAAGATAGACTCAACGAGTTCCCATAGACAAGCCTTGGAAAGCTCCAATCCAGCCGTCGGATTGGCCGACAAGCCCACCTTGTCGACCGTATTCGCTACCTTCATGAGTAGGAGTGGTGCCGTGAGGAGAAGGAAATCGAGCAGGCGCCTGATAGTCGGTCGTGTTTGGAAAACCAGGATAAGGATCCATCATCGAAGGGACATACGCGCTTGCAGTACCAACATTCCTGGTAGATCCAAATGGAGAATATCCATAAGTATATCCTTGATGCTGGAAACCAGGGGCGGCTGCCGAATTTCTGTCCAAAGTCGGCTGGAATGGCTGGGCGAAAACGCCTTGATAGCCTCGTCCTGCTTGTGTTGTATTATATGTTTGTGGCTGTTCGGCCTGTTGTGGTCGACGCTCACTTTGGGTGGTTCTGTTAACACCCACAGCTCCAGGTCCAATACCGCTTGGTGCTTGCAAGCCAAGAGAAGGACTTGCGAAGGAAGCGGGATTGATCGCCGACATCCAAATTCTTGTCTTGTATACTTTAAACAAATCGGTGACAAGAGAATTGAAGTTGATATAGGCATCGGCAAAGTAATAGAATGTGAGCTTCTTCCAATCCCTAGATTTAAGGTGGTAAGCTTATGTTATCAGATTATTCGGTGAGATCATTAGTTGACTTACATTTGGAATTCGGCATCCAAGATCTCCATATGTAAACCGTGTTCCTTCACTTTCTGCGTACAAACACGCTTGGCCTTTGCTTCGTTTCCTTCCTTATCGCGCAGAGCCTGTATTTCATGGTTCTGAGCAAGCCGCTTGATGATCTTGGGCTTGATCTCTCCTGGATTAGGTTCTTGCATGCCGTGCTGGCTTGGTGGGCCCATGCCGCCGACGGCACTTCCTTGCATACCATTCGTAGTAGCCATTAAACCGGCACCCGTTCCATCAGTGTTGCCTACAGCACCCTGAGAATACATCATGAGCCACTTATAGTGTTCCTCGGCATAATGCTCTTTGAGTTCTTTCGCAGTAGCCCAGTCCACGTTGTCCTTAGCGACGGTGCCTAGATCGGTTCCTCGATCAGCTTCGACAATCACGAGATCTCCAGGTTTGACAGATAGACCAGTGCCTTCTTGAACATAGAAGACATCTGCTCGCGAACATTTGAACAAGACAATGTAGAGGAGTTGATTATGTCGAGGCTGTGGAACGCCATACATGCTCCGGTGAGGTGAAGAGGGGCGGACACCAGGGTATTGATTAGCGTTTCCATAAGGATACGGAGAAGGATTAAAGGCCGAAGGTGTGAAAGTATCGGCATTGCGACCTGGCTGAGGGGCATAATTTCCAAAGTATGAAGATGCTACATTCAATTAGTATGAGTATATGGACCTCTGCACCGAATTCTAAAATTTGAAACGCAGGCAAAAAGTAGAGGAGAATTGCTTACCATGATCGTTTGTAGGATATCCATTGCCTTCATTATACCGACCGGAATTTGGCGACAAACTCTCCTGGATATTGCTTTCAAGCTGTGACAACGGCTCGCCACCAGCAATAGAGCTAACGGAACCTTGTCGAGCAGGTATATCAGCGAAAGAGTGACGCCTGCTCTGCGGGATATCGGAAAGTCCGCCGAATCCGAGAGAGCTTTGCCAAAAAGCCCTTTTGACATTCTCCAGATTTCTGTTCTCAAGAGTGTAGGGCGAGACTCTCTGTGCACCACCGATACCATACTCACTCATTCTTCGTCCTAACATTGCTTTGGATGGATCCTGTAAATCGTTGAGTTCATCAAGCTCGTCAATTGCATAGTCAGACTCTTCGGGTAAAGATTCTTCTTGCAGGCCATAACCATTACCAAGACCGAAAGCATTGGACGTTGAAGATCGAGGTCGAAGGCGTAAGTTTTGATAACTTTGCTGTTGGCGTAACATAGCATTCTCTCTAGCTAACAATTCAATAGTCTTGGATTCTTGAGATTGGACTTGAGTACCATGAGAAGAACTGTTAGTACTCCCATCGTCGTCATCCTCAACTTCTTTGACCTTTCCGAGACCGCCCTCGGTCATCTCGCTCAGCATACTTGGCCGAGATGGTCGATGCTGCAATCCGGAGTGTCCTATGCCACGACCCCGGCCTGAAGCCGCTGGAACAGCTGCGGGTGATGGGCCAGCGCTAGTATCTGGATCGAGCTGACCAACTGAGTATGACTGAGATCGGTACGTCTTTGGAGTGGGGTGTAGAGGAATTGAAAAGGGAATGGTGGGGTTTACAGAAGGATCTCGTTGACTCATCATTTCGTTGGGAAAGTATCCATTGCCAGCGGAGCCCGGTGGGTGCAAAGATGTTGGCGATGGTAGAACTTCGGTCAGTCTAGAGGGTGGCTCCTTACGTGACTCGCTGTTCCAAATGCCACTACCCCATGGGAACGAGCTCGAGCTCGTATGTCCACGACCTGCAGCTACTTGGGCATGAGGACCCCAAGTGTTGGAGTCGGCCGAGGGAGTACTAGGGTGTGAGGCTGTTGGAGACATACTGCTGCTTGCGAACGAGCCCTTTCTCGGCTGCGCTCCAGACTGAGTGGTGTCGTTCAGCCATGAGGCTCGACGGGTGGGTGGCTTTTGGGGCGGGTTAACTGGCTGTTGGGTGTCTTGTCGCTCGGGTTCATCATCGGAACTTGCCAAAGCCTCCGAATCCGGTGTTGACCGTCGCTCATTGAATTTACCAAGGAGAAGGGAAGGATTGCTTGATGTGATTGACGAAGGATTAGATTGGTTGGCCTTGCCACTAGCTCCGATCTTATTATTGCTTGAACTCATGGCGACTGTGTAGAAACTGTTAGTTCTCTGTAAAGAGGAAAAATAACTGCTCTACATTTAAATCCAACGTGAAGAACCGTATGTAAGACTTGTGGTACGACAACTTGGATCTCAAACGCTTTAAAGTTGAATACCATATGTTCATGTAAGCAGCGCAGCGAGCAAGTGAATCATACGAAAATAAGAGGGGTTCGCCACAACAAAAAGCCACTAGAGGAAACCCAGCAACTTCTCATGCAGGCGGTCTAATAATTGAACGTATGCGATGGAGGACGGTAGCCCGTAGCCAAAGGAATAAACTTCCAAGTAGATCCAAGGATAAAAACAAGCTAAAAATTGAAAACTTACCAAATTAACAAAGAGTCTTGTCTGAGGTTCGATAAAATAGTGATTTGAGCAAACTAATTCTCATAAATGGCTTAACTTCTGGATGAAATCTGCTTTACAAAGGGGGGTTGGTCGACAGTAAGCGAACCTGTGAAATTGACCAAGAATATGAAATCGACTGGGTAGGAAGGGGTGTGAACAGGTATCTAGGTGTAAGAGCTGAAAGAGGCCCAAGTTTAGATGTGATTGCGAGTGGGTTCTGGCGTGCCCCGCAAGGAGAGAGAAGCGGACGGAGTTTCGATACTGGCGCACAAGAAGCGAATAACTGATACAGCGCAAATCTTCGTCAGTAATTAAGAAAAACCGTACTGGAAAAAGAAGGAAAGGCTGAGGTTGTCAAGAATCGTCTCGAGTAGGTAGCATTCAACAAAACCAGAAAATGTATCTAGATTAGGCGGCGAACTGGGACGAGGGATCCAGAAACCTGGAATCCGGATCTCATCGTTCAACGACGTAGATAGACTTTTCCAATTCAGGTGCGACGATAACCGGTAAAGTGAATTAGATGATGCTACCTAGGTAGGCAGGTAGCTCATCCGACTGAGATATGTGTGCCGAATATCTTCTGCAGCTAATTCTCAAAGAATTCTCTAGAAGTCGGAATAGGGATTGAGTATCTCGAGCAAGTACTCCCAGACTTCAGAGTATTGAATAGTCCAAAAAACAAAATTTCTGGATGTTGTATATTTGATGGCGCCAATTCTGAACAATTGTTGTGGTTAAATCCACCCTTTAACCTGACCACTCGGAAGAAGGAAATACCCGGTCGATCGGATACCTCGTCGATCGGATACCTCTCTGCTTGACTCGACAGTAGGAAAAGTATAAACTCACCGGATGTGAGATGGACTCGATCAAGGAAACCAAACTTGCAAACTACAATTATTATCTCTTTATCTATTTGATCGACGTGTCAGCCTCAGACCCCTAGAATCGCGACAGGAATAACTCCCAGACAAACTCCCGTCAAGGCTGAGGGTGTTGAGATGGAAGGATTGAGAGAAGCAGCTCACCTACCTGCTTTAATCGCGGTTTCCGCATAAAATGATGAAACTCTTCTAATGCCGCTTTCTCTTTCTCAAATTTATAAACCTAATCCAAATACCGTCTATTTCTCAATAATCGCTCGAACTAGTCGTTGTTGAAGCAAACAGCAGATCGAAAGTCAAAACCTTTCTGCGCATGCGTTCGGAATTTCAAATTCGTGAAGGCTTTGTGTCGCCAGGACTATGCGTAGCCCATTGTCGTGGGAAGGATAAAGGCGCGAAAGGCCAAAGCTCTCTTTTCCAGAATGTTGAAGGATGAATCTCCGGAGGGGAGAATAGACGAGTATTATTTATATCTTTTTGACGGGTTGGAAGTAGTATGTATGTATGTATGTATTCTCTTGTCAAGGTATGAGTAATGTACGATATGGGGGCTTTTTCGTTCAGGATTAAGAGGATTTGTTTTTATTTTTATTTTTTTCTGAAAGACAGTGGTGAGGAGAAGTTCTGGCAAAAGGATGAAAGTTCCTGAAGTTCTTATGCGGCGAAGTGAACAAGCTTGTAAATAAGTTTCGAGGGATCGAAAGATGAGCTGAGGCGCAACCTTGATGCGGGGAAAGCTGCCTATGGTGAACACGCGATAAGACACCTTCAAAGAACAAGAACACCGCGAAATAAGGTAGAAAAAATGGTTTATGCTTGTACGTTTTCAAATGTGCGACAATAGAGAACTAAATGATTGGTCTTTCTCTTTTCTTTTTTTGGTACGATGACGAAACTCAACCAGGAAGAGAATGGAAATCTCCGTTGAAGATAATTGCCAATGTCTTTTCCGTTGAAGAAGAATAATTTTGGTTTTGATTATTGCTTGGGATGAGGGGGTTGGGGGGAATATAAAGTATGTATGTATATGTGTATATGTATATGGGATTCGATGTATTTATTGACTGAACGAAAGATGGAGCTTAAAGAAGGGGTATTTGTAAATGTAATATAATAGAGTAGTAAGGATCTCTTAAGGAAAGATGGATGACCGACGAATGGATCCAGATGAGGACAAGACAAGAACTGAGGGTGGCCTTAGCGTTACAATTGGCACCAGGGTCCGATGTTCGAGGGGGCGTGGAGAGCAAGGGAAGTGAGAGGGTTTTAACTACTAACTTTCTACCTTCAATGTACAAAGAGATCTGATTGGTCCAAGAGCCACATATGTAGACCAGGGGGGAGCAACGATTAGTTCTGCGTTAAAGTGGAGGGCCACCACAAGAAATTCAAGGGCATGCGTCGATGGATCCTCGGATGGATGAATAAGGTATATGAATTATGGGGTCAGGTTTTGAATGTGGATGTGGAGATGCTAATTGAGATGGTGGGAAAGAGAGAGACTGATGATGAGTGGTAACTGATGCGAGGTGAAAAGGTGGTGGTAAAAAGAGAAAGAGAAAGAGAAAGAGAGACGCATGGATAGATGATATGAACCAAGTATGGACAAGGTAGCGGAGTATGGTATGTGGACAAGAAGAGTAGAAATGTCTGTCTACCTAGGTAAAGTGGCAATGAGAAGGATCAGGATATGGATATGGTATAGAGAACGAGGTAAAGGCAGGCAGCTGTTCTTGTCAATGGAAGCCGGGCAGGAAGAGGGAAAAAAAGAGAGAGGAAGAGAGAAAGAGAGAGGAGTCCGTACGGCACCGAGAGAAAAATGTAAAAAAGAGGGGGAAACACTCACTTGGGCTTAACGTATTAAATCACAAGGCAGCATTGGATTTTCTCTTGAATATGCAAGTCAGAACAAATGGAGCTTTTTTTTTTCAATTTCAAATGGGAACCACTTAGGTATGGTAGAGAATAGAGAAGTAGAGACCTGAGTGCGAAAAGAGCATCCATTGAAGAACGTCTCATTGGATGTCCAGATTATGAGTGGAGATGGATAGAGGAGTAGCGAGTAGTTCTTCTTGAAATTCATCAGGCCATGCAAACGTAATGTCCCATGCAGATATATAACTAACTACATTATTTCACCTACCTAGATGAGGACGTCTTGTGAGGTTGATGATCGACAACATTGCATGTACAATGCTGTAATGTCGGTATCAAGTGCCTTGGTAATATGTGTACGGTATGGTACGGTATGTATGTATATGTATGCAAAGAAATCCGTCGCATCTCAGATACGAAGGTGAAGAAAGTGATAGACAAGATCAGATGCAAGAAATACCTACTCCGTATGCTCAGGTACCTTTTCTTTCTCATCCTACTACTGTCTCAACGGGACGAATCCAGACCGACCGAAATTGAGGGAATGAGGCCTCGAATCCCTTCTCTTAGGTAGATATCCATGAATAAATTAGTCGACGGATCTTTTCTCAAATACCCCGCGAGCTCAGGTTGCGGGTTTTTTTAGTTCAACAATTGGTTGTGTACGACAACTAACTGATTGGAAAAGAGAAAACATCCAATGCCGCTTCATTTGCTAAAGCAGTACCTGCGGTAATACAAGAGAGTGATTTAAATAATTATTACATTACACTTCACCTCATTGGAAAGCGAATCTCAAGTACCCGCATTGCAGGTTTAGAAGACCACGTTATTACACTCATCCCAACATTCATATGATAAATGAAAAGAAGTTAGATTGAAAAGTACGAGAAGTTAACGTTTATGTTGTGAAGTCCATCCTGAAGTTGCAGTGCATACATCAACATCAACATCAACGTCAACATCAACATCAACATCAACATCAACATCAACATCAAAACCAAAATAACTTGCAGCGCGATAACTGGTACACTCTTTAGTTCTATTGCCTCAGCTGCTCGCCTACTTTGCCTTTGCATCCCCCTCACCCAAAAAATGAAATATTCCAACCTTTGCCATGACGACGCCACTATCATTTCATTCGATAATTTATTCCATCATGCTCTTTTTGTTTCGAAAAATGATGTTTTGCATCGTTACAAAGATCTTGATGGCGTAGGCTGTTTTATGTATTAGTTCTTTCATGTTGAGATCTCGATGGCGGCATGTTACAAGATTCCGAAATTCTGATGGATTTTCAGGCTCTTAAGCTGCTACCCCAGATTCTTTTTCTCCTTCTCCCGGATTGCTTTTCCCTCCCTCTGCTGATCTATGGATAATCCTCGAACCTTGGATTGGTTCCACCAAAAGTGTTTCCTTCTGTAAGGCAGAAAAAGTAAAAGCATCACAAGGAAGAATGAAGGAAAAACCGGGAAATAGAAGGAAGCGTCCGGAGCAGGATATGGCTAGGGAGAACAAAGAAAATAGAATTGCTTTTACTCGTATCAGAGTCTAGTCGCTATTTTTGCATGCAGTGAAGTAACAGTCGGTGCTCTAGGACTCAACCGCCTACTGTCGTAGGGAAAACCGCTAGAGCACCGACTATTACTTGGTGTAATGGAAGCTAACTTATTTCACAATTGGTACTGTACGTACCTAAATACAGATAAATACACATGGGAGTTTTCATTTGTTCTATATTTCTTTGCCCTCACGCGCCCTCATCTTCCAAAAGCGGCATGGAAAAATATTTCCTATTTTCCTGACAATTCAAATCGGTAAAACTTCCCCTCTCTCGGCAATATCTGGCCCTTGACCTCGCGGGAGGAATTGGGAGCTTATCGTTCAATGTTTGTGCAACGCCGCCGAGCCGGAAGCAATAACTCCATACTCTTCCCCATTCCAATCACATTTTGCGGAATCAAAAAAAGAGGGCAACCCTTCATCAAAGATCTGCCATCTGCGCATATACCTTCCTCATTATTCGAGTATAAAACCATACGATTATCCACCAAGTCTCTATGACAGCCAAGTAGTCTTGCAGCTGTGGATGGTGACACTGGAAAAGCCACGCCCGCTCCATGAATGCGTACTTGATTCGCCACGGAAATTTTTTAACACACCTCTTAAAGATGGATGAGAGATCCGGTGTTTGGTCCAGTTAAATCATTACAGTGATATATAGTGAGGCGCATATGTACTTCGTAATTGAATTTGCATGAAGTAGTAGCAGGGGTGGGCGGGACACTCAAATTTCTGTTCAATGAGAAGAAGGCAAAAGAAATGTACGAAACTTGATGGGTATTGCCGATGCTGTGAAACAAGATCCTCTCCAGTTGAAATCCAAGTACTCATTCTTTGTACATGTTTTGTACATCCGCGGTGCAATGCGAGCAGATTCCAAAGTCATCCATCTTCAACCAAGTACCGAGCTCAACTTGGAATAGAATCTAAGCTACTTGATGCAACTGCATCAGGACCCTTTTGTTGCTTCAACTTCTCCTCAAACTTTGCAAATTCTTGGATCGCGATCTCCTCTTCCTCGTCCATTACTTGTACGACTCCCTTCACTTCTTCAATCTGCACTCATTGTTAGCTCATTGTCGCATAAATGATCATCTGAGCCGAATACTTACATAATGCATAAGCATTCCCTCAATTCCACTCTTCAACGTGACTGTACTTGAGTCGCATGTTCGGCATGCGCCTCGGAGCTTCAACTTGACCATGCCGTCCTCGAACCCGCGATAATCAATGTCTCCACCATCTTCCTGAATCGCCGGTCGAATGCGGGTTTCAAGTAATTCCTTGATCATTCCAACAACCTCGGGGTCATCCTCGTTGTACGCTAAGCTATCTTCTTCTTCTGGCGCTTCGCCACTTGCCCCCGTCTTCTCTGTGATGTTGACAATCTGTGCACCGGAAGTCACTGCCTCCGTTATGAGACTGAAAATCTCTGGTTTAATATGCGCCCAATTCGCATCGTCTGCCTTGGTGACCGTAATGAAATCCGCGCCATAAAAGACAGACTTAACTCCATCAATATTCATCAGCGATGCGGCGAGCGGGGATGGGTGTGGTGGCGCAAGCGTGGATCTGGGATTGAGGTATTCGATGAAGGGCGCATTAAGGGAGGGTGGTAAAATTGGATGATTGGGAAGGAATTTCAATGCATCTGGGTTTGGGGTGTCTTCTGTTTGGATGAAGATACTACGACTGCCACCAATCGCTGCAGGCTTTAACATGGTAGATGGTTGATGAAGAGGTTGTAGAGTTGGTCTTATCCTCGAGCTCGAAGCTGTCATAGCTGGCAATCTTGTACTTTGGTGTACATATCGCTGTGAGCTTCTAGGACAGATGGCGAATGAAGATTTTCCTGGTCGAGATTTGGATAGCAATGACTTTGCTTCCTGAACGATTCTTTTTGATGCCATCGTGCGGCAAACTTGAAGGCTTAAGCTGAGCAATGATTAAATATATTCTAGTAGTTATCGAATTGCGATACCTAACTTGATCATTCAAGAGAAGTTTAGGACAATTTACGATATGATGGTATAATATCAGTTAGGTATGATAACAAATATAAAGTGAAGATTGAAACGGTATTTCCTAGCTATTCTGTCGTTCTTTGTAAGCATTTGTATGACGCACCAAGTGGTGGGTATTCCCTCACTTCTAATTGGTCATTCTTATCGGTATCAAATGATCCCTACCTCCGATAAGGTTCAAAACTTTTTTTTTCCCCAAAGACCATCGTCCACAAGGCTACGGGATTTGCAATAGCCATGCATTTCTCAAATTATCATCACGCGAATTTGTCTCTTCAGTTTTTAACTGCCATTAAATTTCTATTCACTTGTTCTTGCTTTTAATGCGGATAAGCGGCAATCTCAAAACACATGTGCGTGTTAACACAATTCCGATGAATTAACGAGACCAGCTCCTAGTCAACATCCCTCTCGTCCGTTCTTCAGGTCCTTTAGTTTGTTGAGAGAACCCCAAGTATACATATTGACCGGCCAATCTGTTGGCTTCAAGGAATGGATACTCTAGAAACTTTTTCCGAAGGCTGTACCGCAGTCGGTTCCATCGATACCAAAACCCATTTCGGTGTCAGTGTTGTGGACGCACCAGTTGAGATCGTCGATCCGACAAATAGTGTCAGTATGAACGAGACACCCGCCGATCCAAAGCTATGCGTCCTTTGCAAGGAGAAAAATCACAAGTACAAATGCAAATATTGTGACGTGCGGTAGTGAGTATATTCGTGTGCGACCAGGAAAAGAAGTCTGTGCTGATCTTTGGAAAGCTGTTCTGTGAAATGTTCAAATGCACATAAAGCTGATACAAACGATCATGAGGAGGAGAAGGAGAAACCTAATTCTGCCCCTCCTCCTAATGAGAGTTCCTCGCCCATGCCCAAAGAGAAATCGACAGCTCGACCCGGAACACTAGCTGCAGCCAACGCCAAAGGTCCATTCGAAAGTCTGAATAATTCGAAGGAACTTAAAGAGCTTTTTATAAGATACCCAAATTTGTACTCACATCTCGATGCAGTCGATACCGCAACTCTTCGTCCGACGGGTCCCAACTCACATAAATGGAATCAGGATCAAGGGTGGGAGAAGGGGAGGAATGCTCTAAAGAGCGCAAGGGGGTATTATGGAAAAGATGGTGAAGGCGTGCGAGAATATTGTGAACTCGTTCTACGACTTCTCGGAGATGAAGATGAAGAGAGCGAGGAGGCAGCTGCTGAGACTTTGCGAAAGGAAGCGCTAGCTGAAAGCACCCGGGTTATTCGAGCATTATTGGAATCCGAAAAGAGAAGATGAATAGATTAGGAGGCGCGAATACAGGAAATCCATGCCTCGCTGAAAAATCACATTTAGAAGGCAATTAATTGTACGACGAACACAGCAAATCCATGTGCCTGGGCGAACTCGGTGAGCACTCTTTTTATGACCATATATTGCATGAAACTAACCCTCGGGACAGGGCATAACAAATAACATAATTTAGAACTTCCTGGATCCATTTTGTTCAAACAGGAATGTAGGATGAAGTTATCAATTCCTCTGGATAGGGTTTCAGCGCATGCACACCAAGCTCAGGGGTATGCGATGTTTGGAAGTTAAATGTTTGCACACTCTGGAAAGGAAGTAGATACCCTTGAATACAAATAAAATAATTCCGTCAACTACTATTACTAGGACTACGTTTGAACATACCAAAGAAGCTCACCCTTATTGGTGACCTCACAGGTGACTTTAACTTTATCACTTCCCCCGACCCATCAAGTACTTTCCCTCTCCTAAGTTTCAACGACAACAGTGGACCCACCATCTCCTTCATTGACCGTCTCGTCTCCTCGCTCTCATCCCGCTGCGTCCAATCATGCCGATCATTTTTCTCCCTTTTAACCTCCTTCGGTTCCTCCTTTTCTTCCCACGGTAAGAAATCCCCCATGCTCATTGGTCTCATCACAGCTCTACTCTTATGCAAAAGTGGTACATCTGAATTAAACGTCCGTCGGGGACATCTATACATATCTCTCTCCGCATCCAATTCCGCAGCGCGTTCAAGTGCCGGCGTCCATTGGTATTGATTTCTATTCCTCGTCTTGGTCCTTTCCGCAGTCGCATGGTCCATGACTTGCGCTTTTTGTAATGCCGTCGTGGGTTTCTGATATACATACCCAGAACCGATTTCCCCCGCTCCTTCATCAGTAGTTAAATATCCTAGATTCTTGAGCGCCGGCTCGGATAATTTGTGCACCTGATGGAGCTTTTCCTGTGTGGCCGTGTGCTCGAAGGATCGGGCGGCAACTTGCGGGACGTGGTGGTAGACGCCTGTTGCCATTGAGACTCGAGCGACACGACGGTGTTCAGCAGACGCTTTTTGCTGGGCAATGTGGGCTCTGAGACGACGGGAGAGATCGTCTGGATCGAGGGGAGCACCTCTTTTTGAGTGGGCGCGGGGAACATGGATATTGATCTGGTGGTGTTGGTTGCGAGGTGGACAACTCATGGTTCTGTAGAGTTCGGATTTCTAGGGATGATGTTAATATTGTGTAATATATAATTTGTGGTTATACACAGAGAGACCACTTACGCAGCACAATTCTTCGTAGGTAGGAATAGGTGCTTCAACGACTGATGTATCCATTTTGAAAATCCCCGGCGTTGTCTTCTATATAAATAATATAGACTCTGTGCCTCTGAAACTGAGACACTCCTCGATTCGAACGGTCGCAAGTTTCCTGTGTCAGTGTACCCTCGCACGAGACCACAACCGAAGGCTTTGAGCAGATGGAACACAGCGTGTAGCCGGAAGAAGTATAAAAGCTCGAAAATGCGGTGTACGAAAACTGTCGCGCAGAGAGTCAGGTAACTTAGTAGCGTTAACTCTCTAATGTATGATGTCGAGTGATGAGACCCTTCAAATGGCGTGAGTGGAGTGGCGCGAGTCCTGATTGAGGATGAGATGTGTGGGGGGAAGGGTTTTGCGAAGATGGGGTAAATTAGATGGGTTTGTGCACGGGGAATGAGGACTTGTGTAAGGAAATGAGGAAGTGGAGGCTCGAGACTTTGAGCTTGAATCCTGGTGACTCAAGGTTGTGGAATCTAAGGCGTCAAAATCATGCGAGCGGATTTTGCCTTGCAGGGTATTTCTAAACGATGAATCTGACACAACAGAATGTATTGCAGAACGATGAAAAAAGTAGGAAAATAAAGCACAACAGGAGAATGAGAATGAGAGTGGGAATGAAGAGATCTATATATCTTTCTATACATAGATAGCAATACCCACTTATTCGTACATGACGCTGGCAGTAGTCACCAAGCATTTCAATTCATTTCTTGAAGTCATGCAAAATATTGATGCCTGTTTTGTGATGGGTCCATTGAATTAAGGGAGGAGACGGTTCACGTTCCTGTGAATAATCCACGTACTAGTTTTCCCCCAAAAAGAAACAGGTCAGAAACGAAGATTATTGGTTTTCACGTAGGTAGAGTAACCAAAGGTTGTGATAGCACTCAAGGCAACTGTAGTATTGGACGAGGCTTTTGTCTAACGGGTGCAGTTAAATGCTTAATGCACTCTGTTCCCGTAGCGTGATAGTGTCTAACCGTGGTCTGAACCCACTTGAGGCCAAGAGGAACAGAACTTCCAAAGGGATAAATAACCTTTGGTCTTTGTACTACAATAGTTTGATTTTGCTCTCTTCTTGTATATGTAAAATCGTAGGATCACCGTGTAATATTCCTGGTACCGGTACTTGTCGTCTTCACCAACTCGACATCGATGAGAGAAATGAAATAAATCTATGTCAAAATGGATTTGACTAGTACGAGATTGCTGTGGTAGAAATACAGTTTTCATCCGGGGAAACCTTGTTTTAAGATCTGCGGATCTCGGTCACACGTCGAATTTCCTCTTGTAATTACACTTGAGTAGAAGTCACTTGATGGTAGGATCTTACAAAGAATTTGGCAAATTTTGCAAACTTTTGCTCCGTTTTCCTGCGTGAGCACAGCTAACTTGCATCCACCTTTGAGACGTGAGATTCATCCCTTTTTGGATGTATACATACAAGCCATTCTGAATCGAGAGGGACTTGTATCCGTGCCATGGGGTTATCCCGCGACTTATAGGTCTCATGTAGTTCTGTGGCTGGTTGTTGTGGCGGGAGACGGACGAGTTATTGACAAACACACGGCACAACCGCGATCGACCAGTTTTGCTCTTGCCTTCGTATCAATAGCAGGTGAGGTAAGATTCTTGGGAAGTCTTGGAGATTGATTGTTAAGACTTTATGGGAGTAGCTGAGATGGAATGATGAAAATCTTACTTACATTTGGTCTTGATCATATGATCCTGTCTGTACCTGTCTGAACTTGCACATCAATGGAAATGTAACCTCAGCCCGTGTTCGAGCCCAAGTTCTTTCCCCCCAAGCTACCAGGTACTGCATGCAGCATGTCGTCGTGATAATGTAACATGGAGTTGTGGTGTGCATTAGTATTGTACGGAGTACATGAAGTTACCATTCAAGTTCATGATTCAGCCTTGTGATATGATAGAAAGATGGAATGAAGGGGTGAAGGGGAAACTTATCATCGCTTATCTTTGGCAGAGGGTATGGGTATGTATATATGCGTATAAGATATATGGTAGAACTAAGATAAAAAGACGTATCTGAATATGTAGCTGTGGGAGAGCTTGTGGTGGAAGTGTGAGCAAAGATTCTTGGTGTGTCTTTTCTGTGTTTGCGAGAATGTTGTTTCTAAGGCAATAGAGATAGAGGAGCATCACATCATCCAGCATTGAAATCCTAGGTAAGCTTCTTCATCAAGTTGTCACTCCCCGTAAAGAATGGTAACGATCATGCATAACCAATTGCAATCCCACGTGTGTCTATTCTATCCATATGGCCAATCCCACAAGCAGAGTTATGATTGAAGGAAACCTCCAAATGCTGGATGAATATCGGAAGAGGAGAGAGGAGAGAGAGGAGAGAGAGGAGAGGAGAGGAGAAGAGAAGAAGCGTATGGAGTGAATAAAAAGATTAACAACAGCTGAACAGTCAGACAACATAGACAACACGAACAACAATCTACCTACTAATATAACATATACACCATTGCCAGGTGCAAGTCAAAGACTACATGCATACCTACCTAGGCAGGTATCCCCGTATTCACTGAGGGAAAAGGCAAGAACGATTGATATAACGAACTAAAAAATAATAATGAACAAATAGCGCCGCCACGCGTGCAGGTTTATTGGTGTCGCATTCCTTTCGGAACGGATTCAACTTCATCAATTGATTAATAAATTTAATCAAGCAATGGAATTGACAATATCCAGATACACGAAGTATTTTTCCTTAATATAGTTTGTCCCATGTACCCATCCATATACCTTTAACCTATACCTTATTCTCAATTTACCCCGATAATTGAAGCTCCGGCGCCCCAAAGGCTTCCTAGTTACTTCTTAGAAACACGACTAGCTACTAACTACTAACTACCATACGAGAGAGAGACTATTTTCAGGACATCGACTTGCCCAGTGAGTAAACAAGCTCTTTACCATCCGCCAAGTCTACACTACACATTCATTACCCTTTGGATACTTTCATCGTCAACCCGTCAATCCATCAATCCATCAATCCGCCAAACCTCCAAACTATGATGTCTTGGAATTTGAATACATAAATTCCAGAAAAATTCCCTGATCCTCCCCTGATCCCCACAGCATGTTAAGTCTTACAATCCGCAATCACTATTGCTGCGACTTGCCGACCAAACCTTGACAGGGAACAGGTCTCAAACCCTCAATTTTGTGTTGCGGACTTACCAAGGAAAGGGATTAAGGGATTTTGATTACTGTACAGTTCCTGGGAGCGGGAAGACACGAGTTGATACACGGGGTATTTACAGCACCACGCCGAGCACACTAAGATAGATACCTTTCGATCCCCAACATGGATGAAGTTGGGGCCAGTGGTTTTCTGGCGCGCACGACTTCGAAACGATCCAAATCCTCAAATCCTTTACGGACGGATTCGCAACGAATTCAACGTTGTTCTCGAGCTTTATCGGTTTCCCCTCCATCTGCCGGTGCCTCAACAACTTTTGGTTTGCGCTCACGTCCTGGACTGGGTTCACGAACGGCCTCGGCACCATTTGTCCCTCTCAGTAGGGGTAGTGGCAGCGGTAGTTTAGATACGAGATTTTCGACTACGATAGAGGACGACTCGGAAGAAGGACTGGACCTTCATGCGCGAAGTTATCGGGATTCTGTTACGTCTATAAAAGACGATCCTTTTTTCAGAAATTATCAATCACCAAGTTCTGTCTCTTTAGCACGAGAATTGTGGTCTGCAACACACTCTGAGCGATCGCACGATGACGACGTTTTCAAAAATTCAACACCGCGATCCAACAAAAGACCTTCTCTAGGAAATCCTGGTTTACTAGTATGTCACTTCCACTAAACAACAGCTGCTTTCTGCAGAAACGTTTGGCCCAATTGACTAACCATTGTTTCAATGCAGCCCCAATCGAGAAGCGGGATGTCAGACATAAATATTGCAGTGATTGGGAGTAATGGAGTGGGAAAGAGCACTTTGATACAGCGAGCATTGGGTCTACGATCCCTACCTAACTCCGTCGCATCGAGTCTTCGTATGTCAGTCGATGAGGTTGGATACACTGTCAGTCTTATTGAGCTGGATCTCGAGTCATTTGATATAATACCTGATCGTCTAATACAATGGCCCAAACAAATCAACGGGCACATTCTCCCACGAATGGATGGTGCTCTATTACTATACGATGTCACGAATCGGGAGAGCATTGTGGAATTGCCCCAGACCTTAAGTGAGTCAAGAAGTTCCCGCGGTGAAGCCGCTTTGGACAAATACTGATTCGATTATTTTAAGACGCACTGGTGAATTCGGGTCTTCCTACTATCCTCGTCTCATGTAAATGCGACAACCCTGAACACACTCGTCAACTAAGTGTTGATAGTGTCGAAACTGCATGTATGTCATGTGTAGAAACTGTCAAAACGGCAGCAAATGTCCCTGAAAGTGCAAGACTTTGTCTTTCTTCTATGCTTCGAGCCGTTATGGCAAGTCGAAGCAATAATAATAATAGTAATAGTAAGTTGATATTCTTTTTGTAGCAATTTTATATGTGGTGTGACACCATTAATTATACTTTGCCGTTTGATCCATTTAGTATTGTTGCGCAAACCTACTTAAATTATTTATTTACATCAATGTCCTTTGCTATCGGGTCTTAGTAGACTGGTCAAAAACGTTGATGTTCACCATTTCTCCATTACTTTTTTTCAAATGGCATTGAAAAACTCATACTCATCAAATATTCAGAAGATACACCTTCGATACAACCTCAAGGTACTCGCCGTCGAGCAACTTCCTCTGCGAATGTCGAGAAGTTATCTGAACCAACCATCCCTCGGCCTTTAAGTCAGCAATCTAAGCATAGCCGGGCTAGCTCAGAATTCTCTATAGGTCGAGCTCTTCCCTCTCCGCCAGTGGCTGGTCGACCCAACGGCCGAACAAATTTATCACACCAAATCATGATTCCAGACCCACATGATGCCCCACCGCTTTCTGCTCATCCAGCTTTTCGAGGTGAAAATCTATTGGACCATTCTAGGCCTAGCCCCAGGCTACCTTTGGACCCAAAGGTACGTTCAGTTCTATCATCCTGGTATTGGAAGCATTGGCACTAACACTGCACCCGACGTTGAGGAGTTGGATGCAGATCCTTCATACCGATATTCCGACGATATCCCACTTCTCCAGCGTAGTGACGATACTTTCTTCGATAAACCTGCTAAAGTGGCTGGTGTAAGTTTCGAAGAGCTTGTTGACCGACTCCTTGGACAACACATGTCAAGAGCCGACGTCAACTTTTCCGAGATATTTCTGTGTCTCTATCGAAAATTTGCCGCTCCTGGTGAGCTATTCGATGCAGTATTGGACCGACTGGGACGCTTAGCAGAGGATAAAAATATCCATTATCTAACACGAACAACAACTCAACTTCGGATAATTACCGTGGTTGCTAAATGGGTTTCGAGTTATCCAGGGGATTTTGCAAGTCCTTCAACAAGTCGCAAGTTAGACGCGTTTATCAATCAATTAGCTTCGGATCCCGTTTTTGCTGCTGCTGCGCAGGAAATGAGGACTCAATTAGAGTCTCGTGTAGTGAAGGATGATGACACAGGCTGGGCCAGGACGGATGCTGATGTAGACAACGAACATGCTAAGGAACTTGAATCAGCGCCCGTTTCTCCTACGACTACAAGAACCAATTCCAAAGGAGGATACGAAACTGACATGTCCACACTAGTGCAAGAAGATGACGTCAGTGAGATAGAGCTGAAAGGATCGAGGGGGGATTCTTTTTTCTCCGCTCGAGCGTCATCTCAACCCGACCTTAATATGCCTTCATTTCTTACAGTCGAGGACTACGAGAGAGAGGCTGCCAAGATGACACCTAAGGGAATTCTACCATTATCTAAACACAGATATCACATGTTTATGGAGATCCCCGATGACGACCTCGCTGATGAGATGACCAGGATAGACTGGGTTATGTTTTCTTCTATACGTCTTCGAGATTTGGTTCGACATGTTAGCCTTTCACTCAACCAAAAGGAGAAATGCAAAAGTCTTGCCAACGTAAATCGCATGATAAATCATTTCAACCATATTGCGAAATGGGTTGCTAATATGATTCTGATGCGAGATAAAGCCAAGCACAGAGCACACATACTGGAGAAGTTCATGAATATAGCACTGAAGCTGCGGCAATTGAACAATTACAATGGTCTGGCAGCTGTCCTTGCAGGGATCAATGGAACTGCAATACATCGCCTCACACAAACTCGAAACCTGGTTCCTCCGGATGTCCAAAAGCGTTTTGCCCGCTTAGTCTTATTGATGGGTACGCAAAAGAGTCATTTCGCATACCGTCTGGCATGGGAAAATTCTCCATTACCTCGTATTCCCTTCATTCCATTAACTCGGCGTGACCTTGTCTCAGCCGAGGAGGGAAGTCGAACTTTCATTGGAGCAAACGGAGAGAGAATCAACTGGAAGAAATTCGAGGTTCTGTCCGAGGTCATTCTACCCATTATGAAGAGTCAAACTACGCCATATCCAAATCTCACCAAGAATGGGCAGGTACGACTTCTCATTCTGGATTGTCTTATCCCTACAGATGATGAGGTTCGTACTATATCTTTCCTTCATTCATCTTTCTGTCCCCCATTTCGGATGATCCTAATGCACATGCTAATCATTTTCACTAGGATATATACCAACGAAGTCTCCAAGTAGAAAGTGCATCTGGAGCCGCAGAGCCTGTGAAAAAGAAATTCCCTTGGTTTTCAAAGGATAAACAATAATCGTTTGTGAACACAATCAGGGGTAGGGCATTTATCTGCTACATATTGTATTGCAAGTCTGTTCTCTGCTGAAAGGCAAAGAAAGCATCTAGTGTCCGGCGTCTGGATTTTGGTGTTTATTTAAAGGACATACCCCTTTCTGTAATGAAAGCTGAGCAATGATATGATATTTTGTTAAATGGTTAGGACATGGAGATGGCTTTGGTATGGGAATGTGAATTTGTTTTTTTGCTTGAGATGCTAAGTATTGTGAGGTTGTGAGACAACTGAGAAAAGATTTAATTCTAGATCCAGTTGAAGGTTCGATTCTTCAATGTTGCCAAGCTTGGAATGGATATATGCAAGCGCATGATACTCAGGAGCTGGCTTCTTTTGTGCTTCCCTCATTGATCTATCTCCTCGCTTAAGTGTTGCAGCTTTTTCGGTTCTCAAAACTTAGGATTCAGAGCCTTACTGCACATGGACTCATGCAGCATACCATATGTGCTACATGTACACAACATAGAACTATGACGAGGCAGCCTTCGTGCAGATACTCGGTGTGTGTGTTTTTGTTTATTTGTGAGATGTGCAATATGCTGTATTTAGTTTGATTTAGTTGTTGAAGGGCGGCGATTTTTATGGGAGGTGATTTCCTATCTATATATACTCTCGTACAAATAGGTATGTGAAGATCGTGATGGAACATCTGGTCAAGAAGGAAGCAACAGCCAGCATTGGCCGGAAGAAGAGAGCATCTGTGAACTGTGTCGACGATGCGGTCATTTATTCCTCTATGCGGCGATCGTATGTCGGTACATAGATGAAGAAAGGAACGCCAAACAGCTCTTGGAGGTTGTACTCAAAGGACTTACAGGCTTCATTCATCTTCGCAGGTCCTCGATAATTTAAACCAGGGAGTTATGTCACAACTCGGCAAAACCACTGCTGAATACTAAGAGTCTATCGATCTGTTTAAGCCAAGTTGTGCGCGCCATTCTCACGGTCATTGATCATCTTTCAAAGATTGATTTGGCTCGCCTGCTTTACAAAAGGGTCAACAATATCAAGGGTGCCGTAGGCTTCTATATATTGTTTTGAATATCACGGAAGGATGTAATACCACCATACAATTGATTCATCAATCGTTCCGAGACTTTATTCTTAATCGATACCGATCTCTATATCAATCTTTCGAGTTCTGGAAAGTGCTTTTAGAAAAAACTTTCCTATCAATGTTTTAACATCCTACCAAATAAGATTTTAGATGTGTATAATTGTGGTTTCAAGGGACTAGAAGCTGGTATTTTTAAGTATCTGTTGACAAATTATGGATATGTTCATTATGCCTGTTGTGATTGGGTCAATCGTTTACAGCGCAGGGAAATTGGTATTCCGGGCGAAGATTATGTTTATATGTTTCTCCGAAAATGCTACACACAATGGTTAGAGGCTTTACGCCATCTAGGCGAGTCATCAAAAGCTGTTGGGCTCATAAGCATATTCTAGTCATTTGCGGTAAGTTAGCTTCGTGATCTCATTTTATCCAAACAGTTTTGTTCAATTCAATGTGTTCACTGTATTGTCCCGCTGGCTATGGCATAGCATTGCGATGTCTAGGTCCAGTATGATTATTTCATTCGGGAGTTTAAATTCTGTGAAGGTTCGAAGGTTATGTTTACCAATCTATATTGATTAGGCTGAAGTTCCGAGTGATTGAGCCTTGACTATTCATGTCAAGTGTCCGGCTCGAGCTTATGTTATTGGTTGCAATAGAATGGAAATACAGATAAGTTACAACTTTCCTTCCTTCAAGATGCTAAACGATTTTTAATGAAAAACAGAGTAATGGTTGCTGCTTCACTTGCGTAGCTTTATTCCTCGGCGTTTATATTTGCTCCTGCACACAAGTGACTAGCTCGGTTGATAAATATATCATGTTCTGGTGCTACATCTGGAAGGACTTTGCAAATTCCTTCTGCAAGAAACCCTGGCGGATGATAAGATTATGAAAGATTCGATTACAGCAGTGGAGGTCTCATCGAATGGTAGAATAAAAATGGCAATATCCGATGCCGTCAATATTTGGCGTCGCAGCAAGAATCAGCGGCCAAGGCGTGCCTCTAGAATTCTGCCATCAGCTCAAGGGAATTTGAGTCAGAAAGCCCAGTAGTGCTGTCGCTGGATGACAGCTAAATTGCAGCCGGTTTCGAGAATGGAGATATTATTACATGGGATATAGCCTCTGAATAATATCATTCGAGATCCAGCAAGACATACAAACCGTCAGCCCCTCAATCTACCTGTTATCCCAATGGCATATTCACCCAATAGTAGTCTGCTAGCGTTAAATCAGAACGATAGGAGTGTAAGGGTATGAGGCCCTTCTTATATTATGGGTAAAATTCAAAGTTACTATAATTATAGTTTGAATACAGGGTTGCATTTCTACCTCGCTGCAATCCCATTTTTGCCAAATAGTGAATTATTGGTTCTGGGCTTTAGTAGCATGATTGGAGAAATAGACAACAAACGCGGATCCCGTTTTGTGTACAGAAACTAGATGGCTGTCTAGGAAACTTAAAGGGAAAAAGCATTCTTACTAGATTCAAAGCAACTAGTAATGCTCAGCTCATTCGAAAATGCTATCAAGATCTTGTACTCCTGCCTATGCCACATCCAGACACTTTCTCAACAATATGCTTAAACTAAAGTTGGATGATTGTATAAAAGCAATTGCGTTCTCATCAGATGATCGAAAAGTTGTATCAAGATATCTATAGATATTTGGAGCTACTTCTATTAAGGTCTGAAGCCACCCAGAAACAGAACACTCTGTATAAACTCTTCAGCAATATATAGCATAGACGGAGACTACAAGAAGCTAGTTCTTTCCCAAGATCATCAATGCTTCGAAACAGATATAGGATCTCTTCATCTTTGGATTGATTCTTTCCTTATAATGTGCCCACTCAGAGGAAGAGAGAGCCGACTTTAGCAATATTTTCATCAAGTCCCATCCTTACTATATAGAATAGGGGCTACCAGATAACCGAAGCGTGATTCAGCTCTAGGCTGAAAATAGGTCTGTCTATTCAGACGTCTATGAGAAAAGTCTTGTTATAGTCAATGCTTATGGTATAGTCATCCTTATAGAATTATAGTACATAATCAATGATTGTATTTTGATGGCAGTTTGGAAGTTTCCGGACGGAATTATGAGATGAGTGAAAGGGTGAGCAAGCAATACAGTGCGTGGCATCATTATGACTAGACTTTTGGGAAGATATGAATTTCTTTTGTTCTAGTTGAATGAGTTCGACTTTATCTTTGTGATTTAATCAATACCAGAAATAACTCTTTGAACTGCCTTCTACAAAATATACTTAACCTTTGTACTATATCCGTTGTTCCTAGAGTGCTTCCATTCTCTCTATCTCTCTCCACTACCTACTTTATATCATACCGTCTATGCCTTATTTCCTTTTCCTCCCCACCCCGAAATATAAGTACCATTTCATATTCATCACAGTTTGAAGAGCAACAGATTAACAATCAGCAACATATTATGGCAAAGTAATCAATACAACGCTGCTTAATATTTTAGGATTTTCTTGAAGAACTAGGGTTCGAATCGTTTATCTATGTATCGTTATTTTTTTGATTCTCTTGCTTTTCTATTTCTTTTCGCTTAAGCATATATAACTTACATATACCTCTTTGTCTACCAAATAGAAGAGTATAGTTTTTATATCTATGTAATATTTTTACATAGTAATATAGAAAGTATGAATCAAAGATTGTATTACAATTTTAACAAAGGGAAAGTAGAGATTGATATCGATATCGATATTATTTTCGAGTATTTGTTGATTGTTTGTTAGGGTTTAAAAGTCTCAAGTGGGGAGGAGAGGAGGCGCCTGTATACTACTCTAGTTTTATATAGATTATAACTTTCTTTTCCTGAAGTATTATAATATTAATATTGAGAGATAATTGATTCCAAGAATCTTCTTCATAGGAAATCTAAAAATACATGAAGAAAACTATAGCGGAAAATAAAACTATAACTGTATACAAATATTTATTCATGTACTGTTTATCTATCTATCTATCTATCTGTCGTAATTACCTTTTGAAGAACTAGAAAACCGAAACTGGAAAAGTTAAAGACGAAAAGATGGATATCGAAAGAAGTAGTAAGAGAAGAAGACAAATAGAAAGACAAAAATAAAAATAAAATATAAAGCACGATTAAGAACTAAAACTAAAAGCAAAACTAAAAAACAAAACCTCATGCTCGTAGACATGAAATCAGAAATTCATAAACGGAACCATAACTATAAAATCAGAAACGGCATCAACGTGGAATATACTCGTGAAACATCAAAAACCATCAAACCATCAAAATCCAACCTCTTAACACATACCACTCCACCCCTAGAAAACCCTTACTCCACCTCAAAACCTAACTTTTCTTCTTCTCCCCTTCCCTGCCCTTCTCCCTTCCCTTTTTCTCCCCCTCGAATCGACCACCACCACCTTCTCATCCTCACTTTTGATCTTCCGACCTTTCCCGATTGCGAAAGCTCCCTTCCATTCCTTCCTGTTCATTATAATATAATTTCCCACATTTCATCCATCGAGAATGATATTTAAAATGCGCTATCACTTTCTCTTTTGATAATTTTTTCGTCTTCGTTTTAGTTTTTTCATTCCCACCTCCATTTCCATCCCCATCTAGAACCGCCTCTCCGGTAGTAGTAGAAGAAGAAGGAAGAACATTCCTCGGCGTATCAATATCACCACCTCTTAATCGTCCACGTACCATAAAAGCTACTCTGGCTTTTAATCCTACTGTTTCTCCATTTCCGCTCCTGCTATCACTTCCACTTCCACTCTCAACCCCACTACTCTCACTCACTGTTCTGCCTTCCCCCCGGTCACCAAGGGTACCGTCTCCTTCAACACAGGAGCTGATTCCCCGTCCTCGCGAATAGGTTCCATGGTTGTTTTCGTCGGTGATCCGGGAGGACTCAACTGTGTTCTCTGCGGTAACTGCGGGGGATTGCTCATGGATGTCGATGTCGGTATTTGGGATGTCGATGTTGCTACTGGCGCTGCTTGCATTCGTGTTTGAACTTGCGCCGCGACTTCTCCTTTCGTAGCTGCTGCGCCTGCGAGCGAGGCTTGCGCTTCCTGCTTTGCGAGCGCTTTGGCTTCTTCTTGTTGGATTCTCTATTTTTCCAAAAGTATTCAATTAGCATGATTCTTCTATATGCTCATATTCACACGTATTTTCATCGAAATCCTCATCTAAAACTCTCAAGGCAAATTCAAATGTGAAGGTTGGTAATGTGAGGGAGAAAAGGAGGATGTGAAATGGTAAAAAATAGGTCATCCAACCTGCTATTCGAGGAGCCATGTTCACCTCTTCTTCATCTTCATCTGCTGAGAAGAAATGGGTACGGTAGGAAAGGATTCGATCTCTCACCTGATCCAGAGTCATTCTCTTTTTTTCTTGCTTGGTTGGTGCTGGTGCTGGTGCTGGTGCTGGCGCTGCTGGCGCTGGCGTTGGAGTTGCTGTGCTGGGAGTAACGGGCGCAGCTCCTGTTGCTGTTGCCGTTGCCGTTGCCGGCGCTGCAGTTGCAGTTGCAGCCTCAGTTGTAGTTGTAACGCCAGACTCATCAGCCTTAGCAATCTTCTTCGCAGCCCTCTTCTCCTTAACCGCCAAAACCTTCTCCTTCAGCCCCAAAACCCTCGCCTTAACACCTCCACTACCACCCTTCTTATCAACCTTCTCCTCTCTTCTCCAACACCGCACTACCCCCCGTACTAGCACTATCCATTCCCTTCACTGGCTTGCCCCTCCCACCCTTAACCTTCTCCTTCACCAAACTCGGACCCGCTCTAACCACCCTCCCCACACACTTCCCTCCCTGCCTAAACCCCTGCACTCCAGCCGCAAAATGTACTTTACAATCATACCAATCCTTCCTCGCAGCCATACATTTTTTCTTCTCTTCATAAGCCTTCTCCGCCTTCTGCGCATCCTTATATTGGCGTGCCGCATCTTCAGTTTGCGAATGCAAATCGAGTGCTGTGCCAGAGGCAGGAGGTTCATTAGTTGCTGCTGATGCTGCGGCTACAGCTGCCACAGCTGCAGCTTCGGCAGGGGTGGCAGGAAGAGGATTAATGGTGTTTGTGGGGGCGGGAATGGGTGTTGTGGTTGAAGTGGAAGAAGACATGTTTGAGTTGGATCTTTTTCTTGAGCAAGAACTGCAGGGATGGATGGGAATGGATAGGAGTCGACTGGTTATATATGGTCTTTGACGGGGGCGTGAGTGAAAGATTTTGAAGGATTTTTGATGACCCGGAGCGATAGTGCTGCGGGTGTTATGTGAGATTATGTGATTATGATTCGTGAGTGAATTGGAGATTGTAATTGATGTGTGCTAGTCTGATTGTATGTTTTTGTCGAGGGCCGTAGAAGTAAATAAAGACGACAAAGTCGAAGTCGAAATCCAAAGAAGTGAATGAATAAGGGTATCTGGCTATCTGAGTATTCAAGACAAACTTCTTATTGATAACTGCTCAAGACAATCTCCCCAAAAAATGAGCGAACCTCCTCCTTCATAAGAACTCCCAAAAGCCATTCCGTCATCAGTATCCAGCAATCTCAATACACCCCTCCAAACATCCAAACATCCACACGTCCCAACCCCTCGTCTCAATCTCCACCGCGCGAAACGGCAGGTCCCAAAAAACCCAATAGTTCCTCATATCACAGAGATTAGCACCTCATGCTCAAGCTCTCTACTCCAATCCCGAAGATTCTCAACCGAATCCCCATCTCCAAATTTTCCGAGTGATACGTCCAAAGCAAGGTCCTACCCATTCACACCTCTCATCCATCAATGCCAATATAATTTACCCCTCCATGTGAGTAAGTATGCATGAATTCCCAAGTCCCTCTACCCCTGTTCCCACACATTCACGCATGACACAAATCTCACCTCAAGATTTGCGCTCGGAGGATTGTGCATAATGATCTAGAAGGAGACCAGAAGAAAAAGATCGAAGCTTATTTAATTTCTAAACATGCTCTAGTTCCTAATTTACATCGGAAAAGAACGTTAAATAATGGGATGGATTACATACCAAGTGTATAAGCGATTCAGGAAAAAAGGGGAAGAAGTTCTGATGAGAAAATCGTAGCACGTGTTTCTGATCAGCGGATCTAGTCTGTGAATAGCTACTCGACTTTCAATTTATCAAGCATATACCACGAAGTGATCAACGGATTGACCGAACGAAACCTCTATTTAGACTCCTTGGTAGATCATTTGATATGCATTCTAAATAGCCGTTATTTCTGCAGTTCCGTCCGAAGTCTTCTAGTGTAACGATTTTCTTCTATTATTTCTTCTTCTTCCCTTTTTCCCGACGCCTTATGAAAACGTTTTTCATGCACTCTGCTTCGGTCTTCACGAACTGATACTTCAGCAAAGATATCGAAATGGGGTATAATATGCGAAAAACACTAGTTTCACTTGACTAGTAGATAGTTTTCAAATGTTTGTGTAGATGTTATTCGTACTGTTAGATTCATTCCACTCATGAAGAATAAGCATAAATAAGGAATTTCAAACCTACATTAATCTTCCAACTGCAGAACATCGACTTGATCTCGGATATTGGGTCGGATATATGCATTGAAGGGGAGACCTCATCCGTTACTCAATTTCTGATATTTTGATCTTAAGATTTAATATACTCAAGCCTCCCTGTAGTCAAAATTCCGAGTTGCTTGATCGAGGTTCATTCTCTGAATTAGGGAGTACCTTGCTCTTGAATACAATAGGCACGATTGCTCATTAGGCCTTTTCGCATACTCCATTCGCACGAATTTCATGAAAGAGGTTCTAGAGAAGAAGGAAAATATGTTTCTTGTGGTTAATCTCTCATAGATCTGCCACGACTGACTGATAAAAATCGCCAGCTAGCCTTTCACAATATTCGGCCTTGTGTTTTTAACCACATCTCTGATCTGTCCTCATTCGTTACGTCCCGCTTGAATCCCCTCGCACCTTACTCCCGTGTAACCTGGTCCACTCCGCTTATAATCATCCAAATATTGCTTCCCCAGAATTTTCGCCCTCAAACCCCAGCTCTGCTAGCTTCTTAAGTCTACTCTTATCCTTCTTCGAATCCAGGGCTCTCCTCTCCTTGTCCAACTTGTGCACCAATTCCGCATCTGCTTTTTCATATCCTGGTGGTGCATCATCGTCTTTATCCAGATCTATTTCACCAAGAAGTAAAACGTTCTCGCCGCGGACGAGGAAGAGTCCTCGAGGTACATCGGCGTATAGTCCCGGTTGTGTGATGGCACCCGGTGTAGAGGGAGGAGGTGGTGCAACAAATATACGCTCGACAGTGGATTGTAATACTATATTTGCTGTGGTTGGGAGTTTAGAATATTTGATGTGACACGGAAAAATATGTTTATGGACAAATGATGTGCATACCGAATTGATCCCAACTTCGAAGTATTCCGATAAGTTTTCTGCCATCGCGAAGTGAAATCATAAGTTTTTCTGTAAAGTGAAGACGATGATTAGCATATGCACTCGCCACAAAAGGTATCTTCTGTGCATATTCTGAAGACATAGATCCGCCGCTAGTAGATTCTTTATGCAAGTAGCCATACCACAACCATTTTTTCGTGTATAGCTTCGCAGATCGGGGATACTTACTATCAGTCAAGTCAAGTAATTGCGCAGCTGTCGTGAACATTTGCGCAGGGAGTTGCTGATTTGGAGGAGGTATTCCAGCTCCTAGAGCTGGCATCTCTGCCCCTCCTTCTGGGCCTTGATATGTTGGTTGGTGCTCCATATAGTTTGTTTCTGAAGATAAAGTTGGTTATCGTAATAGTGAGAATCTCCACCAATCCATTCCGCAATGTTGGTGATATAAACTCCGAAAGTTGAGGTTCGTGAAGAGGTGAATGGTACGGTCGAATAGTGTGCAAGTTGAAGATTCGGTGATGTTTGTGATGGATAGTGACCAATCGGTTGATAGATGCACCCACCGAAGGAAGTTGGAATTAAGCAAAGATTTCCTGGGAAAATGAATTCAAAATGGTATCAGAATCAGAATCAGAATCAGAATCAGAATCAGAATCAGAATCAGAATCAGAATCAGAATCAGAATCAGAATCAGAATCAGAATCAGAATCAGAATCAGAATCAGAATCAGAATCAGAATCAGAATCAGAATCATTCTAGAAGTAGAATATAATAAAATATTATTATTTGACTGTCTGTTTTTTAAATGTTTATTCCTCCATAACAGGTAGTAAAGTGAAATAATCTAATAGTTGTACTGTATGCCTTTTCCTATGGTTATGAATAGACTGAATATCCTTCCATCATTGAATGTCTACCGAAGAGTTAAAAACGAAATATCATAAGATCTTAGAAGATTGCCTTTGAAACAATGGACTGGACTGTATTAGAGAACCCCATGATAAATGATATGGCTCTTTAGATTCTGATGTTAATACTTCTAATAGCTCTGCAGATCTTGATATTGATATTGAAGAGATTCTCGTGTGAATGAATGATATTGCTCTGACATACTAATATTAATGATGTTGATCTGTATTTCTTTCTATCATATATTAATTCAATGTCAATCAATCCATCCTTTTTCTCTTTGTGTTGAATGTTAATTGAAATTCTCAATGGGCTATTAGTAAAACAACGCCCACTTCATTAGATATAGCAAGGACAGTACAGTTGGTACTCAAGTACGTACGTCAATGAAGATCTCAAAATGTTATATGGCATGGCGCTTTTTGGTAAATATGATAATGAAGCTGTCGAGTACCAAAAAGATGTTCAACAGACAGGAGAATTGACCATAAAACATGTGAGCGAGTGAGAACACACTGCATTAGATCCGACTTTATTTTGCCATCTAGTGCAGACGAAAATGATAAGAGTAAAGCAGCAATTTTCTTGTAGAAAACCGACCAACCAACCCAATATAAAATCCTCAAAATAATTTTGGACTTATTGTTCGACGGAACCCGGTATCCATAACTCTGTCGAATAACTGAAATTGGCAGTGGCGTATACGATCGACCTCAAACTTAATTTTGCTCAATCTCGACTCGATCGGATAGAAATATATCGTATATCGTACAACGTGCCCCGTGTATGGTATTTCGCGACCGTCCACGGACACCCACAGATATTGTTGGAGCATAAACACCGGGCCCCCAAGGCTACCGTTGAATGGTGCAACGTTCAAGAGCCTGTAATAACTCTGGACGTTCTTGAAGATCCTGCTTTGCCTCTGAGTATGTCGCCCATTTTCGATTCCTCTTATGCATTTCTGGCCATTCTCTTTCCTCGCTGGTGACGGTGACTTGGTAGAATTGGTAGAGTGCTTTGGGTGCATTCTTCGAGATTTGCTTCGCCGTTCTAGTCTCGGTGATCTGACCTAAATCGTACTCGACGGTACAAACTATTCCTGCCTCTTCCCATGCTTCACGTTGAGCTGCTTCGGTGCACTCTTCATCGGTCTCCCACCCCCCCTTAGGTAGAACCCATGCGTTACGACGAGTAGATTGTATGAGCAGGACGTGAGTTTTTGCTTCGTTCAAAGGCACAACCCCTGCAACGAGTCTTTCTCCTTCTGGGCCATAACCTATATGCCAAAGAGAAAATGTAAGTTCACATACTTTCCGGATTGGGAAATTAGGGGAATGTCGGGGTTGAGATACGATGCGCCAAATATCATGGAGGAATTGCAAACGTACGTTGATTATTTCTCCCAGTACGAGACTCCATAGGAAGACCAGTTGCCATGATGAAGGCGATGCTTCACCTGTAGGGTGCTGATGCACAGTGCAGGAAGCACAATTTGTAGTTGTGAATCGAATGATTGAGAGAAGTTCGTTGTGAGATAAAGTTCGGCTGCGAGAAAGTAGGCTACTGTACTTTTTTTTTCTTAAAAAAGGATCAAGAAACGCAATCGTGCATGTTATCGTACTTGGGTATTCAATATCGGTCGGAAATTGGTAATTATTGTAGAAATTGAGACAAACTTAATTTAATTTCAATTGATTGTCATTATGTGTGGGAAAATGTATCGGACAGTTCGAGCTTTGGAAGAAGAAGAAAAGAAAAGAGGTGAAGGGCTTGACTTGTGTGTAAATTGAGCCTCCTTTGAGGGTTTGAGTTGAATCTGAATTGATTGTGAGGATGTTGAGGTTACTACTACTCAATCAGGTACGGAAAGGCTTGCCACAACAACAACATCCACTAGTTTCTAATTGAACTGTAAGCCTTTTCAGGATTGCGTGAAAGAAATTTCGGAGGAAAGGAGGTCAAAGAGAGATGGAGAGAAAAGAAGAAAAAAAAGAAGAAAAAAAGGGCTCGTTCTAGCTTGGATTCTTCTGATATTATTGTTCTATGTCTCGTGCCTTTTCCCCCAATATCGGTATCGGAGTCGAACGATTAGATAAAATACTTGTTGTAAGATTAGTTGTTCATGTAGTGTAGTTAGATAAACACGCAAAACGGTATTATTTATATTTAACTTTTTGAGAATCCTTTGTGGCCACGAGCATAGTAAGTCGGCATTGATTATACTTTATAATGATTCCTTCTTGAATGGTTCTCGTTTGTTATCAATAATGATGATAGTACGCTCATCACTGATCTATACATCAAGTATAACGATTCTTTACCGATCTAGATGAACTATAATGATATTATAATGACTGCCAATGTTCTAATCACGTATGGAAATGGTGAATGCATTCATCAGATCACACTTAATCGAGCTTGGTACATTCCAGGTCCGAATATTTTAGTGAGATTACGATCTAGAAGCTCGAATAATGAATGAGTGTTGAGTGGCTGTCGATATTATTAGCCTGCCATTTTTAACTATCAATCTTGATAACCGGCAATATATCTACTGTACTAATCGGAGATCTAACCCTTCATAATTGCATATTCATCGATGTCGGAACTCGATGAGATTTACCGAGCCGTAAGCTTTGAGATATCTTTGAAGAGTCCCTCAACTGAATAGATCCTTTGCATTGACTGTAGGGAGGTATGATTCTGAGTATCCTCGAGTAGTCAGTCAGTATCATACAACACCCATGGTACACACAATATCTTATCTCCAATCAATCAACCCCTAGCTGCCGACCTACACTTCAACCCTCGCCGAATTCCTACGAAACTACAAAAGCTGTGTGGAACAGACAAACAGATTCGAGCCGCAAAAGCCGCAAGCAGTACACGGAAGCAGGCTTGTTTACCCGTCAGTCACAACACCAAATTCATCACTCATCAATCATACTCTCGTACAGTAAGTATTTAACCTTACGCACGATATTGTAGGTATCGATCAATAGAGAGCACCACCAAATCATGTCAAAGTATCTGTGTTGTTCCCACTTAGCGAGAAACCTCTGCGCAATTGGTTATTCACTATTACGAATTTAGTACGCCTCCTTTAAATACATGAATTAAGCATCGCTGTTGAGTTGGAACAATTAACTTTACGACACCTATCCAGACTTCATTTCTATCCAGCCTTCCACTATCTTTCTTGGACACGGGGTTGATAAGTCATAGATCCACTGACTAACCTACCACTCACTCACTCACTCACTTCTCTTCTCTCTCTTCCCTCTTTTTCCCGGATCCGTCCCTCACTTCCATCACTTCCTACTCACAGGGAGCACCCATTTCCACTCTCATTCTCCCACTCTGCCACTTCAATTCGGCGAATACTCTTTCCGTACCAGTCCTGCATTCACAAAATATCGCCTCATCGTCAATATCGATCCACCCCACCAGGTCTCGTCTCGTCACCTCTGGCTGTTTCCGCGCCATGCAAGCCCCAGTCTCGCTTCTTTCGCCCCTGGGTAAGTTCCAACGTTTCATTTATTATTTTAGTAAAAAAAGCTACCAAGGGCAGGATGCAAAACGGCCCCCAATCTTGATTTGGATTTCATCATTGGCCAATAAATTGACCTCGTGGGTAAATGGCTCGATGACAATCCATTTTTGATTGATATTCATTTTCTTCTCTCCGTTATCATCATTCCATGTTCCCATTCCCATCTGCATTCCCTTTCCTTTGTCACACTGCATACTGCATACTGCATACTGCATCCTGTATACTGTACAAAATGTGTGTATTGTACCTACTTAGTAGTGGTACTACATCTTACATCTCACATCTCACATCTTACATCTCACATCTTACATCTCACATCGTGTACTTTCCGAATATCACTTGAAATCTAAAAGAGATAATTATTGGTCACCATCACCATCTCTTTCATCAGAAACACGGCTGAACCAAAAATTCAAAACCCAAAGTCACACAAGTGTTACACTTCATTCCAATGAACTTGTTTAATTCCTCTTCCCCGGTGCCACATTTTGACTCGAAAATATCTTCACCCGGTTTATGTTGTAGCACGAAATTCAAATGTCACTGCAGATTTCAGTATCTTTTTGAAAAGGAATAATATGATGAAAATGATTAACTTACTGACTTGATTCATTCCATCTCTAGGCTATAGTAACAATAGTTGCGGATATTGTCACAATAATTCAGGAAGTTAGTTACATATTCCAATTACCAACTCACAGAAATGTATTATTGGCAGTATCATGTCCTATCCTCATCACATGTGCCTCGATTCAAGAACTTCTTTCCTTTTTTCATATACTTCATATTGACTTTCTACCTTTGTTGCTCAATGGCTTGAGTCAAGTTCTCATATTGCGCAAAGGCCATTTATTCACTTATATCTCTAGGCTATTCGTATTACGCAAAAACCCAAACATTAAACCCAGAATTTTACCAAGGGCTTCTTGATCGAGGATGGAGGCGTTCAGGTACCTTACTCTACAAACCAGATCTAAGGAACTCATGTTGTCCACAATATACCATCCGTCTTGATTCTCATCAATTCCATCCAACCAAAGATCAACGACAAGTTGTCAATCGTTTCAACAACTTTATCCTAGGACATACCTATACAAAAGAAGCAGCAAGATTATACCCCAAATCACGCGACCAAGCCAAAAAACGCAATACGGATTTTGATCTTCAGGAAAGAATCCATGAGGGAGAAAAGGAACAAATCAAGACACCCCCAGAACCAGCTCATTCTTTTACCGTTACATTGGAAACCGACGAATTTACCGAGGAGAAATACACTATTTTTGAGAATTATCAACGGACGGTTCATCACGACCCACCTAGTAAAATCAGCAGAGCAGGATTCAAAAATTTCCTCTGTTCATCCCCCTTACCTCGCAGTACCCAAACCATCAACGGTAAAACCAAACCCCTAGGATCCTATCACCAATGTTACCGACTCGACGGAGAATTAATCGCTGTCGGCGTTCTAGATCTCCTTCCCAAATGCGTCAGCGCAGTATACTTCATGTACCATGAATCCGTTCACTCTCGTGGTTTCGGAAAACTAGGCGCATTGAGAGAAATTTCCTAGCAAAGAGATAGGATATCAATATTGGTACGCGGGGTTTTATATTCATAGTTGTGTGAAAATGAGATATAAAGGCGATTATAGTCCTCAATATATTCTAGATCCGGAAACATATTCCTGGATCTTATTTGATGAGAAATTAAAGGGGAAATTGAACGAGAGGAAATACGTCACCGAGGCTGCTCAATCAACTCCTGAACCTCCAAATCAAAATCAAGACTCAACCTCAGATTCAGACTCAGACTCCGACTCAAACTCCCAAACACCAATCTTCGCCCGCACCCCCTCCAGCAGCATGCCAGGTCTCCTCACCCGCAGCGAAATCCTAACCAAAGCCCCCTTGGACAAAATCAAAATCCGCATCGGAAAAACCGATCACGAAACCCATGAATTGATTAATTGGGAGAGTGATAATGTGATGGATGCGAATAGTATCAAGGGGGTTATTGCCGAGTTGGTTAGTACGGTGGGGATTGAGTTGGCGGGGGAGATGGTGATTTATTTTAGGTGAGGGGAGTGGAGGTGGAGTGGAGGTGGAGTGGAGGTGGAGGAAGAGGGGTGGGATAGAGTTATTTGGGGTGGGGTGGGTGTGGGTGTGGATGGTGGATGGATGGAGATGGGGATGGGAATGAAAATATGCGGAATATGATATGAAATGAACAGATAAGTTGATGAATATAAATGAGAAACATAAATTTATCCATGTTAAGGTACCTACTCGGGAGTGAGTAAGTACTATCCGATCAATCTAAATCCTCAAGATCCAATCTTAGGGACCATTCACAAAGACCAATACCACTCAATGGAATCTCACTCAAATCATACCAAAAATTGAAACACTAAATTATTTTTCATTCAATCATAAAGTAATCTATCTCTATCGAGATAATTCGCATCTAGCTAAACGAGCTCTTTTTAAAAGGTATATCTCAAATGTCTGGGGCGAACATTCCATTATGTCATTTTATTTGACTCCCAATCTTACAAATAATCTAATCAAAAACAATAGCTGCTTTAATAGCACTCTTGTTCTTGATAGATTCCAAAGCCTCACCCCATTGTTCAAGCTTGAAGGTCTTGTTGACAATACCTTCAACCTTGACCTTGCCTGAATCAAGATAATCGATAGCGGCAGCTATATATCATTAGCAAGAGAACCCTCATATATAAATCAGCAGATGTAAACTTACGGAACATATAAGTTTCAGAGAAAGAACCAAGAATGGTAATCTCATCACCAAAAATCTTGGATGGTGGCCAAGTAACTCTAGCAGAACTGCTGTAGACACCATAGACTACGAGCTTACCTCCACGACGAACATAGTTGATAGCATCTTCGAGGATCTTAGCGCTTCCGGTAGCTTCAACGACGATATCGAAACCATATTTGTACTCATCCTTAATTTGTTGGAATTGAGCTTCTGGGTTATCACGAGAAAGTTCGATATAGATATCAGCAGCATCGAGCTTCTTGGCAAGTTCCATCTTAAGACCACCTGGTGCAGCGAGGACGACCTTGCATCCACCATTTTGTTTGAGTAATTGAGCAAGAACAAGGCCAGTTGGACCAGCACCGAACATGAGAACAGTAGAGCCCATCTTTGGTGCAATCTTCTCAAGACCATGAGCAGCGCATGAGGCTGGCTCGAGGAGTGTGGCATCAACATCTGAGAGGTTCTCGATCTTGAAAACCTTTGCGGCTGGGTAGGCACAGTATTCTGCAAAACCACCATCTAAATTGTATTAGCTTTAATACTTGATTTGGAAAGAGAAACTTACCCATAGTAACACCGTGAGCGTTAAAGTTCTCGCAAAGTAAGAGTTGACCACGACGGCAGTAGAAACATTCCTCACAAAGTTCCGAGTTACTGTGAAGAGGTTAGTATGTTGTAGAATGACATGATTGAATTGTACTGACTCAGCTACAACTCTGTCACCAATGTTGAAGCCCTTGACCTTAGGTCCAGTAGCAGCAATAACACCGACAGTTTCATGACCTATAGAATCCTCATGTTAGACACCTGATCAGAGTCTTGATAGAATGTAGTGTTGCGGGTATGAGAGAAGTGGGAACTCTTCCTATTGGATCCATGTAGAATTCTGAATGGGAGCAGGCTGTGGATCATCGCCCTCTACTGGAGGATGACTTTCAAGAAAGTTGTGTTCATGGCTCCGACCAAATGTATCATGTATCATTACATTCGCCAAGAGACGCAAATGCCTTCACCAGCCAAACAAAATCGAATAGACGAAGCAACCTGTTCAAAGAAGGAAATATAGCGTACCAGGAATAAGAGGGAACTATAATACGTCATATTAGCCTTTGCTTTGCCCTCATAAAAGAATTAAAGTCATCCCAATGTGTTTAGCTTAATGTATGTAAAAGTATGTAAAACCCCAAAGTACCCATCCAGGTGTATACGGAGCGTATCATCAACCCGCATATTCGTCTTAATGGGTGAACGTCATGGTGGGGAACCAAAACGACATCCCTTCCATTTCACACATATAAAGAACATTTCGCACATACCTTTGCAATGAATTCTCCTTCATGGATGTGCAAATCGGTTCCGCAGACACCACAGGCCTTGACCTTTACCAAGACATCGTTATCACGGAGCTTTGGGAGAGGAACTTCGACAATTCCATATTCTTCTGGCTTGGAGTATCTATTTGAATTTATTCATGTTAGCCTTGATCCTTTGTTTGTTTCCTTCTCCTAGTGGAGGTTGGGCCAGTGACCCGGATTGCAATCCAACAAGGCACTTTTGAATATTGGAGCCATTTTGATCATTCAACCTTTCATGAAGCAATGACCATCGAAATGAATGAAGCATCTTCAACGATCCAAGTGGGATTGCAGTCCGGATTATTGGATACATTGATGAAATCACTGTTCAATGCTTGACACAATGTTGTGGAATGACGCCGTATCTCAAAAGTGTTGAGTTAAAGCAAGATGCTGTACATACCTCAAAGCTTTCATGGAAGTTGGGAGAGACATGTTGATGGACGTTGCTGTTGTTTGAGGGAGATTGAAAGAATTAAAGAAGTGATTTGAGTATTGGGTATCTGGAAAGTTGGTGAGGGTTGAGGGTATTTTTAAATGGTATGAAGAGGAAGAGAGGAAGAAAGAAGAGAAGATTGATCTATTTATTTACCTCTCTTATAGTAAAGGTATGTACTTGGATGGAATGGAAAAGGAAGGGACGGGGCTTTCGTCAAGGTGGGGTATGTAATCCTGTTGTTGGTATGCATGATATAAATTGCCCCGCCATTTCAATGTTTCCATCTTATTTGGATGACTAGCTGAGCGGCTGGGTCCTTGCAATCGGGCCCAGAACATATTTGAATTAGGTACTGGGTATGTATGAGTTGATACGAGTTGAAGCTCAAGCCATGATATGTACCTACTACCTGCTCAATAATACTTGGTACTAGATCATGAGATCAAATTTCGTTGTTGATCTATCTGATATGGATGGTATGGGTATCTACTACCGAAATAATTGCAATCAGATAAGGTCTATCGGAAGCCATCAAGGAGTATCTACCAGAGGTCCAGAGGTACTACGTATGTCTATTCCCACGATCAGCGAAAGGGAAAGAGAAGGAAGGGAAGGGTAGGAGAAGAAACAAGCATCAAAGTCCATACAAAAGTAGGGATATACTTCCTCGATCCTACCCACACTGCTGCAAAATTGGCATGGAAAAGCGCGTTACCAAGGTAATGAGCGCCAATCGGACATCTATTTGGAAAGCCATTTAAACGCCACGACAGGTAGCAACATGTGAGGATGTGAGGATTGTGATAATAAGCCCACGTTCCTTACCAACCAACATTCAATATTCTAGACAGAAATGTTTTAATGCTTAATGCATCTCCACCACAAAACGGTTCACTCATCGGTTGATGGCCTAGTTATCGATGTCATTAGTATGGAAGTGTTGAATATCCGGAGAACTGTGGTCAAGAATAAACACAAAGTAAGACCGAGCAGAAGTACGATGACGATATCAACTACGTAGCGTAGAGGGGGAATTGTCTTTTTTCGGTCTGTTAGGTGGGTCAAATGTCGGAAAAGATCGCGGGGATTTTGGTGGGGTACGTTTACAGCTTCTTTTACAATTTCTATACGAGCCGTTGGCCGAAATACCTATGAAGTATGAACATTGAACAGCAAAACCCTTACGAAGGCCTCCTTTCTCCTGATCTGACCCGTTCGTCCACCAGTCCTGATCTTCCTTGACCTTCCTTTAGCCTTCCATAACCGAGAGACCCGAGTGGTTTGGCTTAGAACGTAATTTGCTGATGCAAATGCTACATCATTAGGTAACAATTACATTTATACCAGGAGCTATTCGTTGTTATAGTACAAAATCAAATTCACAGAATGTTCAAATCATACGAGACATCAAGAAACCATGGAATCAATTGCAAAGAATGAGCACCATTTTGTGAGGGAGTACCGTGTTTTCACGTCATAATAAATTGAAGGGGTATTGGAAGAAGCTCATTATGCTACCTGACAGTTTTGAAGTGTCAACTTCCACCTTCGACCTATGCTCCCCCGGCGATTACTTTCACTCGACCTAACGCGCTACTGTCCAGTCGTCCAACCATACAAGTGTTTATGAGGAATTTCTGTCGGATGCATTGAGCAAGCGTAAGAAAGATGTAGAGTAAATCTACGATGGTGGAGCAGCTCCGTCACGGCCACGTCCACGTCCGAATCCACCACGGCTGGAAGAGAAAATGTTAGGGTTCACCAGTATCAAAAATGGTAAATGATGCGTAAAACTTACAATTGAGGAGCGAACTCTCCTGGGGCAGCACCTTCCTTGCCCTCACCACCCTCACGTCTGCGGTAATCACCACGGTCACCACGCTCTCCACCACCACGTCCACCGCGGCCACCGAAAGGCTTGCGCTCACGCTCGTCACCACCCATCATTCCACGAGGAGGAGCGTGGGATCTTTGAACCTTGATGTGGGTAGCTGGGACAATCTCAGCGGGGAGGTGAAGCCATTCGCGGAGGTAGTCGAGACCCTCTGGGGTGAGGGTGTAGTAGTAGTATTGCCAAGAGAATTGAGTCTTGACATATCCACGGGAGGTCAAAGATTGACAAGCCTTGACAACGTAAAGGTTACGGGTGTCGATGTCTGGGTGCTTGTTTTCGTACTCCTTCTTTGCGACAAGTACTCCCTCACGGAACAAGTACTCGTGGATCTTCTTGCGGTCAGCCTTTGGGATAAGCCTGTAAAATTAATTCATTAGTATTCTGGCAACCATTGCAATTATGATAAATTACTGATTGTTGATATCTTACATCTTGGCGGTTTTTCGAGTTGCTTGTTGAGTTTGTCGTGTCGAGAGGTGTTAAAAAAAGTCGAAGCAATTCAAATTTGATATTTTGAATTTGTGTGGTTCAAACGCTAGCAAGCGAATATGTGGCTGACAGCTCCAAACAGTCCGAGCTCAGTGTGCTTTCACGTGACCATAATCTCAGCCACTTTTTCTTGGACTTGTGTTCTGGATTTCTTATCATTATCTATCACAAGAACTTCAAACCATCAGCATCTTCGTGAAGTGTGATTACAATCAAATTCTATTTGCAAAATTGACATAGTCAACAGAAAATATGGTTTCTCAAACAGTCAACGTTTTGTTGACTTCATTTCCCGGATTGAACTTACCACCAACTTTATCACTGCCTCTACCTAACACAACAACCATTTCAGAGCTTCAAGACAAACTTTATGAGCGCATTCCATCTCAAGATCGTCGCCTCATTCTCACGACCATATCAAATAAATTACTTTCTGCCGAGTCATCCTCCCCAATATCACATTTATTATCAGACCCAGAAGATGAATTTCTATCTTTGCGACTTTCAGCGCGATTATGTGGTGGCAAAGGAGGTTTCGGTTCTCAGCTTCGTGCAGCAGGAGGTCGTATGTCATCCAAGCGTAAGAAGGGTCAAGGTGATCAAAATGGGTCAAGCCGAAATCTGGATGGTCGCAGATTAAGAACAGTCAATGAAGCAAAGGCATTAGCTGAATATCTAGCAATCAAACCGGAAATGGCCAAGAAAGAGAAAGAAGAGAGGAGGAAACGATGGGAACAGGTTGTAGAATTGGCAGAGCGAAGGGAGCAGGAAATTAAGAGTGGTACGAAAGGAAAGGTGGATGGGAAATGGGTTGAGGATAAAGAGGAAGCCGGAGAAAGGACGCGTGAGGCTGTCATTGCAGCTATGAAGGCTGGAAATTATAAGGACAATTTGTTGGCAACATCTTCAGGCAGTGGTTCGGGGACTGATGGCTCTGCTAGTGAAGAAGATGAGGTTATGGGTGGTATAGACTCGAATGATACAACTCCACCATCGGAATCTGTACCGGGCAAACCAAAAGCTATGAGTTTCTTCGGCTTTGATGAAGATGATGAGTTTATGAGTGATGACGATGAAGAGGAGGAGGGCGAAGAGGAGAAGGACGAAGGGGGGAAGGACGAAATTGAAGTCAAGGAGCTCGAAGTCCCAGAAGAAGTGGATGATGAGGGAGAAGGGGAAGAGGATGTCAAGCAAGTTGCCAAAGAACCAACACCACCTTCTGCTCCTGCTCCAACAAAGACGAAAAGCCGATCAAAGATCCCCGTGAAAGCTCCCACAAAAGCAGCGGCAAAAGCATCAGCGGAGGCGCCTGCTAAAGCTCTTGCCAAAGCAGCTGCAAAGGGAAGAGGAAAAGGTAAGGGGAAGGCCAAATAAATAAAGAATTGGGTCTATTGGTATCACAGCGCGGCGTTCGGGAGCATGGATTATAAAGAGATATTCACGGTTTGTCTTGGTAGTAGCGACATTCATCATAATTTGAAAATTAATTGACTTTGAACTTTCAGTTTATAATGGCCTCAATAATACATTAATGGAGTTATCCAAATTTCTTATTATTCAATCTCAAATTTCCTTTACACTCTTTTCATCTCTATTATAATGGGCAGTTCAGTTCTTATTCCCCGAATTTGTAACACGAAACAATGCCTGGTACAATCATTTTATACAATACCTCTATCCTAAGATTTAGAAATGACTTCAACCGATGCTACGTTGAATAGCTTAGTAGATCAAGAGACTTTCTAGTTTCTCTCCAGTCTTTAACCACCTTCCCCTTCCCCTTCCCCAAGCCACTCAACCTTAGCATATCTTTAAACCTCATATCTATAATTACCCTATTATCATTCCATTCTTCACCCAAGAGTTCTTAACCTTCAAGCCAGCTAGTTCGTTCTGATTACAGGCCTAGTTCAATTTAACATTTCCTCAGAACGAGGATGGTATTCATTTGTATAGCTGCTCACTTACACCCCTCTCCTCTTCTCTTCTCTCTCCGCTTTCCTTTCCTCCCTGCTTGCCTGCTCCCTCGTGAGTCTACCCTATTTCTCTCTTTCTTCTCTATTCCATATTTCCCTCTCTTAACCATATACCACTCCTTATCCTTCCTCTAAAGAATCTCCTCGTATATCTACAGCCCCCTCAACATGCAAGAATAACAATGATAGGCAGTAACTAATCCAACTCTACCTTGAAATTTAAATCTATAACATTAACATTACCATCTTCAAAAGGCATGATTACAAAATTTGTAGTTTTATTTTAGCTTTGTTTAGTTTAATTTCCAAACGAGATCGCTTTTGCTATTCATCTTCTTCATTTATCATTCAGTTATAAGATCCTACTTGTTCTACCTCTCTAGCCGTATTCTTTTCTTTGATTCTGGGTCCGAATTTTGGGGGTTAACTCCCACTCTAACTGCTCTTCGATTCCAATCCTACTCCCGAATTCTATTCCCTGAACTCTCTCCTTCCCGAAACCCTCCCTCCAGCTTGAAATCTCACAAATCACTTTCCTCACCTCATCTCGCACAGTTCCTCATACCATACTCTACCACGCCAAAAACGGAAGCAGGCAGATAATCCTAATAGTACTCCTCGCACTCCTTATAGTAATATTCCCATATACTTGGGGTCATAGGCCGCCTCGCACCTATATGGGACATCTTTTCTTTGTAGCGGCCAACATGGAGATATGTCATTTGAAGGTTTTGATGATTTGATAAATTTGGGTTCTGGCTTCAAGTGAAGAGATCATGGCCAGAGGTTTAGAGGCTGATTACGTTGGGAATAGTATCATATGATATTGCTGTTTGTCGGGCTTATTGGTGAGGTGCGAATCATGTTAAGGATTTATATGTATATGTAACCTTAAAAATGTAGGAATAGTTTCACGTCTACTGCTTTTGGTTGGTGGAGGAATCATATTACGAATCAAGATGACAGATGAGATTACGGAGTACAACGTACAAATATATAATAACCAAGTCTCTTTATACTCTTAATATATAACAAAAATTGGTTTTGATATCTGTCTTATGTGGTCCTGATAATGCTCAATAGCGGGGTAACTTGCAATCGATTGCATTGATAACTCGGTGTCCATGATAAGCACCACCAGCATCATACATATAAGACTACAAACTAACGTCTCAATATCGAAATCAGCTTTAAATCGTACATCTGTTTATAAATCCTTAAAAATGTTAAAACGATATAATCCAAAAACTCTTGTCAACCCATTCAAATCTATCCCCACGAGTCGGAGATTGGATTGGATTAGAAATGTTAGCTCGGTTAGGACTATTGATATCAATGATGATCAAATTAGAAATATCAAAATTGATAGAGAGAGATTGTGGAGGGAATTGCATTATACTTGTCAATGGGGGAAGGGGGAGAGATGGGGTGTGTATGTTTTACTTTTCGTTTATTTCTTTGATATTATGTTAAGGTGGTTTGAGAGCACGGAGCCCAGAGGTAGGGGAGGAAGAGAAAAAGGAATGATTTGGGAAAGTTCCTGAAATATCTTTGGTGGTTCTAGGTCCAAGTTGAACGAGCCATGGACGTGTGATTATGTACTGCTAAGTCCAACCCAGCACCCTCCAAGCGGGAAGAAAAATGTACCTCCAAAGCTGTGTGGTCCATCTACATATAAGTTAAGCGACCATGACAAGGAGCAGCAAATGGGGTTCTATATGATCAAATTCTATCATTATAAAGATGTTTCAATTTTGTGTTCTTGAAGACATATTGTAAAAGTGGTAGGTCGAGATACGTGCGTCCCGATAGCACGCTGTGAGGAGGGAATTGGAAGAGCTGAATTAGATTACATTGTAATACGTCACTTATAGGTAAAACGGGGTTCACAATGGTTTTGGGGTTGATGCTATATGGGTTCAAATGTATATATGTAGAAGGTTGATTATTGTGAAAAGAAGAGGCAAAAGGCTCTTCTTTTATATCTAACTATAGAAGGTCATGTGATTGACTAGTTAAAACCTTTATGTATTTGGCCTATAATTCCAACTTTCTCACAATATATACCACATACATACACAAACACAGAGTCCTGATATCAATCCAGAGAGGAAACCGACCAAGGAATGTCCCGTCTCGCTCTGTCCTCCGCCGACAAACTAGCTCGAGATTGGTTTGTCGAAACGATGAAGGAACTTGGTTGTGATGTGAAGATTGATACTATGGGTACTCCCTCCCGGTTCTCCTTTTTCTCCTCTTTTCCTATCTGATACCATCGCATCAATCTGTCAAACATCATGCAATAATAACAATATAACAAAAGGTATTATATTCGCCATACGACCCGGAAGGAAAGATGCTCCGGCTACGTATGCGGGTAGTCATTTAGATACACAGGTATATCCCCAAGCCTCCCATCCAAAGACAAATAGAATTTTATAATGCGTTATGATTAATGAGATTACAGCCAACGGGAGGACGATACGATGGAATATTAGGTGTCCATGCAGGGATTGAAGCGTTGAGAACTATGAATGATTTGGGGATTGAAACGGAATATCCTACCGGTGTTATTAATGTTTGTTATATTTCGATTTCAGGATATACATTGACGAACTAACTTCTGAATAGTGGACAAACGGTACTTCTCCCTCTTTCACCATATCGGTCCCTCACTTACCCTTCCTCTAACACCCCACAGAAGAAGGAGCGCGCTTCCCCGTCTCCATGATATCATCCGGTGTTTGGGCCAATGACATACCTCTTCTCTCTGCGCACAACCTCCGCGAGATAAATGGTCCCGCAACCATGAAATCAGAATTAGAAAGAATTGGATATCTCGGTTCGATTCCCGTGTCATATCAAGCAAATCCAATCGGTGCACATTTCGAGCTTCACATCGAACAAGGACCGATCCTTGAGAAGAGCAAGACCCGTATCGGAGCTGTAACGGGCGTGCAGGCTTATCGATGGCATACACTTACGGTGAGGGGAAGCGACTGTCACACTGGTATGTTTTATTGTACCGAAATCTTGGTGATGATATTTTGGATGTAGATGAAACAAGATATGACGGGTTACAGGTACAACGGATTTTGAAAATCGTTCAGATGCTATGCTTACTGCAGCAAAACTCATCCTTCATAGCCATAATAAGGCTTCTGAGATGGGTTGCCTAGCATCCACAGGTAGCTAGTCCCTTCCTCGTGAGATTTTAATACGATTTGCTTATGTGTCCTAGGAATTCTCAATCTGAAGCCTGGCTCTACTAATACCGTTCCGGGGTTCGTACATTTCTCACTTGATATTAGATGTTCAGAGGACGAAAGACTTTTGGCCTTTGAGAAAGAACTCAAAAAATATTTCGAGTTGATCGCTGCTGGGGCGCAAATGACGACCCTTGGGGCAAGCGGAAAGAGAGGGAAAGGCTGTACGTTGGACTGGCAAGTGGATACAGATTCTCCAGCTACTCACTTCAACAAAGACTGCATCAGATGCGTGGAAGAAAGTGCCGGAGACTTAATTGAAACAACGACTTCTAGTGCTGGGAATCAGCCAGGAGCCGTTTCAAACACTTATATGAGAATGGTATCAGGCGCTGGACATGATAGGTAAGAATGTTAATCAGATGATAAGGGCCTCGCTGAATAAAATGCAGTGTTTATACTTCGAGACATGCTCCAACCTCTATGTAAGCTTTACCTTTCTACCACGCCTACTTACGACTGACCCCGACTAGGATCTTTGTACCTTGTAGAGACGGCATAAGTCATAATCCGGCCGAATATTGTAGCCCAGAAGACTGCGGAAATGGAGCACAAGTCTTGCTTGGAGCGATGTTGAGATATGATCGACTGAGAGCTTCAAGGGAAGCCTGAATAAACCATGAAAAGCAGAAACCATAGGTACCAAGAGTCTCATCAACTGTAAATTGAAGTACACCCGATCAAGCCGAGACGTCTCCCATCAATTCTCATAATGACTTTGTATGATACACATCCATTGTAAACGTCTTGTGCTCTGCCCCACCATGCTGACCTTCTATAACCCTGAAATTTCCTATTGATCCAAACGAGTTGGGAATGTTCCATTTTCTGTGTTATTCCACGTTAGCCAATCTTCCTTTTCTCTTCCCCTCAAAGCCTAATACTAACCACGTTGATCATCCCATCTCTCAACCCAGGCACTAGGGCACAAAGACTTATAAGCCAAGAAAAACTGTCCTCCTATTAGTATATATGTCCCTCGTAACTAGTCGCAAAACATACTTGACGGCATGGAGCGAAATCCTCGCCCTTGGCTAGGATACACTTGTGGTAATCGACATAGTTTTGCCAGCAATGTTTAGTCTGGTTCTGGTTGGGAAATCGAGCATCGAATCCTATATCCTACAATTAGTTCCCCATCACCTTGTAATCGTCGCCGTATTCAGAATCGCATACCAGCTATTAAAAATCCATAGTTAGCAATCAGACCACACCATCTTTAAATATCCTAACAGTGGGCGGGCCTCCGGGTAGCACATACCAGTAACGAACTTGAAGGGCTTAGTCTCGCGTTCTTCAGACATGATTGCGTATTTATAATCTGGCGATCACAAGATTTTGGAGAGGAGATGGTGGTGGTGGTGGTTCAATGGGGCCGAATGATGTGAGGTTAATTGGAATGGGGAGTTGCACTTTCTCACTTCGGGACGAGGTCGGCTATTCTTGAGCTCGCTAGTGTGGAAATGCAGGTCCTCCAAAACCTCAGACCACGGAAGTTCAGTGTAATTACATGAGAAAGACTTGAAGATTGAACAACGGTTCAAGATGCATCCTACTACCGTTACTAGAATGTTCCAACCGACCAAGAAGATGTGGTCGCCTGTTCCGGCAAGTTTATCTGTTGTTGATTTGGAAGTCTGAGAGTGGGAGGGCTAATGTTTTTTTTTGGCTTTACAGAAGGAGGAGCATAGCGGTACGTTTACCCCACGGTTGCATAGTTGGAAATATAGAGGGGAAGGATGGAATATCGACTAGAGCATATATTCTTGGTAGATGGGAGCCGACACTGATACGAAAGCCCATAGCTCACACTATCTCGCAACGATTGCGCCAATGGAAGAAGATTCCTCCCGAGTTGGTTCCTTTGGGTAGGTTTAGTATTCTCGCCGGAACATCACCAGGACTTGCACTGATATCAATGAAGGAATTGTCGTCGGGGTCGCTGTTGGATTCGCCTTTTACTCTTTGGGCCGCAAACTTGTTGTTGACAAGCAAATGCGTCTCTCTCGTCAAAACAGAAAGGACTGAACTATCGATCCACGAGATTTTGGAGGAACGTAATCAAATTGATCGGAATGAGGGAAAAGTTTACACTTTGATACGGGGAGAAACACGCCCGGGGGATGAGTGGAATGAAGGAATTGGAACGGATGGGTCGGCCAAACCTCAAATGAGTTGTACAGAATTGGCCCTTATTTCTCATGAATACAAAGTTTCTATACCTGATGTTCCCATGCTTTACCAAATCCACCTTATGGCTTCAAAAGCATTGATACGTTGTCTTCCTACCAGTTGAACTCCTTTTGCTTTACCCCCAAAAAACTCCTTAGTGACACATTTCATATCCCTATCCTATGAACACAGCTTTCCTTTAAGCTAGCTTCGGTCCCGCTACATCCAACCCTTCTAGACCTTGCATAGGATCATCAGGTCTATCATGAATTCCGGCTCTTGCTATTTCAGCTGCCTGTTTGTCCTCCTCGCTCACAGCATTCTCTGCTAACCATCCCTCCTAAATCAAAATTAGTACCTTGTCATGGATGATGTCACCCATCACAGAAAAGGATGACGTGAATCCTTACCTGTTCCCACAAAGCCGTTTTGCTTCCCAATCCCTCGTTCGCATTCTTTGGAGGCTTAGCCGCATTAACTTTGATCACCTTGCCAAAAAGTTCAGATTGGTCCATGTTGTCGATAGCATCTTTGGTATCTTCTGGATCCTCAAACTCTACATATCCAAAACCTCGATGTGGCTCTGTTGAGTTGGGTCCTTCTGCTTTACTAAGAAAATAGATTAGTATGAGAGTCGAGATCTGAGGTATGAGACTTACGGGATAGAGACATCTGCTATTTCTCCAAAAGGTAAAAATGCGGCTTCGAGATTTGCGGTTGTTACCATGTGTGATAGGCCACCAACATAAACGGTAGCTTTCCAACGAGCTTGATCAGTCATCCTGTAGCTTGCTTGGAATCAATTTCTGATGATTTAAATAAATCTTCCGTGTATATGAAGCATCTAAATGTCATTCACATATCAAGAAAGAAGGAGCTTTCGATCACGTGTCAGACGTTTTTTCAAGGTTCACAATCTTGCCGGGCGGTGATATCGCTCAGACCAATTGATTATGGGGAAAGGTGTTCACAGTGTTCATTGTCCAAAACAACACATTGAAATCTTCAGGTACCTTTTACGAATCTCTTTCAATACAATTTCTCAATTTCTTTTTTTTCGGTAAAGCCAAAAAAAATTCGGCTGAAAAGGCAAGCTGCAGCTTTCTGCAGTGTAATCTGGCTTGTTCATACAGAATAAAGCATAAATAGAGACGGGACAATGGTCCGTCTACGGGAAATCCCAAGGACAGCGGCGTTTGCCTGGTCCCCAGGTTCAGAGGCCCCTTTAGTGGTTACAGGGACGAGAGCTGGTGCCGTAGATGCAGATTTCTCTGATGAGACGAAGCTGGAGCTCTGGGACTTGAGCTTGGATAATACAGAGCAGGGTGTGGAATTACAACCTATTGCTAGTATTAGCACAGATTCTAGGTACGCAGAATTATATCGAGCTTGGGGCATATGAGGCTGTGTAAGCTAATTTATCTGGCTCTTAGATTTCACGACATTGCATGGGCACCAGCGAATGCAGACCATCCGCGGGGCATAATCGCAGGCGCACTCGAGAATGGATCTTTAGATTTATGGGATGCAGAGAAACTTATACAAGGAGCTGAGGATGCTTTTATGTCCAGAACGACGAAACATACGGGCGCTATCAAGTCTCTTCAGTTCAACCCATTGAAGCCACAAATCCTAGCTACTGCAGGCTCCAAGGGAGAGTTATTCATCTACGACGTGAACGACATCTCGAACCCATTTAGGCTGGGTACAGCCGCAGCAAGATCAGATGATCTCGAATGCGTGGCATGGAATAGAAAGGTTCCCCATATTCTAGCAACTGGTGGAAGTGGAGGATACGTCACAGTCTGGGATTTGAAAACCAAGAAGGCTTCTTTACAATTGAGCAACAATCGCAAAGCAGTAGGAGCAATTGCATGGGATCCGAACAATGCGACAAAGCTCTTGACTGCTACGCCTGACGATTCTTCACCAGTCATTCTTTTGTGGGATCTTCGAAATTCAAATGCGCCTGAGAGGACATTACAAGGGCATATCCAAGGAATTTTGTCCTTGTCTTGGTGTCAGCAAGATGCCGATCTTTTGATATCTTGCGGCAAGGATAATAGAACTCTAATCTGGAATCCTCAAACTGGGGAGCAATACGGAGAATTCCCAGAGGTTACCAATTGGACCTTCCAAACTAGGTTCAATCCACACAACCCCGCATTATCTGCCACCGCGTCCTTCGATGGTAAGATAGCTATCCAAACCTTACAAAACACAAATCCTACCGCATCCCAAGCTCCAGTTGCAGGACCTGTGGATGGCGAGGACTTTTTCACCAAAGCCCAAACTGAACCTCAGGGAGCTTCATTCACGTTGAATAAAGCCCCTAAGTGGCTGGAACGACCAGTTGGAGCTTCTTTCGGATTTGGTGGTAAGTTGGTGAGCTTTAGCTTGTTGTCAGCTGCAGCAGGAAAGCCTAGACCCTCTAAGATTCAAATCTCTCAATTCACGGTCGATTCGGACGTAGGGTCTGCTACCGAGTCTTTCGAAAATGCCCTCAAGGCCGGGGATATCAAGAGTATTTGCGAAACTCACATAGATCAAGCCAAGACTGAGGAAGAGAAAGCAGACTGGAAAGTAATTGAGACATTAATTGCGGCAAACCCCCGAAAACAAGTTACTGAATTCCTTGGCTTCTCTGATGTTGATGAGGTCACGAATGGTGTGTCAGAACTCGGCGTGGAAGATGGCGAAAAGTTAGAAGAAGCTCCAGCTGATGCCAACGGCGAAGCCGCGAAGAATAATAGATTATCGACGCTTTTCGATGGTGCCGAAGGGGATGACTTTTTAACTGATATCGCTGCAAATAAGGGAGCCAAGACGGATAATCCTTTCCATTTATTCGCTGAATCGGACTCGGCCTCGGAAAAACAAATTACCAAAGCTTTAATGCTTGGCCAATTCGAAAAAGCGATGACTGTTTGCCTTAAGGAGGATCGTATTGCTGATGCTTTCATCATTGCCAATTGTGGCGGAAAGGAGTTGTTAGACAAAGCTCAGGCGGCGTACTTAGCCAAAAAGACAGAAGGACCCAACTACTTACGACTTCTGACCTCAGTGATTGGTAAAAACTTATGGGATATTGTATACAATGCTGACCTCGAGAACTGGAAAGAGTCGATGGCAACACTATGCACATATGCCGACCCAGCTCAGTTCCCAGATCTCTGTGAGGCACTTGGTGATAGACTCTTGGATTTTGGTAGCGCAAAGGATGCTTCATTTTGTTTCTTAGTTGGTTCAAAATTGGAGAAGGTCATCAGCATCTGGATTTCTGAACTCCAAGAGAACGAGAAGCATGGCATTGAAGAACAGGAAGGGGATTCTACATTCTCTGTACATGCAAAGTCACTCCAGAACTTTATCGAGAAAGTCACGGTGTTCCGAGCTGTCACCAAGTTCCAGGATACAGAGCAAAGTTTGGCATCGGACTGGAAGTTGGCAGCTTTGTACGACAAATATACAGAGTATGCTGATATTGTTGCCGCTCATGGACATCTTTCTATTGCTGAGAGATATCTTGATCTGCTTCCTGCGCAATACCCTGCTGCCGAGGTTGCACGAGACCGAGTTAGGCGTGCATCAAGAACAGTCGCCCCTGCTGCTGCCGCTAGACAACCTGCCGCAAGCTCAAGGGTTCCCGCACGTGCTCAACCAGCCACATATCAACAACCCATTCCTGCTGCTGTGGCACCTCCAGCTCAATCTGCTCCAAATCCATATGCTCCGCCTGCAGCTGCTGCACCTGCTTCTAATCCCTACGCACCTCCAACAAGTGCCTACGCACCACAAGGTTATCAGCCACCACAATCATCTCAACCAGCTTATGCACCTTCTTACGGAGCATATGGGGCATATGGAGCGGCCCCAGCAGGTTATGGTGCACCCCAACAATCATTTGGAGCTCCCGCCCCTCCAAGAAACACAACTCCATCAGCTCCACCTCCATCCAAAGCTAAAGATATGACAAATTGGAACGACATACCTTTCGTAACAAAGATGCCTACTGCTAGAAGAAGTACCCCTGTTACCAATCCATTCCTCAACCAACAAGGTGCTTCGATGCCACCTCCAGAAAATCCATATGGTGCTCCCAGAGCAACACCTCCGCCCCCACCTCCTAAGGGGTCAGCCCCGCCCCGTGTTAGTTCGCCATTGACAACTGCACCACCTCCTAGACCGTCCTCCACGGCCAATGCATACACTCCACAAGCACCCCCTTCTCAATCACCATATGCATCAATACCACCACCTACAATTCCTCGTGGAGCGTCTCCGTATAACTCTCCACCTTCTGGGGCTGCACCAACAAGCAGATACGCTCCAGCTCCAGCAGCACAACAGTACTCTCAACCGCCTCTTTCAAATGTCGCCCCACCTCATCAGGGAGGTATGAGGCCACCTCCATCCAACGCATATGCACCGCCATCAGCCGCACCATCTAGCCAGTACGCGCCATCTCAATCACCGTATGAAAGCCAACCTCCACCTGCTCAATTCCAAAATCAAGGTCCTCCTCAAAGCCAACCGCAAGGCCCACTACAAGGTCCTCCACAAGGTCCTCCAATGGGTGGCTCTCGACCACCGACTGGGCCTCCTAAGGCGCCTGCTGTGGCAGCTTCACCAGCAAAGCCTAGACACCCTGCCGGTGATCGATCACACATTCCCGCATCTGCGCAAACAATGGTCGAAATTTTCACCAATGATATGCAAAGGGTAGCTTCGAAAGCTCCAGCAAATTTTGCCCCGCAAGTGAAAGATACCCAAAAGCGTCTCAACATTTTGTTTGATCACTTGAACAATGAGGAACTTGTGAAGGCTGATACTATTGAGAAATTGACGCAGTTGGCTGAAGCACTTCAATCTGGCAATTATGATGCAGCAAGCAGGTTGCAAGTTGACATTCAACGTGAAAAGACTGATGAGTGTGGTAATTGGATGGTAAGTTCTTACATTTATCTTATTTTAGTAGAAACGTATACTAATTTATGATCAATATAGGTCGGTGTCAAACGACTAGTTAGTATGAGCAAGGTCACTCCTTAGAGGGGAAGGGAATATTTTATTTGAGAACTAAAATTAGAGATGATGATTGAGAAGAGAGCGCAGCACATGTGTATACTAAAGAAATAGTGCTAGATCAAGAACTTGTTCTTTATAATACTGCTTTGTTATCTTTGAATGTAGAATGATACCTATGATTGTAACCGAAGTGGAAATATTGTCTGTCCTATTCAAGAAGTGGTGAACGTGGTGCCAATCAAATTGGTTGATGGACCAATACAATACGTATGTGTCATTGAATATCTACTCCTGAATATATAAATGGTGGTTACCATGAAATAATTGTAAAAGCTTATATAATCTAATATATTAAATGTATCATTAAGATTGTCTTGACTCTAATTCAAAATCGAGTCATCGAATGGTGAACGCTATACAACAATCAACCACCTAGCTGTTGGTGGTCTTTGACATTCCCTAGCTCTCCCGGCTAAAAAATTCCCAGCTGTTGAGCTCGGAACCCAACAGCTACATCATCAAAACTGCCAGAGTAATCATCACACCATCACAACAAAAATTAAATCTGAGATGGCGGAACCAGCTGCAGAGACACCAACTGCGGAGACACCGGCTCAAAGACAAGCTCGCATCAGAAAGGAAAAGAGAGAGGCGAAGATTAGAGATGGAGGAAATGCGAGGTTAAATAAAATTATCGGCTTGGGGGGTGGTTTGCCTAGAGGTATGTGTGTGTTTTTTTTATGAATATTTTCTATTTGGAAAATGTTTGATATCTTTTGGGATGTAATGAGTGAAGTTAAATAATATTTAGATGAAGTTCCATCTCCATCGCCATTTCAAAAATCGAATAAAGATACAGACCATGCGGATCCAGATGAAGTAGATATTTCGAATCATTATTATGAGCCACAAACCCGCACACCGATCCATAGGTCTCAAAGTGCTGGGCAGCAGCAGATAGATGATGATACGTTGAGACAGATGATGCTGGGTATGGATCCAGGCTCTTTGGGTGGTGAAATGGGACAAAATCCCTATGGAGGTGCTCCAGGTCAAAACCCTTTCGCAGGTTTCCCAGGTATGAGCGGCGCACCAGGTGGAGAAGCCGCAAACGATCCCATGATGCAACTGCTACAACAAATGATGGGGGGAATGGGAGGACCACCGGGTGAAGGACAAGCGGGCGTGCCTTCATTTCCAGGTATGCCAGGTATGCCCGGGATGGGCATGCAAGGACAAGCTGAAGCCGCTGCTATCGACCCTTACGCCTATATTTGGCGCGTGGTTCATGCTGTTTTCGCATTATCGCTTGGGTTGTACATAGCACTTACGACATCATTCACCGGCACGAAATATGCGCGCGAGGCGTCGGGTTTGATGAATGATGGGCTGAGCGAGGATAGTGTGCATTTCTTTTGGATTTTTGCAACGGCGGAAGTGGTGTTGTTGACTAGTAGGTTTTATTTGGAGAAGGGGGGTTCTATGCCTGCCGGCATGATGGGGACGGTGATGGGATTTTTGCCGGAACCGTGGAAAGGGTATTTGGGGTTGGTAATTAGGTATGGACGGATTTGGGGGACGGTTAGTGGAGACGCTATGGTTTGTGTTTTTGTGTTGGGAGTTTGTGCGTGGTTGAGGGGTGGGAATTAGTGGTTTTAGGTCTCATTAGGTACTGTGGATTGGTAATTATGATTCTATAACGACTGGCTTTATGACCAAGATCAAAAATTCTTCTTGTCAGCTCCGCTCAGTGATTTATGAAATTGACCAGTCTGGCTTATCGACTGGAATGATTGTCCGACGAAGTGTGAATAAAACGTCTCTTCTTACTAACCGCTGGCTGTGCCTAAGAGTTATATCTACAAGTGTTAGAGACAGTACTTTTGTATAGTCAAACTACGGGCGTGAGCAAAGGAGGGTTTCTTGAAGGACTCAGTCTTGTCGATAAAAATCAGCGCGCAATTATGCTGTATCCTTACCGCCGAGTGACGGTGAGCGAATGGCACAGTTAAGTCCAAAGGTATTCCTCAGCCAGAAGACTGGGATTTGATTCTAGAGTTGCTGGTGAATTGTATAGTAATGGTGAGGTCAAAAGCGAGGAGAGAAGGAGACGAGGAGAGGGCTTCTTGGTGCCGTTAGAAGGGGTCGTATGAGGGAGTGAGGATGTGGGTGTGGGTGTGGGTGTGTTTTGGCCATTTGTGGGAGGCTGTGTGAGATGAGATGAGATGATTTGGTATTGAATGGAAGTTTGATGGGGATGTGGTTGGGAGGAATCTGCATCTACTTGGTTTACAGGAATTGTGTACCGAAAGCTTCAATCCTCATTCATTGTTATGTTATTCTGGTGTTGTGCCTCGGATCATTTTTTACTTGCATCGAAAATGGTTCGTCATACTGCTATAATCACACTCATCAAATGCATAAATGTTGGCAATCGATATCAACACATTATATTCCTGTTTTAAAGGCAACGCTCAGTGCTCCCAATGACTACGTACACAGCAATTCCCTTTGCCACACAATTACTTGTTCCTATGTTTACAATTCTTCACATGTCTTGCAAAATTATCCTTCCTTGGGAACCCTTTGCCTTTAGCTCTTGAGTGCTTACAGCTTTCCGAAGGACAGAAATATCTTTCAGCACCAGGCATGAGTTCGGGATGTATGTCTGCAACATGGCGGTCCCGATCCTTGCGATACCGGAAACCGAGTGATTTGCACGAGGGTCTTGGACATTTGAAAGGGAGGGTGTGTGATTTCTTGTGGACGCTGAGGTTGGAAATTAGCATTTTGAATAGCAATAGCAATATAGAAAAAAGTTGACACTAACTTCAGGTCACAGGCACGTGCAAATGTTTTTTGACATTCTGGACAAGTAGGATTGTTGGCAGTAGAGGATGGCTGAGCAATTGGTTGGGGTTCTGGTTGTTGAGGCGAATTTGAAGCAATAGGATGATGATGTTGGAATTGCTCGACATGAGGAATAGAGGCTGGTGGGTTTGGGTAGGGACAGTCTCCGATTTGACCTTCAACGGGTCCTTCGAAATATTCGATAGGCTGATCACAATACGCGTCTAGCGCAGGTAGATCTGGGAAGGTATTGTAAGGAGTGTAAGGCAGAGGATCGAAACTTCGCGAGCTGCAGTCTTGAACAAGAGAGTCTTCATTGGCATTAAATTGTCCGTGTGCTTCCTGAGCATCAACAGCAGGACTCGGCTCGAAACAAGAAGGAACAGGATATGTCCTGAGATCTAAAAGGCTGGGATCGATAAAGTCAAAATGAAGTGGTAGATAGTTTTCGTTTTCTTTCCCAGCAGTGTAGTCAGAGAAGATAGGTTCTATTCGCCTTGGGCCTCCTGGATCGTAACGGAGGCCCTTGAGATAGGGTTAAAAAAAGTGCAAATGATCGGAAAAGATGCTCAAAACAAGGCAAGAAGACCCTAAGGAGTGAATATGCAGGACAAAAAAGAGTGAGGAGTGACAGCGCCGCCTCTCGCGCCGTGGAGAGAAAAGAAGAAAAGAAAAAGGAAAGAAATTGGGGAATTCGAGGGTTTAAATGATGGTCGCTTGGTTCCTACGTCTGTAGGAAGCGAAACTGTGCATCCAATGATCGTCAAGTATTTTCTATCCCCTGCTTGTAGGCCTCAAAAAATCAAACGCTCCAATCACGAGCGGTTATTCAAAAATTATGGAATCCTCGATGTTGGAAAACACCAATTCGAATCTCATTGTGCATACTCTTGCGGATGAGGGTCACCCCAAGAAGTGTGATAGGTGGCCTCAAATTTACTGCTACCAATTGCATTCCCTCGCATGCTGTCTCCGGGATAGTTTTCGGAGAAGACTGCATATGATTCCATGCTAAATACGGGATATTCACAGGACAAACGCAGGTTGCATACATAGTAGGCCTCATTTTCATGTGCCTTCCAATCAATACTCGTTTTTGCTGAAGATGGTACAATATCTTGTTTCAAAACAGCTCACCGTCTAATGGTGCAATCTGCAGTTAGCCCCAAATACTTGATTACTAGATTATGTTGCATGCCGTGGGGGTGAGGTTTTCCGGCAGCCATTGGCAACAGAGGAAGTGACTCCTCATTTGTGTGAGGGAGGCCTTAGGTGTCCAAGTCTTGGTGCTTTGGAGTCTTTTTTGCTTGATGTATTGATTATCTAGTGCTTTTATCATCTGGCAAACGCTTGCATTTAGATTCAAGTCTTTCCAGCTTCTAGCATCTGGAATTCTCATTTAGTAAATTTTTGACAACAAGCGCTTCCCGGCCTCTCTTGGTAGCCCTGTGGCTGTATTAACCATCACACTAATCCATCATCGTACTACGAACAGAATCATACATCCTTCAATCCCATTCAACCTACTCGACCCCATCAACCTACTCGTCCCCATCTATTCTCTGAATCCTACATCATGACCACTCTCTTCTGCGCGACTCTCCCAAGCCTTTCCGTCCCCAGCAACTCCTCCATCAACGGAAGTTCACAGACTTCAAGACTTGGGCCGACTACCAACGATCATCTTCCATCACTACCTCCGACCACTCAGAAGACGACTCAAACCCCATCACTTCCACAACACCATACGCCGTACAGTTTGTTCGACAAGTCAACTACGGTCCCCTTGAATCAAAACGCTACTTCATCCCCAGTGAGAATTTCCCCGGGGGATTTCATCGAGATGACCGAACAACATCTTATCGTAGCCAATTATCAGAAATTGAACTCATAAGTAATTAACTTGTCTTTCATTGTGTTTTGATGCTCAGCATTCATGTTCATTACGATTAGCAGCGATATTGTATATGTGATGTGAGTAGACTCCAGCCAGTTAATAAGTAAACAGATACAAAAACTTCAAATGTACTCCGCATAACAAATTTTTTGAAGTTAGTCTGTACCAGAAGGATCTGGTAAATGCACATCACTAGCGTGTGAGTATTGCGCGGCCAGCTGGAGATGTTGATCTTGATGGAAATAAATGCTGAATGTGAAAACTTAGGAAGTGAGGAAGTGATACTATTGTCTAGAAGTCTGGACAAGTGGGCCATGTTGGGACATGTTGGTATCGTGTTGGTGATATTTCATACTGATGATATGGAAAGAGATTATTTGCTTTTTAGTTTTATGGTTTGTGAGCTTTCATCCTTAATTATGCGATCAAACACAAAAGTTGGACTTGCATGGAGACTGGGGATCTTTGATTGGGGTTGGCTTTCGTGCTTAGCTTGGTACTTGGTATGTTGTGACTCGATTCATGTTTAAATATTATAGATGCTATTCTAGTACGACGTGTACTGTAAGAAGCATTCGAATATATCTCATCCATTCGCGTGCCCATTTTTTAAGATTCCTGTAGACCGGAACATACATATTCATATTCATCAGGCCATGTAGTCGCCATTCGGTTATCACATAATGCGTGAATTAGGATTCTATGCTTTCTCGGGCATATTAGACACATGATACGATACATACAACAAAATTTTACGGAGCACAACATATCTAGGATTCATGACAGAAGCTCTTCTCTCTTTTAACTACATTCTTCCAATTCACTTCCAAACCACTCATTCCCTACGTAAGACACTCAAACAAAATAGCACTAACCCACCTCCCCATTGCTGGCAAAATCTTCGAACTCGACGACAGAACCGGATATGTCTATATACATCCCTGCCACCGCCCCAAATCCCACGTCTCCTTTGCCTTAATTATGGATTTCCAAGTTCAAGTTATAAATGTCGCTATCAAATTTCCTACAAAAGGATTAGGATTCGGTGTCTTTGTATAGGACTTACTTGGGTATGGACATGCTATAAACCTAGTTATCTGAATCGGTATAAGAAGAAGCACATAGCAGTGTATTCACTACAGAATATGTATTATTCGGAGCTGGAAGTCGGAAAAGTAGTTAGGGTGGATCATGATTTGTAGAATAGATTTTTTCTCAATCTCCTACATTCTTCTTAAAAGGTTAAGCTCGATGCCGTACTTAGATTATCTTTGAATGCTCTTGGTGTGTATACACAGAGGGAAAAATATTAATAAGGTGGTAAAATTAGGATCAAGTAGTTTGACGTATAGAAGTAGCATGGTACCGAACAACACTGACAAGAGAAGATGGCATAGATTAAAACGATGCAAGAATGGATGCGTGACCATTATCTCTTCCATTTCACTCAATACATTGATAACAAAAATTAAAAACATCAAATCATCAATAACTTTGCCCCTCCAAGAACTTCCCAACTTCCTTCGCCAATATCTCGTGTGTATGGTAGGTGATATGTCCGGTGTTGTACCAGAAATATTCTGGGATTGGTTGACACCCGTAGGCTGCGTAGTTTGCTGATTTGCTGTTAGCTAGGGTAATTCCTCTCTTATTTTGATTTCTATCGTTATCTATTCCACTCCATTTTCTTTTGTTTGTTCTCTGCCCCTGCCTCGAGAAATCAAAAAAGGTGTAGAACTTACTCGCAATATCAGGTGCATCATATCTAGGGCAGTAGTTTGTGATGTTTTTAATATTATAAGGAGCCGGATCATCAAGCACAGAAGAGAGGAAAGAAAAGGTATCAAAAACCATAGCCTTAGTTCCCGCATGTGTGGCTGCAAAGTTGAGAGCAGTAGCATTAAGGATGCTATTATAAGAGGTGAGCATGGTGATATTTGGACGAGGGCCGCCTGCACGGATAAGGTTGGGTGGCTTGAAGAAGTATATGTTAGCAACATGATCAAAATAGATACCACTAGGACTATGAGAACCTACGGTACGTTGCAAAGGTGGTAAGTTCATAAAAAGGTAATTGCGGAATCCAGCTTTATAAATAGTTTCAATGGCTGCAAATTCGGCCGAGATGATATGTGTGTAGAGGGAGGGGTAGTCCGTCGAGTTATACGATGGAAAGGTGTAGGAATCGGTGTCGCCGATATCGTTTATTCCTATAAAGACGGTAACTAATGTTTTGGATGGATCCATTGGCACGACTGGGAGTGCATAAGTTGACCATTGTAATATTTGGTTCTCGAGAGAAACCGTGTAATTATGGTGTAACTTCGTACTATTTGGAATTAGTAAACTCCCGAATTAATTGAGAGGAACTTACTAAGTTTCAGAGACATCTGAGCCAGCAAAGGCGAAATCCCATAATTGTTTCGTGCATTTTGATGGGTGCCCGGAGAAACATGATGTGAGGTATTCTACCCAATTTGGCCCTCCCGCAGACGTTCCAAGCTGATTCCCAACGTTAATTTTTTATACAACGTTTAAATACACGGGATAAATACCTGGTTTTGGACGATCTGATTACTCAAGATTTGAGCGGGAGTGTATGAGAAATTTGCAAGGTCCCCGATGAAGGAGTAGTTTTGTAATCCATATGTTCCTTGCACATAGGTGTACGAATCACCGAATGCGAGACTATCATGAAATTTTGGTTAGAGCTTAGATCTAAGTCATTGTGGTTCCTCGTAAAGATGACTTCCTCCGCTGCTTCAAGCGGTGAACCCGAAATTCCGATTCAGAGATATTTGACTTCACTCACAAGTACTCAGTATCATCCCAACTGAAGGAAGATTTGGCATCTATCGTGGGAAGCGCCGAAACAGCTCTTGACCCGAGAAGAAAATAAACAACATTGAGAGACTTCATGTTGAAGCTTAAGACTGGAATAACGTAGATTTATTGAGATTGCCAAAACTTTCGAATCCATGCACGATGTCTCTTCCCCAAGTATTTATAAGAATCTTTATCAGTCCTCGGTACCACTTTTATTTCCTCTCCGGAATATCCACCGCTTAGCAATTCTCTCTTCCCCAACGTACGATCATCATTATTCGCTGAAGATATTTCCCGAAGCTTTGACTACAGGATGCATGCCCGTTTGAATTAACGAGGTTGGAAATGCGGTGAAGTACCGAGCGTGATATAACGTTTTATGAGGTGTGCGAATAATACTATAGAATCTTTATTAAAACTCGATGACTCGGTAATCAGGAGACGAAATAATATATAATATTAAATATAAAGATATTGACTTTTATACTCTCAAAGGTATAGATTCATTAATTATTATTGAATTTTATTTTACTTTTGAATTAAAGATTTATATTAACTTTTTAAATATATATTTCAAAATTTGAGTCTGAATTCTTATTTCTAAATATTAAATAAATTAAATAAATCTGATTTATTAACTTTATTTGAGATCGGAATCTATATTTACAAGATGCACCGAAAGTTAAAAAGTTGTTATGTTATCGTTGATTACTAATTCGAATCCGAGAATTCCTTGTAAATGAGGAGCCGGGATGTGGGGTAAGGGGCTATAAGTACCGGAGGACCGGGAACTTCTACAAGATTATAAAAGCCCACCCGCGGAGCCGGCGGAGTTCTGCACCGCCTACACACAAAGTAGCCCGGTTCCTCATTTTATGACGACCTCCTTGCAATTGGATCATAATTGTATAGTCCAAAAAAGATTTTGTGAAAAAATTGTGTCGGTACATCATGTGATTACCGTACAGAAAGGAGGCCGTACAACAAGCGGGCTCTAGTTTACCTCTTCATTATTACGGGAGTGATACCAACAGATTGACTGTCAACACCCGATCCAAACAGCCAATAGCTTGACCAGACAGTCACAGAGAGACCTTGAATCTGCGTAAATGATTAAGGATATTGGTTTTGCTATGTAATGTCCTGTCGATTGTTCCTTTAATTTGATTGCAGTGCTAACACCAAATCCGAGATCCACTTCATATAACTCTGCTGTTAGCTTTATTGTCCTTGTCGATGAGTCTAATGACGTAGCCAATTTGTGAAGAATCTCGACTGTTAGCGAGGGTTGTATTTTTGAAGACAATTTGGGATCTTTTGTCGATTTGCCATTGTAAAGGTCCCTTAACTGCTTTTGCATCGTTCTCTCGAGGATTGATAATCTAAGTAGCAAGAGAGATCGAGAGTAGCTTTTGGTTGACAAACAGTGGCGAGAGGTGTTCTCCAGGCTCGTTGAGCGATGTATTGATCCTTGGGCCTTGGAAAACTTGAAGATTTTCCTTCGTTACGAGATAGTTAGTTTCTTAATCGAATATTAGCACATTGCTGCTCTCATTTTAGATCGATTATATTGTTGTTATTAGTTTGCCGTTGAATTTGGGTGGTGAATTTAGGTGGTGTTGCAATAGCCAGTTCTTCTCGATTCCTTACAAGTATTTTATTAGCTGTTGGTAGGCCTCCAGTGCAAAGAAAGTGTAGAAAATCATAGTGATAAAACAGTGAGGCTATTTATATAACCTTCGCCACCATGGAGTTCTTTCGATCTCTTTGCGTAAGATAACATCTTTATTTAGGCGATAAATTACGCAGCATTTACGATGGTCCAATAAGGGTTCTGTCAGTGTAAAGGCCATCGCTTAGGAGGGTTGAACATGCCTCAAGGGCGCGTGGTAACCAACGTTAGCCTTTTTTAGCTTGTGTTCAAATTTTTCGTCTACACTATGGCACTTTAGTACCTCAGTTTACATCTTGGCTAGATTTTCTGGTTCTCTTACAATTCCTGGCCGTGGGTGGTAATGTGTTCCGGCGGCTGATTGTGTCATTGGCTGCATGTATTTTAGAAGTGGGTTGAAGACTTGAAGCGGAGGTGGGATGGCCAGGCTAATAGGTGGATTGGAGTTGGTGGGTATATCGACAGGGTAGATCGACAGGTGGTGAATTGACAGCTGAATTGGCAGGTGGGATTGATTTGCTGTTTGACTCCACTTGGGAAGTTTGTCGAGGAGTCGAGGGTCGCTTCCTGATTCGATGATTCCGATTGACTTAGTCGCGCTTTGGTTATAGTTGTAGTTATCTTGTCGATTCAGTACGCTTGCCGCTTTCCCTTTCGTTTTCGTTTTTGGTTTGTTCTTTAGAGCCTCAATTATGCATGGTATCTAGCATTTGGCATGGGCTACTTCGTAAGTTTCAGATCCTTTTTTATTCACCCACCCATAGACCCGTGGGTAGCAGCTGCCGCCTCTTTTGAAGGTGATGCCTGCTAATCATGGCAAAGTGTTAAGTTTGAAGAGAATAGATCTGAAGTAAAGACTTCCCATAGGTCATTACCACGGATCTTTCGTCGACAAGCAGCGCTATGCACCATTCGAAGATAGCCGAAGTTCGCATGAAATAAGAACTATTCAGGCGAACGACGAAGAGGGTAGCCCATGATATCGAAAACGACAAAGACCTGAACTATTTAGCGGAGCATTACCTTGGGCTACCTACTTAATTACTTGACTTGATTTGGGAAAGGAGATAACAATTTAATATCGGTATCTGATCCCAGGCGATTTTACTGGATAAGGCTATAGTGGGTATTATTTGATAAGTAATTGAGGTGTGTGAACGGTAGTTCATGGCGGGGCATTAGAATCTTTTCAGAGGGAGATCAGGACATCGGGGTCCGCTCTGCTTCCATATACATCATAAAAAAAAGTTCAAACAAATATATAAGGTTACTCCCTTGCAATTTTTTCTCACTTCCGATGCAATTGTGCAGTTTTAGGTCATTATTTCGAAGATATTGGTCAACCTGGGTGGACGTGGACTGGCAGATAGACTTATTTCAGCTCGTGCACATCCTACCTTGTATAGAGGAAGGGTGAACGTGGACAAATGGCAGACGGACTTTTTTTCAGCTCATGCACATACATCCTACTGAGTACAAGGGGAGTTGCAAGAGCTGTACCCTAAGAAAGCAAAATGTACTTACCTGAAGTACTTTTCGTTAATTTTGATCTTCCTGTAAGGATAAGTGGGCCTAAACTTGATCAAGTTTAACTAAAAATAATTTCTGTAAGTATATCAAATTATACTTCAATTTTGTAAATTTAAAACACTTCCTTGAAGAACAATTTTAAATTAAATGTTTTAATAATTATATAATTAAAATATTCTTATAATATAATAATAAAATAAATAAATTAAAAATTAAATTAATATATACTTCAAATATAAATTTTATTTCAAATTTAAAAAATTCAGTTTTTAAATACTTATTTAGTAAATTTATATACAGGATATTTTTTATATAATTACTAAGAACCTGTGCCCCCCGGATCCTTGGCTTTTCGAGACAATCTAATGAAACTTTAAAGTTTAAAAACTTTATAATAAATTTAAATATTGAATATATATCAAAGTACAAATAGAATATTGATTTGTTTTTAATAATTGAAAATTAAATTTTTTAATTTAAAATAATAATTGAAAATTAAATTTTTAATTTAAAATAATAATTGAAAATTAAATTTTTTAATTTAAAATAATAATTATAATATTATTTACTATTATTACTATTTTAAATAAAAATTTTAATTTTCAATTATCAAAACAAATTGAAATTCTGTCTACATTCTAATATATATTTAATATTTAAATTTATTATAAAGTTTTAAACTTTAAAGTTTCATTAGATTGTCTCGAAAAGCTCCAGGCCCTGATAATATAAAAAATATAATTGTAAAAAAAAAATTAATATAGAAAAGTAGAATTATTTATAATTATTTAAAAATAATTTTGATTTTATAAAGTTTTCAATTGATGATAAGAATATAGTAGGGCTACTTATAACTATATAATTTGTATCCTTATATGAATTATATATAGTGTTCTTACGGTAAGTGTATTTTGCTTCCTTAGGGGTAGCACATCGCCCCTTGGAATCAGCATAGATCAAATACACCTTTCGTTCGCTGATTTCGTCTTGGATAGCACTCTCCCCAAATCCTTATTTCACGATCTTCATAACCTTCTACGCTTCGTGCTGCCAGCACCAAAAGGCACTTCTCATTATTATGAAGACCATAGATACACCACACAACGACAATGATTCCTCGGCCGATAGCCCTTCCAACTCGGGAGATTCCATAGCCAAGAAATTGGAGAATGCAATCCGGAACAACCTCTTTGACGATGTAAAGAGAGCTTTGGACTCCAGAGATGATCTAGTTGAGATGCTTTTGGAATACGAGTTCACCCAGTACTGTAAAACTGAGACGCTCAAAGTCACTCCATTGGCTCTGGCATCAGTATTTAGTGAGCTTTCGATCGTCAATTTTCTTTTGGATCGAAATGCGACAGTAGATCAGACAGGGCCGCCGCTCTTTCTTACCCCATTACATTTTGCATCCATAAATGGCAGAAAAGATATAGTTGCCCGTATTTTAGAGGCACGCGCCGATCCTAGCTTGCAGGATAATGATGGCAATACGGCATTTCACCATGCTTCCCAATATGGCCATCTGGAGACCCTACAGATTCTTTACCAACAAGGTTCACGGGAGCATATTAATCAGGCGAACAAGCGTCACAATGCACCACTGCATCTAGCAAGTGGGTATGATCATCCCGAAACTGCAAAATGGTTGTTAGATTCGGGAGCAGCAATCAATCAGGCAGGAGAATCTGCGGCGACCCCGTTATCATTGGCGTGCGGGGGTGGATGCGTCAACACTGTTCGTATGCTTCTTGATAGAGGGGCTGACATTCACAAGAGAAACAATTATTCTTTCACCCCTATTCTACTTGTATGTTTAAATCCGCATCTAGAAATCTTCAAGATGCTCAGAGACCAAGGTGCACTGATTTCAGATGTTACGTCAAACAAAGATACCTGTTTTCACCAAATCATAGATAGTAGCCAGGGATTTACAAACGACTCCAAAGAAATCATCAACGGACTGATAGGTGGAGGCGGAAATATCAACCAGCCCAACATTCATGGCTGTCCACCTCTGCACTCTGCCTGCAGACAGGAAAAACTCAAATTTGTCGAGTACCTTATTAGGCTTGGTGCCGATGTCAACCAGGTTAGATCTCAAGGTAATATTACTGCTCTAATGGAAGCTTGTTGTCAGCAGGATAGTCGAATCACCAAAGTGCTCTTGCAATATAATGCCGATACTACAATAGCGAATAATCATGGAGTGACCGCCCTGACATTAGCCGTTTTTTTTGACCATCTGGAAAATGTGAAACTACTCATAAAAAATGGTGCGAACGCCGTAGTTCATGCTAAAGACGGAAGCACACCCGTTCAGGTCGCCATTAAGGAGAAAGGAAACGTTAAAACTGCGATTGAAGTCTTAGCTGCAAAAGAATACTACCCCCAAAATCCATCACAAAAATTCCATTACATGGAGCGCGCTGCCGATGTTCCCGAAATTGAAGCCGGACTACTGAAGGGCTTCGAAAGCGGTAAGTATGAGACACTGGAGCAGCTTTACATCCTCATGTATTGGGCAATCTCTAATGGTGCCCTCGAACTGGCTACTAAGTGCATTGATCACAATGAGCAAGTACTTCAATGGATCCGAGAAGGGGCTACTTGGCTTCACATAGCCTCCAAAAGCGGTACGCTTAAAGTCACACAGCTTCTCCTTGATAGGATGACGAATCAACAAGACCAGCCAGATCGACCAGACGAATTGGCGAAAGTTGAGTTCATCCTACAGCAGAATAGCCTGGGCGACTCACCTTTGACTATATGTATTGATCGAGGGCATCATCAACTGGAGGAAGAGTATTGGTCTAAAATTCGACAACTTCACACCTCTGGCAACAGTTTCGTAGAATCATACCCAGCTGTTGTAGATCGAATCCTCGAGTTACTAGCCACATATGAAAAGCCTGGGCATGAAACTATCTTGGGAGAATTTCTACACAAGGAAGGTGTCCAAAATTCAAAACACTTTACAACTCTCCATTGGGCAGTCTATGGATCTCAGGCCGTTGTGGTGTGGTGGTTATTGTCAAAGAACGGATACTCTTCCGACGACGTAAAGAGCGCCTTAAAGCTTGTACCAGACACACGTGTATCTCGTGACATCCGATCTCTGGTTCGCAAATTACTCGAGAACCCACCACCGGCTCTTGACCGCGTTGCAAACCCGAACAAAAATCACATACATAGATCTTCAAAACATGTAGACAAGATCGATGAGTTAGGGAGCATTGTTGACATTATTTCTGGTGGTCAAACTATCAAAATTCCATACGATAAGGCCAGTGTTTACGATATAATTTATGGAAAGGGTCCAGAGTCTATAATGAAGAAAGCCAGAAAAGATTTGCGCCAAAGGGATTTAGATTCACTGAAGAAGGCTTTGGGACAGACCCGTCTGGAGCAAGACAGGAGGAGCTATGCTTCTTGTTCAGGTGGTACTGCTGCTCAGTGCTCTAGTTCTCTGCGCCCGGTGGAGTCTACATCATCTGAGCATGACAAATATGACAACGAAGAATCTTCGGGTGACACTCCTCGTGATTTGCGTCTTCGTTGGATTCATCTCCCAGTCAATCAGGTAAGACTTTTTATTTCGCAAAACCACTAGCTCCCCAGTAGTGCTGATAAAAGGAAAAATTGATAGTTACATTTGATGCAAGTAAGTCGTATTAATGACCTTTTTTTTTAAACCACAAACCTCTTATGATATCTCTTTAAGGACCTCGTGAGTCGGCTATCGCATGATTCAAAGCGTTCGGAGACAGAATATATGGCTATAATGAAACACTTCAACAGAAGCTGGACCGCATTAGCAGCGGGCGCTGGACGCTATTATATGAAACCTCAATTTGTGGTATGTATTGCAAAACTACGTTCATAATGGTATTGAGAGCTCACCATCTTTTCCTTGGTAGCGCAAGCAGGAAAATGATACCCAAAATTTGGCCGGTGATTCAGGTGGCAATCAAGTACCAAGGAAATCCAACACTGGATTTTGCACGGCACTCTACGTATGTAGCTGCATAATTTCCTCTTTTGATAATGATGCAAGATATTTACCATTATCGTTAATAGATGCCATATCTTACTATAGGGACCTATATTTCCGGAGAGGATAAATCTGCCACCACTGCAAACCACTTAGATTCTGATAAATCTACCAAAGAACGCAACTCGAGAGAAGTTATACATGAGCCCATAACTCTCGATCAGTATTACTATCCAACTATTGCCAACACCTCTGCGAGAGACAATGATCAGGTACTGTCGAAATTCTTACAGAGTAAACGCAAACAACATGAAGGTGTTAAGCAACTGGGTAAGTTAAGTACTAAAACAATGATGGTGATTAAACTAACAACCACCCAGGCACAATGACCAAGAAGAAGATTCTCATAGTAAATCAGCTTTGGATTTGGATCATTGATGAGAGTATGATTGATGATGCCGATACAAATTTGCATGTCATCCAATTAATTTATGTTCAGAAACAATCATCACTGCCACATCAGAAAAGTTCAATCAGAATTCCTCACAAAGTATTCAACTTGATCCAAAATCCTCAGGCGGCCTCCTTCAAACTGCACTAAATAATATACTTAACGGCGAGGCCAAAGGCCGGTTTGAACGCGCTACAACTGCGCATTCCGTTATGGAGCTTCTCCTTGGGGCTGCGACCGGGTCTTTCATGGATCCTTCTGTGGAAATTTTCAACGAAAAATCGAAGGGGCCAATCGAGATATTTCGAGAGTCAATCAGGGATGTGGTCTGTACTGCACCCCCGTGAGAGAATGATAATAGTTTCGACTAACATAGTGTGGTAGGCCGACAAAGAAAATTCCCTGTTCCGAGATTTCCTCCGGGGTCTACACGAAGCAGAAAAAAAAAAGGGACAACTCCCCGATGAAGAGGTCGACCCCAATTCACCAGCGACTAGACCGGCATCTCTAAATCGATATCATGTTATCTCGTCTGAGACCGAACTTCTTGACATGATACGAGATATTCGTGACGAACTTCATATGCTAAGCTCTTTAGCAGAGGACCAAGAATTTGTTTGGAAGCAGGCTTTTGCTACTAATAATTTGATGAACTTGAACTTTTATACACCTACCGATATTAAAAAGGATCTGAAAAACATGCTCTCTGAAGCTGACAAAACCGAAAACTATGTCAGTATTACCCGTTACAAGGAATTTATTTTCTCAGCTAAATTCAACCAAGATCAATAACCTTCTCGATTTGCGACAGGCCGAATTTGGTCGATTACAAGCTTACGACTCCGCGAAACAATCCAACATTATCTTCATCTTCACTATCATCACTATTATTTTTGTAAGTCTTTATTGTCAGTTATCTCATCGGGGGAAAGGGTTACAAGCATAGCTAATGATCATACTTACCCATTAAGCTCCCTCTATCATTTCTCACGTCTCTGTTCGCACTAGACGTATCTGACTTTCCCCATGAATCCGGAAGCGTAAAGTACAAAGCATGGTGGTTATTCCCCATTCTCCGTAAGTACGTCTTGAAGCAGAGGCATTCCAACCGTTAACAAAATGAGTAGTTGGTGCGACGGCACTTGTCTCTATTCCGACTATCATTTTGGCATGGAATGTAAACGCTCTCTCGGGAAAGTTTCGACCGCGAAATAATATTGCCAGTGAATCTAGCGAAACATCTACGCGTGCGCAAAACGCGAAAAGAGGTCTGAGGGATCTTCGACGGAGAGCTCGGAAACAGGATAAACATGCTGTTTAATTATATAAGAGGTTCGTTAACGGGTAACCTCACTTGGGGGTAATGTAAAGAACCCAGCTTAGTACCAAGTTCTCTCTTAAGATCCTCTGTGTTGTTGAGTTTCATCACGTGAGCTTTCACCAGATTGGAGTTCTATTACGTGACCGCTTATAAGCGTTTCCCGCTAGTAACTCATGTGAGATCCGAAGTAGCTAACCTCGGGATATACACATACAATGCAGGTTACTTTCCTTATCAGATCTGATCTCGTCTCTATATCATCTCATCTTGTCCTTTCAGCTGTGATACATTCATTCATTCCTTCCCGGTAAAGATTTGACTCCTTTACAGCCATGGCCACAATCAACCGACAACTGCAGGAAAGAACGACTCTTACCGCTATGGCGTCATTGCCAATCAACCAATCTTAATGCCAAACTTTCCGCTATAGGACGAGAAGTTTCATTCCTCAGCGGAAATCGGAAATCGGCAACACGCATTCATCACTGCCAAGACCCGCAGGAATCCAAGACGAAATCTCATTCGTCAGATTCAGCCAAGTCTACTACGCAAGACAACCTCGCCACTAAACAAAGACTTAGCACGTGGGGTAAGTGATCACATAATATTTTATCATCCAATGAATTCTCGTCCTCTTCTTTCCTTACGATTTTCCACTCCGTTTCCGAGCGGCTTCCGAGCGGATTGTCTGAGGCGGGGAGGGCCAAGCCAAATCAAGTTAAACACGACATAAGCCAAGATACCTCGGCGCTTGGATTTCTATGATGTTATCCATACAAAGAGATTGTATATGTATAACTAAGAAAGCGCCACGAGTTCATGAGCTCATGGCTTTCATTTTGACATGTTTATCTCTGAGTATGTGACTCGAAAGCTCTTGGCTGTTCCGCCATTGTAGTTTTTGTATGACTTAAGGATAACTGTATGCCAATTCGGCAGGCAAGAACGACGTTTTGGATTTTCGGGAAGGAATATATAAGAATGTGTTACCCTGCCTTTTGTCTTCGGGTTTGGTTTTGGTATATTCACTAGATATCTCTATTATCGCAATTTGATTCCCTACTATTCCCTTGATTAGGAATAGATCGCTACATTCTTTTGTTTGACATACACACATATACAACCTTACACATATACAGCATACATACAATTAACATACACCCATACATTGTTTAGACCAGCGCACCTACAATGGCGTCGCAAGAGAAACCTTCCTATACCACCCGCCCGCATGCATTCCTCCTTAACCCCCAAGATGCCGCCGCTCAACTTTCTACCAACCTCGAAACGGGCCTCACAGCGCGACAAGTCCAAACTATTCAAGCGTCGCATCTACCGAATGAACTCAATACTGGCGGTTCCATATCCTGGTATAGAATCCTCCTCAAACAAATTTCCAATGCCATGATCCTCGTTCTCGTATTCGCTATGGCGCTTAGTTTCGGCGTAAGTGATTATATCGAAGGAGGAGTTTTGGTTGCCGTCATTACGTTGAATGTACTTATTGGATTCTTCCAAGAATTTAGCGCAGAGAAAAAAATGGATTCGCTGAGAGCGCTATCTTCACCATCGGCTTCGGTATTAAGGGATGGATCTGTGATTGTGGTCCCAAGTCCGGAGGTCGTGCCGGGAGATATTGTACTCCTGAAAATGGGCGATACGGTACCGGCAGATTTGCGCATTTTCGAAGCGATGAATTTAGCGTGTGAGGAAAAGAGTTTGACGGGTGAATCTGAACCAGTTGAGAAGATTACTTCGAATGGAATTTTTGTGCCGGGAACCGAAGAGAGAGCGACAACCGAAGAACAAGTTGGCATTGCCGATCGTAACAATATGGCATATTCTACCACGACGGTTATCAAGGGTCGTGGAAGGGGTATTGTCGTATTTACGGGTATGCAGACTGAAGTTGGAAAGATTGCGGCGTCGACTACCAAGAAACAGCGCAAGGATGGACGATCGATGAACTATAAAAAATATGGAAAAATCCAGCCGGTTAAGGGAGCTGCTAGACGTACTTACGATTTTGTTGGAAAGTTTTTAGGACTTACTGAAGGTACCCCATTGCAAAGAAAGTTAAGCAAGGTTGCGTATCTCCTCTTCGGATGTGCTATCTTATTAGCAATTGTGGTTTTTGGTGTGAATAGGTTCAATGTTACTGATGAAGTAGCTATTTATGCCATTTCCACAGGTATTGCTATTATTCCCGAATCATTGATTGCGCAAGTAAATCCTTTCTCATTTGATATATAACGTCTAACATCATCTCAGGGTTTTGACAATCACAATGGTTGTCGGTATGACCGTTATGCGTAAAGCCAATGTTGTCGTCCGTGATCTATCAGCACTCGAAGCACTTGGTGGAGTAACAAATATCTGCTCTGATAAAACAGGCACACTTACTCAAGGAGCTATGATCGTTAAGAAAGTATGGCTTCCTAAGGTTGGAATTTATACCGTGAACAACTCCATGGATCCCAATAATCCTACAGAAGGTACCGTCACTAAAGCAGCATTTACCTCTGAGGGTACCCAGGCTCCATCCTCTAGCGAGAACACTGCCATCGATTTCGATAATCAACGAAGTGCAGCTGCATTAAAATTTGATATCCCAGCTGAAAAGTCTGCTAGAGATCAAAACAAGAGTTCGTCATCAAAAAATGAAGAACCAGCCGAACTTATACCAGAACTCGAGAGTTTCCTTCAATCTGCTGCACTTTGCAACCTTGCTACTGTCAAAAATGAAGTTGTGGAAGGCGAGACGTCAAGAAAATGGAAAACAACTGGAGAGCCAACAGAAATCGCGCTGCAGGTTTTCACTCACCGATTTGATTCCGGGAAGAGACTTCTTGAAAATGAAGGATGGAAACAACTCGCCGAATTCCCATTCGATAGTAGCATTAAGCGAATGTCCGTGATCTATCAACGACCAGATGGGGAGCGTATGGTGTTTACAAAGGGGGCTGTCGAAAGGATATTGGATCTTTGTTCCTCCGTTGGAAGTGGAAATACAAATGATATAATGACAAATGAATTGAAGGAGAGCATAAATGAACAAATGAATAAATTTGCTGAGCAAGGCCAGCGAGTTCTCGCTGTGGCAGCTAAGTCATGGATCAGGAATACCTCATCGGACGACAAGATTCGAGACGACGAAAATGTACGGATTGAAGTGGAACAAGATCTTACACTTCTGGGTCTAGTCGGGATATATGATCCACCTCGTGACGAAACTAAAGATGCTATACGGGAGTGTACTCAAGCTGGAATTAAAGTTCATATGCTCACAGGTGATCATCCTTCTACTGCCAAAGCAATTGCACAGGAAATTGGTATTATCCCGAGAAATCTTGGAACTTTATCCGCTGATGTCTCTGCATCTGTCGTTATGAAAGCTACGGAATTTGACAATCTCACTAATGAACAAATTGACGCACTACCTACTCTCCCTCTAGTGCTAGCTCGTTGCGCACCAGATACCAAAACGCGGATGATTCATGCCTTGAGACGAAGAGGACTCTATATGGCTATGACAGGTGACGGGGTAAACGATGCGCCGAGTCTTTCCGAAGCAGACGTTGGTATTGCAATGGGTATCGCCGGTTCAGATGTCGCCAAATCCGCATCGAAAATTGTACTTCTCGACGATAAATTCAACAGTATCGTAGCCGCTATCCGCGAAGGTCGTCGCATGTTCGACAATATCCAGAAATTCGTCCTGCATCTCCTCTCGTCCAACGTCGGTGAAGTCATCTTACTTATCGCTGGCCTAGGATTTCAAGATGTGAACAACCAATCAGTGTTTCCACTGAGTCCTTTACAAATCCTCTGGATCAATATGCTTACATCCAGTTTCCCTGCTTTTGGACTGGGAAAAGAAAAAGCCAGTTCAACCGTTATGAAGCGTCCACCTCACGATAACAAGCGAGGTGTCTTCACTAACCAAATCCTCGTCGATATGATCGTCTACGGTATCCTCATGGGAACCTGCACCCTCCTCACATTCGTAATCATAATCTACGGCGTCAACAACGGTAATCTCGGCCACGACTGCAACCGCAGCTACAATCCCACCTGCGGTCCTGTGTTCCGCGCCCGCGCAGCAGTCTTTGCAGAATTAACATGGCTAATCCTCATTTCCGCATGGGAATTCAAATCCATCCGTCGCAGCCTCTTCTCTCTCGACCCCCAATCTCAATCTCAATCCCAATCTGCCTTCCCAATCTTCAAAGACCTCTACTCAAACCCCTTCCTCTTCTGGGCCGTCGTAATCGGCGCCCTCTCCGTCTTCCCCGCCGTCTACATCCCCGGCCTCAACACCTCCGTCTTTAAACATATAGGTATAACATGGGAATGGGCACTTGCTATCGGAGCGGTATTTCTTTTTGTTCTAGGTATTGAGGCTTGGAAGGGTTGTAAGAGGTATTGGGGATTATTTGAGAGAGAGGAGGGAGAGGGTGATGGGGAGGAGATGGATAGGGAGGGGAAGTTGGGGTTGAGACAGGGGTTTTTTACGTTTGCTAAGTCGAATAGTTCGGTAGGGAGGTCGTCAGTGGGGAGGGAGGATGTGAGCAAGGAGGAGGAGGTGGAGATGGGTGGATTGGGTGGATTGGGGGTGATGTCTACGGTGGGGTTGATTGGGAGGAAGGAGAGGGAGAAGGAGAAAGATTCGAGGGTGGGGACGGGGTGGAGTGGTGAGTCGGCGGTTTAGGGTTTGCGTTTGCGTTTGTTCTTCTTTCTTTCTTTTGTATTATTATTTTTAAAGGTTTGATAGAACCTTAGTATAATACTGTAATAGCGAGCGGTATGATAATTAATTAATTAAATTAATATATAAAAACTATCAATTTATTTCTTTTCAAATTTTTTTGTCAACTTGCCGATATCAAAACCTTATTATATATATAGTGTATTACAATTTATCTGATGTAAATTATAAAAAATAAGAAACTTGCTTAAATGAGTCGCAATCCTGATAATCTGATTGGTCTAAAATACCCCAGTAAATAAATCTAACAAAAAGCTTGATATAAGTTTTATAATCTCAAACAAATCTGACTTGAAACTTTTTTCAACTCTATTGAAATCATTCAACTTTATTCATTCAATTCAACCTTATTTATTCAATTCAACTCTATTCACTCAATTCATCTCATTCAACTTATAATGACAATAATAATGATAATGATAATGATAATAATAATAATAATAATAATAATAATAATAATAATAATAATAATAATAATAATAATAATAATAATTGTGACGTACAAGAGCCTCATAAGAGCTGAATAAACAGGGTCAATTATATTCCTTAGAATCTACAATTGAAGAACTATAACTCGTAGGGAGCATCTATATATATATACAAAATACCTATACAGTAGCTGTATGGTTGTGCGCTTTCTTCCTTAAGGTGATCATAATGCCATACTAAAAAGGGTGAATTTGGAAAAATGTGCACAGACTATCAGCTCACCGATAGGAATTGTCGATCAATTGGAATCACGTGATCGTCCTTTTTACGAGGTCCGTGACAATAATAATAATAATAATATTATTATTATTTTGAGTTAAATAAGATAAATTAAATAAATAAAATTGAATGATTTCAATTAAGTTGAATTGAAAAAAGCTTTAAATCAGATTTGTCTGAGATTGTAAGACTTATGCTAAGCTTTTTGTTAGATTATTTATCGGGGTATTTACCGGAGTATTTTAGACCAATCAGATTGTCAGGATCGCAACTCACTACTTAAACAAGTTTCTCATTTTCTATCACCCATCAAATAAACCTCACGTACAGCAAGGTTATGGTGTCGGCAAGCCGACAATGATATTTAATTTAATATTTCTATAGTTTATCTCTCTCTACATAGCGCATCACAGCGTTTCACAGTACACTCTTCTTTACATCCATTGCCAAACTAGCGGGCTGTATCTTAGGGTCTTAATTAAGTCTTACGAGTTCTTCTTCGGCCATCTCATTTCATTCCGTCTTATCTCATACAAAAAACTCAAGGACATTATTAATCGTAGGTAGGTATATCAATAAATCTTTGCTCACTATTCACTCTTCACGAGCTTCTATTCACTACCAACTGCCCACTGCCCACTGCACACTACTCACTACTCACTACCCACCATCTCACAACCTACTCTCTACTTTCCACGAGCCACTCAAAATTCTCCTTTCATTCCCTCCCTCCCTCAATTCCTTCCTGCCTCCCCCCATCTCTCCTTCCCTCCCACCCACCATGTATATCCTATTCCTATAAAACATCGCAGCGATTATAATCTTATATTTTGATACTCCCATCCTATTCCCACCCAATCCATCCGTATTCCATCCATCCATCCCACCCTATCCTATCCCCATCCCAACCTCATCCCACATAATCATCTATATGATATTCCAGCCCAGTCAGCACAACCCAGACCAGACCAGCTCAGCTCAGTTCAGCCCAGCTTCCCCACCAAAACCATCCAAGCATTTATATCTAACATTCCATGCAAATCAATCCTCCACCGTTAGCCTGACAAAGTCCAGCAATATCAAGAAACGCCATCTTTACGAAATTCTAAACTCGACTGAGCACTTCAATGTCGAATTTAATAAATATTTCATTTCATTTCCGCACCTCACTGCCCCGCGCTTCTCTTTCACTTCTCTTTCACTTCTCTTTCACTTCTCTTTCACTTCTATCACGCCCAGTTCATCACTTTCACCCCTTTCCAGCCTCAATCTACCCTGCTAAACTACTTTTCGGTGGTATCCCCGGTATATGTCCACCTTGAGTTGAAATACTACCCTCAATTCTCCTCTTTGCCTCTGCCTTTTCAGATTCCGTAATATCTTCTTCATTCTTACGCATATCTGGTGTATGTTGACCTTGAGTTGGATGATGACCAATTGACATACCAACACGAATCTATTTATCAACCATTAGTATTCACCTCTAAATTTCCGCAAGAACATATTGTAACTTACCAAAGTCTCCAATGCTTGACTAGAATTCCCCACCAAATCATCATCATATCTCATAGCAACTTCTTCAAACAAGAGTAGAATAGTACTACCACCAAATTTGAAGTATCCGAGTTCTTCAGCACGTTTAACATTTTCACCTGCTTTACGGGTGATAACTGTACTTCCAACCATCATGGCACCTACACAAATAACCATGACTCTCCCATGTTCTAAAGAATCAATAGGAATGACAACACGAACATTCTCTCCATACACATCAAGTGCAGATCGAATAGCCATCGGATTGACAGTATAATATTCTCCTTCAATGGTTTTTGGAGTACCCATAATACCATCAACTGGAATATGGAACCGATGATAATCTTGTGGAGCAAGACGAAAGACACCCAAAGAACCATTTGTGTATCGTTTTGCATCCTCTGGATATGCATTACCGAGAAGTCTATCAATGGAAAATTCGCGACCTTTAACCCAAATCTTGGTAGCTTCATCCATTCTATTGAAGACAACTGATCTACAATCGGCAGGTGAAACAATGATACGAGGATTATCTGGTGCTGAACATGGTCGTGCACCTGGCTTGAGTTGACGATAAAAGAATTCATTAAAAGTCTTAAATTGCTCCAATGGAAGCAAAACTTCACTCATATCCAGTCGATGGAAATTGATGAACTTTTGAATTTCCGCTGCTGAAGCAGGATCATCATACTTGATACCCTGTTTGATACTCAAGCCTTTAAGAAGCTTGCGAACTGGATTTAAATTAGCAATTGTTCTACTAGGCTTCTCACTAAATATATAATAAATTCCAAGCATACTTCTCTTCTTTTCCATCTCTTTAGATTTTAATCCTTTATATAGCAGTCTAATTCCCAAACGAACGTAAACACTCATTCTCTCTTCATTAATTTGTCCAGTGATACGATCTTGTACGAGAATATTGGCGGAGTTCGCACCAAGTTTGTAACCACCATACGAGATCTTTGTGATGACCTTAGAATACCATTTACGCTGAGCTTGACTAGATGTGACGAATCCAGCCATGACAAGATTATCGACTTGACGCCAATCTTGACTAGCACAGGTAGCAATATGAGTAATGATATCAGCATCAGAACGTTTATCAAGACGAGGTTGATGACAAATTGGGCATTCTCTAATCTCAACCACGTGCTCCTCAGACTCATTATTGAGATCATCTGAGTCTAACATTTCTCCCTCTTCACCAGGAGTGCCCAACTGATCGACGGAATTTGTTGATGGGAATTGAGTATCAGAGTACTCGGATTGGGATTGATTTAATGTAGCTTCTGATGGATTAGACGTAGCCGGTTTGACTGGTGGAGTATCGGGCATCAAATTCTTCATCTTATCCACGAGGTGACTCTCCTTCGGCGACTGCTTTTGCTGTAATTGATCCTCTAAACAGATAACAGCTTGATCAACGGTCAACTCTGACCACTGCCCATCAGCATTTGGCGACTGGAAGCGCTTGAAGAATCCATCAATAGTGGACTCTTTCAAAGTCGAGCCGAGGGTATCCAACATAGTCGTGAGCTCCACCTTACTGATAGACCCACTCTCGTCACTATCGTATTGTTTGAGCATGGCTCTCCAGAATTGCTGGCGTAAAGCTGGGTAAGGTGCATATTTAGCGTTGATATACAAGACTGGACTATGTTTCTCTTCCCACTTTTCGGCATTTTTGAGTTTTAGAGGAACCTCGAATGAATGTAAATCAGGATCTCCAGATTGCTCGCATGATTCTTCTGCATCAACAACTGGAGGCGGTAATATAGCATCACTAGGAGAAAGGCCTGCTGGGTTGATCGGTGGAGCACTAGTAGGAGCGAGAGTGGGCGTATTTTTACCGGACACAGCTCCATTACTTGTACTCTGATTTGAAGTTTCCTTCTTCAAAATTGGACGTCCCAACTTATTTAGACTTTGTGAGGATGTAGATCTCGACATTGGCAATTTAAAACGGGAACCTTTGGCGTGAGGTTGTTGTGCCGCCAAATTACTCACAACAGGAGGATCTCTCACGGCGTAAAGACCGGTTTCTGGATCAGCTTCTGGAGCAGTGTCGGTAATATCCTTAACTGGTAAAACGGCCGAAGCAATAAAGTCATTTCCAGATAACTTATCTCTATCGATAACTGTGAACGCAAGAGAATATGTTTGCTCATGCCTGAGAACCTGGAAGATCATCTTCTCATTGAAGACTGGATTCAAATTATGCCGAATAACCCTTGTTCTGTATGTTTTCTTTCCCAAAGATGCAACGACGAAAGGATCCATATCGAATGATGTTCTTGTCACATTTCGTTCCGGAGGAAGGTCTGTAACCTTGCCGATTTCCAAGAAAACAATTCCAACAACATCGCTTTCACCAGAGAACTCATATGCATTTAAGTGTTTCTTCTTCCTTAATCCCCTAAGTCGCAATCTCTTTCGTCGTTTCTCGACATTCTCTGGTTTGGACGGATCATCGGTTTCGTCACTAGGCTCGGTGCCCTCATCAAAATAATCATCCTCTGTTATTTCCGTGCCGGGGGTGCCTGGGTCTGGTTCTGGTAAAGGTGTCACCATGCCGGGACTCTCCACTCCCACCAAACTCCTGAATTTCTCTAGAATCTGGGCAGATGTTGCAGCATGATTCGTGACATCGCATAAAGTGAATTGAAGCATGACATCGCCGGAAACATTACTATCCTTCTTTCCACCAGGTCTTTTGCTCCGCAGAGGGTACCATGCTGGATTTTGTTCGTGACAATCGTTGGAGAATATATCTTCTAGTGCAAGGTCGAATTCGCCCAGGTAATCCTTCCCAAATCTATCCTTATCCCAACAAACGCAATCAAGAAGTAGAGAGTTTGGGCCAGTAATCGGTAATTGTAAAATCACATTCCATTCTGGATTCAAAGTTTTCTGTATCGTATGGGTCGTGCTCTTTGCGTCTCCGAGTGTGAGTACGAGATACTACAATCTGCATGTCAGCTTGCATGCTCTTCAGCTCGTAAACAACAGATATGTACTCACAGGATCAGAGGTCCCGCTCTTATCCTTTGCAGCCAAATTTCTAGCCTATTGAAAAATAATTTGTCAGTATATGTATCGTCATTCATTGAACACATCATCAGAATCAACATTTGAAGATCTGGAGAGTTCATTCCCAGCTCGCATGAACTGGAAAACAAAAAGTGGACTCCCAATCATCCATCCATACCTTAAGAACCTCAACTTTCAATATCAAACCATTGGCTTTGGCACCATTCCCATCCGGACTTGAATCTCTTCCGGTAGTTTTATTCTTCATATTGTTATTATTATGGTTATTGTTGGAGTTGTTGGAGTTGTTGTTGTTGTTGGAGTTGTTGGAGTTTGCAGTTGGGCTGGGAGTTCGAGAGGCGGATTTGGTGTAAGTTTTGAGGCGTTTGGGGATTGGGATTCGAACCATGGTGAAAGAAGTTCCAAGGTTAGTGGTGGTAGAAACGAGGGGCCAAGATTCTTGTAATTCACCCAACCGAAAAAGGGACAACGAAAACAAGTCGCTAGGAGAGCAGTAGGTGGGACGGAGTAGGGAACAAGTAACGTTAGATGTATGTAATGAAGGTATGTAATGTATGCTGATCGATTCTGTCTTGTCTCCTGAAATCAATTTATCTTTCGTACTTTGTATTTCGTACTCTGTATTGCTCGGAAAAGAGTAGGGAGAGAGTAGCAAAAGTGTAACTCTAGATAGCTGGTTGGCCGTCCAATCGTCCAAGTCCAAATAGTTCGAATAATCCAAATGAAAGTTTCAAGGTTTCTTCTTCCTTCTATGGGTGGCAGGTAGTTTCTGAAGCTCTGATGTTACTGTCACCGTAACTGTATTGAATTGGCTGTATTGATTGTGTTGAAGTTGAAGTATGTATGTATACTCTGGGTATACTTTCGGATGGAGAGGATAATTATCGATCAAAAGCTTAAAATAAAAACAGCAAAGCAATCAAAGCAACAAACAATTAAATTATATTAAATAAATAAATAAAAAAGTAGCCAAATTCCTCGGCATTCATCACACCTTCCAATTCTCTCGATTCTTCCGATTCTTCCACGGCACGCACGGGTAGAAGAGGAAAGAATGGAAGGAGGAAAGCAAGAATCAAGGCTTCGATCATCTCCCTCTCATGTGAATAGTAATAGTAGGTAAGCTGTAGGCAGGTTGTAGGATGTGTGTTTGTTTACTGGCTAATTCCCCTACGGACTAAAACATTTACCTTGGCGTAACTCCGTAGTGGATCGGTGGATTCCTCTGTGTGGCTCTGTGGAACTTTTGATGATGCTGGAATTTATATTTAAAAAGAAAGGATTAACTCAGGGATTATTCGGCCGCCTCTTTTCTTTTCGATTGTTCTTGTTACTTCTTTGAAAACTAGTCGGTTCTAGAAATCTATAGGTTTATTTAGATTTTAGATGAGTTGAGTGAGTACTTTAGATGAATTCTCAATATCGGTAGAGCAACCGAAAGAGAAGCACGTAAATGTACGGAGGAGTGACAAGTTAACAACAAGAGACAAGAGAAGCACATTGGAAAAATTGGGAAATTAAAAATCCAAAGATGGCGGGGTCATGTAGGATGATGGAGGCTTTTACCTCCTGATGAATGATAACCCTACCAAAGTACGTAGTACGTACGGACGACAGGGAGGGATTTTGATGGGAATTTGAGAATTCACGGATCTGAATCCAAGCCAGGGGTAAATTAGAAAGAAAGAAAGAAAGAAAGAAAGAAAGAAAGAAAGCACAGGATTATCGATAGATTTTGTATTTAATGTTGGATTAGTTGATTTAGTTGATTTGCAGAATATCTTCAAGTAACAATTGAGTACACATAGTACATACATAGTATATATACATAGTACACATACATACCACTACGAAGACTTAAACTCATCAATCATTCAGCTAGGGGTTGTTATCATCTAATTGAATTAGCCAGGAACAATTAAATTAATTATACCTACAACCTAAAGAAAGCCCTGTCATTGCACTACCAGAAAGTGCCGCCAGCGTTTGCGGGTAGATCAGGTTACCAACCCCAACGAAATAAAACTGCTGTTGTATTCAAGGCTGATGAAATGTACCATCCCTTTCCATATCTTCCAATTCCATCCTTTATCCAACTGATTGTTGGATGGAATCATGTCATGATACGCATCCAAAGGTCAAGGTATCAAGGTGTCAAGGTCTCAAGGTCTCAAGGTCTTCAGGTCTCAAGGTCTCAAGGTCTCAAGTCCCAAAGTCTCAAGTCCCAAAGTCTCAACATCAACAACATTGGCCTCACTCATCCTACAAATTTCAAAATCTCAAGCCTTCAGACCAACCAACAACCCCAAACCTAGCTAAGGTAAACTGAACCTAATCTAACAATACTACGTACAGTACTAGGGACTAGGGACTAGGGACTAGGGACTAGGGACTAAGGACTAGGTATTAGGTATTAAATAGCTATGACCATCCCCAACATCTTATACATCCTATTCCATTTATTATTCTTATACCCCTTTAAAACAAGCATATAATTAACCAAAATCTTTTTCACATCTTCGTACCATCATCTCCCCATGTCATCATCTCCCCATATCATCATGATCTCATCAAGATTCAAACCCAGCTCTAATGCAAACAATCACACACACACACGCACACATGCATCAAATCCAAATCAAATTCCCCGTGTTCTCCGTATTTTTTAGATCCACATCCCCTAAACTAAACCGTTCGGTTCGCTACAGCTGCATGCATACTCTGTACATATTCCGTACAGTACACGGAAAACGGAAAGTAAATAAATCCCTCCTCTCTATAATATCCCTCATCATCCATCTATCAATCGACGAGTCAACCAATCAATCATAAAAGAAATTCCTCATTTACATAAGTACCACCTACTCGAGAACATATACCTACCATATACCCATCCATCTCTACAGCCATAAGACCAGAAAATCCTTGACATAAAGCATATCTTTCTCGGAAACACACACATCCATATTAACAATTGCAATGTCCCATCCATCCATCCATCCAACCAAGCACTTTAATATTCATCCAAGCTTTTACTTACTTTTGTACCCACAAGCCTTCGTTTCCACTTGCCACCGGCCGGGTCTTAGCACTACACCCACCATACACTCACGAGACTAAATAAATTAAACTAAACTACGGATGAACAGGGCAAACGCGTCCGCTTCACCAGGAAGGAACTATATAACCTAATATTAAAATAACCGAAAAGAAAATATACAGTATCGTTAGGTAGGTAGATAGATAAATAAATGAATAAAGAGATAGATAAATAATAACATTTATTTCTGCTTAATGACTTTGTAAATAGATAAATTATATAAGATCTTCAAATATTTTATTAAATAAATTGAAATTATTTCTTTCTTTCTCTGAAAAAAATAATAATTAATATATTTGATATATTTATAAAAAATATATAATTCATTATCTATCTACTTTGAAATTGTTTCAATATCTATTTATTTATTTATTTAGTTCGATTTAAGACTTTATGTTTAATCTATCTACGATATATAATCTACGAGGGGTATTCCTGATGATTAAGTATCAACTCTTCAACACCTGCCTGACCTAACCCATTATCCGGACATCCGTAGCATCCAATCCATCCATCCATCCATCAAACTCTAATCTAATCAATCACCTAATGTCGATTTGAAAGATCAGATCAAATCAAATAACCCCGCGCCAAAAATATAAACGCTGTATTGAGTGATTGTTCCATAAGAGTACAATATTACTCTTTGCGAGAGAAGAGTATAAGAACAATTGAAGACTAATAAACTTTTTGATACTTCCTTATTAATTAATTAATCTGTCTGTCTGTCTGTCTATCTGTCTGTCGGTAATAACCTCACGGATAAGGTTACACACATATAATTAAAACTCTTACAAAAACCCCGTCAAAATCATTATTCTCAGCGCTACATACACCTTAGACATCTCAATATCAGAACCAAATATTTTATTTCCACCATGCGCGTAATTCATGGTATTTAGGGATTAAATCCCACATCCGCAGGTACTGAGTTGGTGGTTGGGTCTCTATCTATTATCCTTGAGAAGAAGATTAAACAAACAAGTGTTTGCCAATCTCCGACAAAGTAAGATCATAGATTGATTGTCGCTTTAGGAGTTGGTTATTAGGGTCGTGGGATTAGTATGAGTATTTGTGATGGATTTTGAGCGGGTTAGATGATACGTCGACGGCTTTGATAGTATATCTGCTGTTGTTGTGGTAGATTGCCATGCGGTGGTTCTCCTGCAACAGCGTGGTCAGCGGGGCTGATGATTGGAATGGTAAACTCGAGACACAAAATGAAGATATTGGGGTACACGAAAAATGTTATGGGAGGATTTAGGGCGGTCAGGAATCTCGGTCATCGTTGATAGAGCAGTTGAGTCTGACATTTCTTGTTCAAGCAGCGTTCTGAAACTGATGAGGGTGGCTTTTGGAGTGAACTCTTGTTGTTGGAAAACTGATGTGGCAAGGGGACAGATGTTGATAACGAGCAGGCGAGATCAAGATTATTGCAGTATTAAACGAAGGTGACGAGAAAGCTGTTTTAGGATGCGTAGTTATCTTATTCTGGGAGATCGATGACTCAAAACATGGAGCTTAACAAGAAAAAGGCAGGTTTGATGCCCGCAGTGGTGTGATGAAGGCTCAAGGTCCTGGTAATCTTGGGCCCTAAGCTGTAGTACCTGCTCCTCTGTTAGCCTAGCAAAATACTCGCCGGCTTGAAGGCGGTAAATGCGAGGATACCTTTAAAGGGAGTATTCGTTTCAGCAGCATTACTAGGGACATGATCGAACCTATCGATGCTGCCACGGACAGTGACAACATCAACATCCATGCTTTTAAGCTCGTCCATAAAGACTTGAGTGACAAAAGCCGGCACGGCGACAGATATATGAGGTTGCCAGTATTATCCTCAACCATGTAGGTATAAATGGCGAAGTAAACCTCTAAGGCTATTGGCTAAGAGGTCATAAGCTTCTATATCGAGCTGAAGATTTTGAGAACGGGTGGAAATCGGCTCCTCAAGATTGATTGACCCCACGTCGCGGATATGAATACCAACACGGTCAACATGGAGACCTGGCAGCAGGTACTTAAAAGCTCGGAGACTGTGGAGACGTCAAACTTCTTCTCAGTCGCAGTAGGCTCAATCAGATCTTTCTCAAATAATCAAGCGTTTCAGTCGTCATCTTGTTTTCATGTTAGCAAGAACATTACGGGATAATCATAGTTGATTTAATCCTTAAAATAGTACATGTAACATCACACAAATCACCATTATTCACCCAGCAATAGCTACAATTATCCACAAAAGTCGCCGGTACAATCTTCATGAAAGACGAACCCACGTTCACGGATTTGTACACGCGCGCTATAGGAGAAAAGACACCAAAACTCAAGAAGAAACTCACCAAAAACGAAGTTGAGGACATGATCCACAACCAACTGTTGTTCTCACTGTCTCACTATATACTCCTTCAACAAAAACACCAACCATCTAGCACAACAAATCATCGAACCCCGCACAAATGATAATGATAATTCAAGATTAGCTAGCTAAATTCATTTCTCAGAATCCAACTGTTGGTATCTATTCTTACATGAAATAACGAACTTACTACTTGCATGAAGATTTCACCGCTTACCGATATCGGATAGGAGCTGTAGGTAGTAGATGAGTAAATAAATACATAAATACATGTTGGTGTCACTTTTTGTCTTTGGGAATAATTTTGTGGTTTAATTTTGGTTTTGATTCTTGAGCTGGGGGCTTTTTTTATTTTTATATTTTATGGATTAGTTGATTTATTTTATTCTTTTTGTGAGTAGATGTAAATCTTCAATCTTCAATCTTCAATCACCCACCCCAAATCCAAAACCAACTTCCAAGCCTCCCCATCAAAACCATCAAACCCAACAATGTCCCCCAATCCCCGCATCTGGACGCGAAAAGAAATCGAATCCCTAATATCCCAAAACCACAAAATAACAATCCTCAATGGGGACGTAATAAAAGCAGACGCATAGCTACCATATCATCCAGGCGGAGAAAAATCAATCATGCATATGATTGGTCGCGATGCAACTGATGAGATTAGAGCGTTGCATTCGAAGGATACACAAGTGTTTATGCGCAAATTTGTGATAGGGGTGGTAGAGGGGAGGTGGAAGATTTTTTTGCCGAGTATTAGGGGGTGTTTTAGGGGTTGGAGTGGGAGGATGAGGATGAGGATGATGGGGTTTTGTGCGAGGAGGGAGGAGAGGAAGAAGAAGAAGAAGGAGGAGATGCTAGCTTGTTGAGAATTTCTTCAACATCATCCCTAATTTCCGATACTGGAGAAAAAAGGAATGAGGTTCGTTGGAGAAGAACAGATAATAAGATATCTATTCCTCTCCTTTCGTCTTCATCCTCACCAGAATCGAAAAACTCACATTTCACATCCGCAGAAGCATTAACCGCACACCTAATATCAACCGACCTCACCAAATATCCCTCTCTAGACGCAAAAACCCAAGAAAAAATCATCACCAAATATCGCGAACTCGATAAAAAACTACAAGCAGAAGGTCTCTACAACTGTCCCTACAGCTTCTACGCTATTGACATCCTCCGATACATAATCCTCTTCATACTCTTCCTTACATTCCTGCACAAGGCGCAGTACGCACTCTCGGGGCTCTTCCTCGGTCTCTTCTGGCACCAACTCGTCTTTACAGCCCACGACGCAGGACACATAGGAATAACGCATTCCTACCACCTCGACACCATGATCGGGATCACTGTCGCCGATTTCCTCGGTGGCCTCTCACTAGGTTGGTGGAAGCGAAATCATAATATCCATCACATCGTGACCAACTCGCCCGAACACGATCCTGATATCGAACATATGCCGTTTTTTGCCATTTCGCATCGTTTTTTCTCTTCCCTCTATTCAACATACTATGATCGATATATGAAATTTGACGCTGCGTCCCGATTTTTTATTAGATATCAACAGTATTTCTACTATCCCATTCTTCTCCTCGGAAGATTCAATCTATATATATTAGCATGGACCTACCTCCTAAATCCCGTCCAAGCACCCCGTAAAGGACCAGCATGGTGGCACCGCTATTTCGAAATAGCAGGCCAGATATTTTTCTGGTTCTGGTTCGGGTACTACACCTTGTACCTGTGCATCCCAAACTGGACGTCCCGCTTTACATTCCTCCTAATCTCGCATACTGTTACCGCACCCCTCCACGTGCAGTTAACACTAAGTCATTTCGCGATGTCGACTTCGGATCTTGGGGTTAGTGAGTCGTTTGCGCAGAAAATGGTACGGACTACGATGGATGTGGATTGTCCCCCTTGGATGGATTTCTTGCATGGAGGATTACAGTTTCAGGTTGTGCATCATTTGTTTCCGAGATTGCCGAGATATAATTTAAGGAAGGCACAGATGTATGTTAGGGTTTTTTGTGAAGATCTTGGGGTTCCATATGTGAGGTTTGGGTTTGTGGGGGCTAATCGGGAGGTTATTGGGAAATTGGGGGACGTTGCTGAACAGTTGAGGGTTTTGGAGGAGTGTAGGAAGGTTGCTTCGAGGAATTTAATGGGCATGTCTTCAAAGGGGTGATTTGATTAGGATTGTGGTGTTCTAGTGATAGAGTAAGATTGGGAAATATTTTTATATAAAGTTTATTGTTTTTAAAAGAATTATCTCTTAAGTTTAGTACCCCCTTTTCGGACCATCTTTAATTCAGATTATTTTTTATAATAAAAACTTTCTTTAAATATTTAATAATAAAATATATAAAAATTTTTTTCAGTTTTATAATTCTTGTTTATTATTTATTAATAATTTAAATAAAACTTTTTTTTTATTATAAATTATATTAAAATAAATTGTATTTAATTATTTTAAGAATAATTTAAAAAGATAATTTAAAAGCTATAAAAAATATTTTAAATAATAATAATAATATAATATTTTATATTATAAATTCAATTTAAAGAATTAAATAAAATAGATTAAAATATTATTATTATATTATAAGATAAAGCGAGTTCGAGGTGTTTTGGCTGCTACATTCAGTGGGCTTCGTCGCTGTTTTATACAGCCTCAGTATATGCTAACAGCATCGTTTATATATATCAATGCGAACTCCACCCCATCAAAATTCATGGTTTTCATTCATCACCATTTCCCATCTCTTATTTTCAACATCACCATCCTAATAAAGAGAGAGCCAAAAATGGCTGTATTCAAGTTATTTAAACTGTAACCTTCCCACTTCTCTTTTCCTCAACACCTTTCCACCTCAACCAGCAATATACCTTTATTCATATTCAAACTATTTTCAATTTACCTTTTCCTTTTATTTTTCAAATCTTTTAGCATTGATTATAGCTAATACTTCGAAAAAGCACCACCTTTGTAACGATGCCTCAAAGAATATCAACCTCCAGAAATTCCTTGTACGATATAACAATCTTCAACAACTACCAAAAAAACCTAAGCTCACATTAAAGGATTACGAAATCAATATTCAAAAGCTGAATGAAGATAATCCTTTGATATCAAAAGATATAGATATTACAAAGAAAAACATCACTAGTATATACCACAAATGGAAAAGATAAGGAAACAATCGTCTATTTCGATTTTCATCTTGCGAAGTTAATATATAACATTAGGTTTTGTGAATTCAGAAACGAACAGTACTGGCGGGTAGCTATTCAAAAATGCAACAAAGAGACTACTATGATGTTCCTCCGATATATCTATGAGAATTATAGGATAATGCACATTCAGTTCTGTATATCAATATCTGTTTCAGTTCAAGCAGCTTTACAACCGAATCAACGGACGGCATATGTGTTACGAGGTTTGCCGTCTAGATCACGTGGAAGTGCTCTAGGCTTCTCGAGGTGGTTTATAACTAGGCGTCAAGCAGGGACTTAAGTAACAACAGTAAATGATTGCAATTCGTAACTAATAATAGATTATACTAAATGATTGATCTTGAGCATGAAGCTCTACAATAAGAGATTCATCCTGATTATATAGACCTTCAGGACCCCGAAAGCTCCTGGACCTAGGGATATATTGGACCTTTACTTTTCGTGCATATTATGTAGGGTCCGTCACGTGATCAGATCTCGTGATATTGGGCTTGTGGAGTCCGACGTAACACCAAGCAGCAAAGTGTACACAATGTTCAGAATGATAGGAATCTACCAATGTTAATAATTTCTATTGAAACCCTCATATAAAAACTCACTTACCTAATGAGGAGGAATGCTTGTTGAAAATAAATTGTTCGAATGAGTCTTCATTCCACCAACAGCCTTTAACATCTGGAGATAACTCGGCAAGGTATCGTTGGTAATGTTTGAATTAGGGCTCTCTCGTTGCTGTATTGGAGCACGAAACTCATTCACTAATCTTTGACCAGATAGATTCACACTTTCCAAAGTTAATTTGGTTGAACAGAATTCCGTGTCTTCTTTAAGCTTACGTCCGTCGGGTCTCCAGGATACTACAACGTTGATATCAATATCAACTTCGATACTTAAACGAAGCCAGAGTCGACGCAAACCCTTTGTAGCAACTTTTCTAAGTGCACCAATATCGATATTCGTTATTGTTGATTTTAGATGAAGAGCACCTATAGTCCTACATTCGGATGCAAAATTCCAGAGACCGGTTTTAGAAGTGTAAGTTTCGGCATCTCTGTTTGGAATGCATATATCGATAGGAAGTAGGTTCAAATTTTTGGCATTTATATCAATATCAAAGTAGATATCAACAGTCTGAATGCCATCTGGAACAAGGATTCCCTAGAAAGTCATTAGTCAATAATCGTACTCAATCTTCCATAGATATGATTACCTCAGTCATGATCCTTTCGGCACAATCATAGAATTTGGGTAATTTTGCATCCTCAGCAGGCACCTTAATTCGCTCTGCAAGCTCTTTGCGATGACGTTTGACCACTCGAGCCAGAGTCATACAAGCATATCGACCTCTGACTAGTTGGGGATGATTGATCCAGTAATGCAGACCGTGAACTACCGCGTTCCTACAAGTGTTTCTAGATTAGCTTCTTTCAATCCGAAATTCCCCTCGCGTTGAATTGGTACTTACAATGACTGTCCTACCAAATGAATTACTTTTTCATCATCGTTAATGATATTCTTTCCTTTAAGCATAGCGCACAACTTATTTACCATACCAGGCACCTCGGAATTCCCTCCCGAGATTACAACAAGGTCCAAAGGTCTAATTATTTGAGCAAGATGCTCGCCGACGCGTCGGCAAATTTCATCAATTGGTGGTTCCATAATATAAGTCATATCCTCCCTTGTTATTGAGTTAGCAGCTGAAGATCACATTAGAGAAGGCTGACGATAAACTCACTCTGTTAATACAAATTGATCTTTGCCATACGGTACACTGAATGGATATTCTTCATCCTCAAAATCTGTTGTCCATTGTGGCTTTGATTGTAGATGGAAATGATTCACAAACGCGTTAAAGAAGGCATGCTCCTTATCTGGAGTCATATTGATGTCGAGTTTGGCACGCAAGAGATCAATGAATCGTCCATCAAATGAATCCCCTCCAATCGCAAAGCCTATAGTATCATTATCAGCATTAGATATATGGTTTTGGTTATATACTATACCTAAAGGGGCACTCAATTCGTTGATCGCAGGTGGTCCTCCATCATGTTTGAAGCAGATTTCGGAGGTGGTTATATCCTATTTATCATAGGTTAGTCAATCCACTTCTATTTGAACCAGATCACTCACAGTTGTACCAGCTCCAAGATCAAATATCCCAACTGCGATGGTATAGTTCTGCTTTTTCTTAAAGACACTCTCTTTAGCATCGCTGATGATATCCTCGATTGTTGACAGATTTGCATAAGCAACACAATCGCTTTCACCATGGATATGTATATTGCCAAGACAACCTGCTCTTTGAATCAATGCTCGAAAGTTCTGCACTTCCTCAATCTTGTAATACTGAGGCACTGAAAATACCCAGCCTTTTGTAGGCTGCTGCCCACCGCATTCCTTGATCGCATGCTCGATGGCGAACCTCAAGAAGTCTTCTAGGATCTGCTGCACAGATCTCAGGTGGAGATCATCCGCTGCATCAACCAGAGCAGCATAGGCATAACCATAGCTTTCGGGATCTGGTAGAAGGGCAATCTTCACTCCAGATACAAGTTTTTGACGACGGCGTGGTTTAGTGTAACCAAATGCCACGGGTTTGGCTGGTTCATCGCCATTGGGTTCGTATATAATGTTTGTTGGCGCTTGAGAAACAAGAGATGGGGTACCTGCTTGCGCTCCAGGATAGTTTCCGATTTCTCTGCAATCTTCGCCGCCTTCGATACTATAGGCCATGCGAAGATCTCCGGTGCCTAAATCGATATAGATATAATCTAATAGACCTTTGATTTGTTTTGGCCAACGTATGCCAGAGTTGGTAGTCATTTTAAAATATTGATGTATGAGGTTGATAGTATATCGAAGAATAAAACGAAAATTAGAAGGGAGATGCTATTTGATATATATATAGAAATTGAATAGATCGAATCACACCTCGAAGCATCCCTGGGCATAAGCTGTTCAACTCTCTGTATATTTTAGGAAGTAAATCCGCAATGTTATACAGGAATATTTATTTTGTGGAAAAGTATCGATTACTATTTTGAATTTATATTTTCTGAAAGACTCCACCCATCCAATCTTCACATATCTTAATTACGATACTCATAGTTTGATTGAGATGAAGATTGGATAAATATTCAAGTCGCTTGAGGTTAAAGAAAGAAAACCAAATACGATAGAGAACAATTAGTATTTGTATATAATGGATGAATTCTTTCATAACAGTATCTGAAGTACTGGATACACGATGAGATTATTGGAATCTGTATAATGCTGAAGTATCAATGTATCAAATGAAGTTAATGAAACCTATAGTATAATACTGACATCTAATTGTCAAGCTTGTTTGTGGTATCCACTTTTCATTTCCCTAAATATGTCAAAGCGTTTTATCAAAGCCTTACCGTATTTGGGTATCTCACTTTAACATGTTAAAGTGAGATACCCAAATACGGTAAGGTGTGGGTAACATATCTGCATCACATGATCCTTATTCAGCAATCGTTATGTAATAGATAGACTGGGCTCTTCCTATCTCGGGTGCCCATGAGCAACCCGAGCAACCCGAAGCAACCCGAAGCAACCCGAAGCAACCGGAGATACCCAAATACGGAATACCCCTGTGAAAACTATATACGCATGTCACACAGTTGGTTTTAACAGTAGCGCTACAGATAGCTTTGCTACCCTGGACTTTCTATTTAATCCACACCCTCTTCAACTTAAACTACTCTTATTTCTACTATACGAAACTTATTATTAGCGTCGCATCAACTTCAAACCATCACCAAAATGTGTTTATGTTCAGATATTCAATATGAATTTACACAACCTTCTGACAATCAAGAGATATAAAAAGATGAATCCAATAGAGAGATATTACCGATAAATCATAAAGTTCTTTGAACGTCTGAGAGTGTTTTTGACGCAGTTGTATACCTATATGTCTAGCAACGAACAATTGATACCGCATCTCCCATTTATATTACAAAAGAGGATAACTTCAGCATCAAGTACAGTATCTGAGCTTTTAGACATTGAGAAACGTATAGCATAGATTTTCAAGTATGATCCTGCTGATTATCATGTACAAACGCTCCTCGATCGGAACTTCGATACCTGGAATAAGCAATTACAAGTCGTTCTTTGTATATCAACGAATACAGTTGATCTGCGATATGATCGATTATCAATCTATAATCATCCTTGATTATCTTCAACTCTAACAATGTAATATTCATTCTCAAATTTTATTTAGAATTTATTATATTATACTTCGTCGATGTCGAAAAAATGAGCATCGAGATAATGATGCAAAATATATACTATGTATAATCTTCTTGATTTATTATTTTAATAAACCTTTAGGTCTAGTACTCTACTTTCCGGCCACCTCTAATTCCGGCCACCTTTTTACACCAAAAATCATCATTTTCAGCTATTAATAACTTCACAATTAATAATTGGGATTTGATGAAATTTGAATCACGAATATATTATATAATTATTAATAGATTCTGAAAATTTCAGATTTTTGGCGATTTTATTGATTGAGAAATTGAAAGTTGAAATTACAATTTTCAATTTATATAAGATTTATATACAAATTTGAAAAACTTGAAAAACTTCAATAATTTTTTGAAGATCTTCAAATCAAATATTATATAATAGATTAAGCTTTTGAATTTTAAACAATATGAATAAATCTATATTGATATTTATAAATTTTACAAAGATGAAAAATTACAATATTTTGATTAAAAGGATTTCTGTAAATTATTTTTCAAAATAAATTAGTTCATTTCATCAATTACGATATAAATATTTGAAAAAAATTTATAATTTATTTTTAATAATTTTTGTTCAAAAGTTATTGAAGGTTTTAATAATTTTTCAATTTTGTATGTAAATTCTATACAAACTGAAAATTCAAAAATTTAATCTTTTAGATCTCAATCAAATAAATAATTAAAAATCTAAAATTTTCAAGATCAATTGATAATTATATAATAAATTCACAATTCAAATTTCAATTTATTTTATTTATTAGTTATTGAAATATTAATAGATGAAAATGATGATTTTTGATATAAGAAAGTGACCGGAATTAAAGATGGCCGGAAAGTAAAGTACTAGACTTAGAAGAAGTTGATAAGGATATATAATCTCTTATTAAAACAATTGAAATCTTATTATAAATAGATCTAAGATATAAAAATATTAAAGTCTTGAAGGAGTTTAATCAATAATAAACAATAATTATTATAATAATAATAATATTATTTATAATGATAGTGAAAGACTTAGTTGTATTTACACTCAATAGAGTAAAGTTGAATATAATTATAAATTAAAGTTAGAATAATAAAGTAGAGATTTTATTATTTTTTTTATTTAGTTTTTTCAAAGGATTCTTTGAAGAAAACTTTTATATTTATAATATTTAATAAAATTCTAGTATATTATATAATTAATAATAAAATTAATATGAATTAAATTTTATAAAATAATTTTATATAATAAAAAGAAATAATAATTAATAATATTCAATTTGATAAATAAGAAATTGTAATATATAATAGTTATATAAAAGTTAAATAAACAAGATCAATTATATTCTTTAGAATCTATAATTAAAAAACTATTATAAAAAAGTTGGAATTATAAATCAAATATATAAAGGTTTTTAACTAATCAATCATATAATCTTTTATAGTTAGATATAAAAAAAAAGCTTTTTATCTTTTCTTTTCACAATCTTCAATCTTCTATATATATATATTTGAACCCATATAGCATCAACCTCAAAACCATTATAAACTCTGTTTTATTTATAAGTGATATATTACAATATAATCTAATTCAACTTTCTCTTCCAATTCCCTCCTTATAATATATTATCGGGATGTATGTATCTCGATCTACTACTTTTATACTATAACTTATAAAAAGCATTTATATATATATACAAAATATTTATATGATAGTTATATGATGGTACAAATTGGTTATTAAAGTGATCATAATTCTATATTAAAAAGAGTAAATCAAAACTTAAGTGTATAGACTATCAACTCATCAATAGGAATTATTAATCGATTAGAATTATATAATCGTCTTTATATAAAGTTTATAATACTACCTCTATCTTTAGAAAAGCTCACTCTTAAACTTTTTAATTTCTTTATTCTATCAAGAATTATTAGAAAACAAAATTTAATAGATTTACAAATCTTAGATCAGTTAGATTAATTGTTCTTGATTGATTTGATTAATTATATTAGAAATTGATCAAATCAATTTTTAGAAATCTTTCGAAAGAAAAGAATTTTAATAATAAAAGATTAGAGTTAAGTTTTTTCTTTTTGTATTAATTTGAAATAAAAAAAAGCCGCCCTTGCCTTCCCGAGTCTCTAAACGTCTCCACCCAGGATCCGATGAACCTCTTCTCTCCTTGGATACCCCCTCAAAGCCAAAAGCCAAACGTTCGAAGACTGGCATGACTATGGGTGAAAAAGAAGTACTCGACGACTCACCCGCTAATAAATAAAGGGTTTTCTCTTATGTTCGGTAGACCTCCTTTTGTATAATTCATTTTTTATTCCCGTTTTAAAAACTGCTGGTAGCGATATTTTATATGTTTTATATCTTAAATCTCTACTCAATTCCTTTTTCTTTAATAAAAAAAAAACAATAGAAATTATATATTTCTTAAAGGGGAAGGGTGTAAGAAAGTTAGAATTATAGATTAAATATATAAAGATTTTTAATTAATCAATTATATAATCTTTTATAATTAGATATAAAAAAAGAGTTTTTGTTCTTTTTTTCAAAAATAAATAATTTTCTATATATATATATTTGAATCTATATAATATCAATTTTAAAACTATTGTAAACCTCATTTTCTTTATAAATAATATATTACAATGTAATTTAATTTAGTGTCACGATTCATGGTTTCCTTTATAGTAGTATTATTGACGTCGGTGATTTATATACCGATTATAAAAGGGGTGTGATTTAACCGTTGCTTTCGGGGGTCTTGATTATCTAAGTTTAGAACCCCAGGATTCCTAGGATAAATATCCTAGACAATTATAGTAGAATAGAACAAGTATTCTACCTAATTAATTATAATGGGATTATCATTTTAGAGGATATCGTATCCTAGGGTTATAATTCCTAAAAGGAAAGCTTTTGGAATAAGTGTTCTAGGAAAGGAAAGGCCTTGGAATATGAGAGGCCTCAGGATCAATCATGTGATATACTAGCTCTGCTAGCCCAGCTAGCATAGCTAATATAGGAAAAGAGATTAATATATAATCAGAATAGTTTTATAGTTTAAAAGCTTCATGCTCAACTTAATTATCAATTAGTTTATCTACATTCCAATTGATCTAGTAATGTATTCATCTTCGAGTGGATAATCAGTGATTATTAGCCTTAACCTACAATTACCAACCAGACGAAAACCTGAGGCAGCCGCTGCCTCTACCAGATCGTTACATTTAGCTTCCTTTTTCAATTCCTTTTTTACAATATGTTATCAGGATATATATATCTCGACCTATCACTTTTATAATATATTAATCTCTTTCGGAAGTCTTGAAGAACTTATACTTTTGAGAGCTCCAAAGAGTTTAAAAAAGCTTATATTCTTGAAGGCTTTATTATATAATGTTTTATTCTAATAGATTAATTCTAATAATCTTATTTCATTAGAATTGTTTTAAGATAATCCCTTCTTTAAAATAGTTGATATTTTAAAATAATTATTATTTTAGTTTATTTCGTAAAGTTAAAATACTTATTCTATTATATTATAATTGTCTAGAATATTTATTCTAAAGTTCTTGAGTTTCTAATTGTAACAATAAAGAACCCCTTTATAATCGATAATTAAATCACCGACTCTTATAATATCATTATAATTTTAGATGTAGATGATTTGTGATATATTTATATCATCAATTGATTTATTAATATCTTTCTTTTATTCTTATATATATTATAATATATATTTGTATAGAGTTTTATAAAATATAAATTCTTTTAAAGAATTATATAAAAAAATAAATTATATATAATTCATTATAAATAAGAATTCTGATTAATTATCTTAATAATAACTAATAAAAATTTTTAAATATTGTTGAAGATATTGATTATATATTTTAATTTAGTTATTTA